GCAGTGAGCCGCTGCTAATCTGTACTTCGGAGGACGACAATGAAAAGGTTGACGGAGGAAGAGAGAAGGTGGACCAGACCGGACCTGGAGGCTGGAGTCGACCCTGCTGCCCCCCACAGGAGGACAGGGAGATAGAAGGATGACAGAGGCGCATGAACAAGGCCATGCTCCTCCATTTCAATCAGCTGCTGCCGTCTCACATGGCAGCAGAGCATCCGGAGGGGAGGCGCCGTCATGAATCCTAATTGCTCCCTTTTCACCATATTGCAGGGTGTTTCTATGCAAATCTGTCCAGAGAGGTATCTAGTTTATGCAAGGCCAACTGTATGAACTGAAATGTGAGCAGGAATTTCACTCAGACAAAAGCCTTGGTGGGGAGATGCTGGTGTTATAATTCATTTGGATAAATTATTCATTTTGCACATGGCTCTCCTGAGTGTAGGACGGAGCACGGTTTCACACACGTTGCTAATGTTTTGACATGTATGTATTCCACTGCATCGACGGGCACTGGCCTCAAGTTAAGATATATGGCTTTAATAAGAGTGACGAAGATGCAAAATAATGAGATGTCTGGGAGGAGAGTGCGGGGGTGTCCGCGGAGAGACAGAAAGAAACAATAACATTATTCTTCAGCATGTGGACTTATGTGGCTGTTACAGCAAATCCTGCCACATTTTTATACCTTTCTGAATACCCAGTACACGTGTAAGGAATTGTAAAACTATATCAGTGTCAATCTTACATTTTTTCATTGTCAAATGTGTGTGCTGACATGATGAATCTCTTTTGTGTTTGATATTAACCACTATCTTTATTTCTACAGCAGCATTACATGCAGTCAGGGATTAATACAAGTCCTGATCATTGTAAAACTGCCATGGACTTGTCTATGTGCCAAATTAATATTTCACTTACTTCAGTAACAAAGTGCAATGTGTAACAATTGATGGCCTGGCTCACATGTGACTCAGGATATTTGTCAGATCATAAGTCAGTTACACATTAGACAAACACAGAAAGTTTGTTCACGGTTGAGTTGGACTTCTTGGCTCTGTAGTGCTAACACAGTTTTGTGTTGGAGTCATCTTCTCCAGTATGTTGACCTTAAAGCTGAAGTTATTCTCGTCGTCACAGAAAGGAAGGAAGGTTGTACCCTCTCTCCACTTTAGTTTAGGCTTTGTCTTGAGCCTCTTGCCTCGGGTGGCACTTGTGGTCATCTGCTACAATGTTACGATCTTTTAAGTACAAAATGCCCTCTTTGGTTGTTTTATAGAGAATTTTGCACCGAAAAGACGATAGCTTTGGAAGATTTATTTGCCTAAGTCAAGTGAAGTCTCATATTAGCTTAAGAATGCATTCTTGCTCAGAACGAAGACTGTGAGGACTAATTTAATCCCCTGTCCCCTCAACTAAAACTGTGTTAGCACAGGATCTGTTCATGATCCCGTGTCCTTTAAAAAAAGGACATAGTTTAAGTAATTTACTACAGGTGCTATATACAAGATTGGGAGCATTTCTATTGCATCTCAAAGGTTCTCAACATGGAGATGACTGGGCCGGCGGTGCTGTCATAGCTAACGGTGCTTACCTGAGGGCGAACCGGAGGGTGGGTGATACGCTTCTGCAACCGAAGGAGTGGGGCACACTCACATGCACTAACATGCACTAAAAGAATGCACAGCCGGCACGGCTATGTCAATAAAGCATGGACAAGCTTGGATAACAACACATGCAGAGGGAGAGCGACTTTGTTTTTCTACTCATGACATTATTCCACTTCATCTTTACATGGCAGTAGTTGTTTGCTGCTATAAAAATGCTCTGCATCCTGTACATTGCACCTTTCAGCTAAAATGCCAAACATGTATTGTTTCCGGCTTCGAAAATAGATGCCCATCCTCAGGCCATCTAAGGGACCACCTCTATTCAGTAGCTCTGTTTCTATTATTTTTGGTCCAGTACTATGTGTATGCGAAAATAATCAAGAATATCTGTCTTCTCTTGTTGTCTGTATTGCATCCATTAAAAAAGCTCATTAAATAACAAGACAAACGGTGTGCTGATTGATGACCAACTAGATCTTATAGATCAGACATTACTGCTGTTGTCAGACCAACGGTACACAACTCCATACTCATTGTGCTGATCAATACTAGTTGTGAGAAGAATACAATGAAGCCCATCTCCATCCCTGCCCTCAGAACATACCCATGCACTCAAATGCACTCTGACACAGGGCTCTTATTACAAACCCGTCCGTCACAAATGACCATAATCTATACCGTGCTCCCAATGGTTCTCCCGGGAAGCTCCCCTCATTTCATTTTTCATCTCATCCTCTTTCACTTAATCTCCAGTAGTTCAAACCCACTATTTGCAAATATGAGGAGACACGGAGGCCTGCTGTTTTGACAAGTTAAATCACTAAATGCAATGATGTGCTTCCCAGCCAGTCGGTAAGCAGCACACGTCGCCAGCCACCGCCTCGCTGTGTGCTTAACATAAACGTGTGTGTGGATGTGCATCCTTTTACCACGTGCACAGTGCTCCTTATTCCTGCAGCCACCCGACCCTCTGCAGCATCTTTTTGAGGTGAAATTGAAATGGATTGTGTAGCTCAATATTTTATTGACATCAACTTCACAGAATGTTGCTACAGTGACACCGGGGATAATTATTTCACCACAGATTTCTCTCTCTCTCTCTCTCTCTCTCTCTCTCTCTCTCTCTCTCTCTCTTTCTGCTTTCCTCCAAGCCCTTCCATTCCTGTAGAGAATTAGTTCTGCATAAATTACCCAGTGGAATATTGAATCAGTCTCCAGCCACCAAAGGCGAGCCTGTGTGGCTGATTACCGAGCAGTGTGCACAACATGCATGCGGACAAACACACACAGAGCAAGAGGGAGAGGGGCCTTTAAGCGAGGAGCTGACACCATTGCAGAAAACATGGTAAGAGGAGGAGGAGGAGGAGGAAGAAGGGGGAGGGAGGGGGATCAGCCAATCTGGATATGGAGAGCAAGAGCTGTATTAGCCATCCTAGCTGCACACTATCTGCTCATTACTTAGTCATTAGCAGGGCCATGGTTTTAAAGGAGGGAGGGATCAATCAATTGTCATGGGTCAATGTTTTGCAGCCCCATTATGAACCTTGGGTGGCTCTGTAAATTAAGCACAGTAATTACTCATGTTAATTACACAAAGATGGTGGTCACATTGATCTACAAATACGTTTTGCATAATGTAAATGGTATGATGAGTAAACACTGGGTTGCACTTGAGTATTTAAATGGACGCCCCGCACTGATCAGATGAAAGCGGTAGAAAGGGAGCACTTCTCTTTGCTCTGAGGGGTTTCTAATCATTTATTTATTTTTACAGAGTAGTGCTGAAACCATTAGTTAATCAATTAATCAATTAACAGAAAAAAAACAATTTTGATAACTTATTAACCATTTATCATTCCAGCTTCTCAAATGTGAGGATTCGTCACTCACTGTTTGCAGTTTACAGTATTTCACTGTAAATGGAATACTTTTGAATTGTAGGTCAAACAAAACAAGCAGTTTAAAGACATCGTGGTGGGCTCTGGGAATTTGTGGTGGGCATTTCCTATTTTCTAGCTGAATAGACTAAATGATTAGACAATTAAATGAAAGAAATAATCTGGAGGTAGCTGCAACTAGCCATTAAGCTCCAGATTTAGAAATTGGCAAAGGGCATTGTCTGGTCATCGCATACCCTGAGGGCTTCAGTGCATACAAGTGAGCAAATGTGAATTTTACATAAATACTCTGAGAGCATTTCTTTAAATCTAAAGCAAATGAGCAGGGACAGTAACCAAATCCCTGGACACCCGAGTCTTGAGAGAGAGAGAGACAGTTTTCCTCGCTCTGAGATATTCAATTCCTCCACAGGGAGCACTGTGTGTGTTTGCTCTTGATTGGAAGATTACTGTATTTGATACATAGTTTATACACAGATGCTCAAGAGGCACTTTAGGGGAGAATCACTGAGCTGCCTCTCAAGCTGAAAACAACATTGTTAGCAGCAGTCCCTCAAGTGTCTTTTAAGATAATTTATTTTGCTCTTTACATATATTTAAACAGACTGATACATCTGCACAACCCAAAGTTGTGTGTCCCCAGATGTAAAATATTAGAGAGACCTAACTCTTTGGGGATGCATTGCCTCCAGAGGCAGATTTAGAAAGCCTAGACCATGTTGAATACTATATTAGAGGTTTAATTAGAGGCCCTTCGTGGTGTAAGTGGCAGCAAAATTAGAAAATGGAAAATCAGATACAGCCAGGCAATTTTCACTGTCGGTGGTTATCAGTTGACAGAACAATTAATCAGCACAAGCGCGTTGTGGAAGGAAATCCTCATCAGGAAGTCATCAGCCGCCATCAGCACTTCCACGCCAATGCATGAAACAAAACACAGGTATAAACAGGTTTGTTTAGTCTCTGCATCTTCAGTCTCTACATTTCTAGCAATTTGAAATGCATTTGGTGCCATCTGGAGGCAGGAATTCAGACTCCACAGGCCAACAGTGATGTCTTTTGAAATGTCTTTTGGAAATAATCCTCCTAATCGTATTAGTGCCACTTCACTGCTGAATGATATGAGTGCAGCTATAAGCACAAAAAGGGATGCATGCTATATGTATGGTAAAACCCATATGCTATTAAATGCTGTTATATTTGAGAATATATTGGTCTACAAGAGTACATTTCTTCCCTTATCCTCACCTCAAGCATAAACATAACACTATTCCTTTAAGCAAGACAAGGTTGGCAATAAATAAATAACATCCCATAACATATTTTAGTTAGGACACCTTACTCGCCAAATCCCTTCTGGAGATATTACGCATTTTAACCGCTAGGGGTCAGCACTCACTTGAGACTGACTGTGCTCGCGCTCCGTTGACTTCTCTTTCTTACTGTTGTTGTGCATAGGTTTATGTTGCGTTCAGGTACCTCTTGTAAACTTGTTCTTTCTACCAAGTTTTAAAAAAATACGGGTTTTTGTGAGCTTTCCATCATATTTTGAATACTTTGGGTCTGGATTGTTTATAAATGAAAACAACATAGACGATACGATAAAACTCAAGTCACCATACATACTTTTCATCACATATTTTTTAACCTTTAAGGAGTTAAGTTCCTAGATTACTGCAAGCAGCGCTTGTTGTAGCTCACACGCTATCTTGCCATCGCATTGCATGTAGCTAGCTGGATGCTAGCATTTACACAACATGGGAAAGTAAAGAAACAGCGTGCTGGTTACAAGCATAGACTGGTCCGCTGTAATGAGGACAAAACTGTAGTTTAATTATTCGTGCCGTTATTTGTTTAGGATAAGCTGCCAAAATGGTGAAGGATCAGTTTAGAGAGACGGATGTGGCCAAGAAAATGTGAGTATAGGAACACTGCTAGCTAACTTTAACTAGTTAGCTCGCCCGGTTAGCCAGTGTCAGTCAGGCTGCAAAATGTGGCTAATATTGACGACTTTGTTTCTGCACGTTCACACTAAAGAGGATACAGTGCCCCCATCAAACGCCCCCGACTGATTCAGAGATATTGACTTTAGAGTTAACGTCAGCTATGATGTGGGGTAGAACGTAGAGTCAATGTGTATATATATATTTTTTTATTGGTTCTTGTTTACTTCAGAAACGTGTCACTGCACACTTTTCTTTTTTTTTGCTTTACTCTTTGTATTTGTTTACAGAAGCCACATCTGCTTTGGGATGAAATCTGCTGAACAGATGCGTCAGCAGGCCCACATCCAGGTGGTCAGCAAGAATCTGTACAGCCAAGACACCAAACGCACTCCACTAGCCTATGGAGTGTTGGACCACCGCATGGTATGACATGCACACACACACTTGTTTTACTCTTGGCAAGAAACCCAACATGCAACAATGATGTTGTCACCCATTAATGCAGCTGTGGTCCCTCCTCATACTGCAGGCTCATGCCTCTGTTCTCGTGTTTCCTGCAGGGCACCAGTGAGAAAGACAGACCGTGTTTGACATGTGGGAAGAATCTGGCAGATTGCTTGGGACATTATGGCTACTTGGATCTGGAGCTGCCATGTTTCCATGTTGGCTATTTTAAAGCCACCATAGGAATCTTACAGGCAAGTTTACAGTCTATTGTAATATCGTGGTTATCCTACAGTGCGTTAGTCATTTGGGGGACTAACACACTGTGGAAGACAATATCAGATGGTTGGCGTAAATTAATAGGGAGACCAAGATTCAGTCGGAAGGCCCAAAAGTTGAATTGAACAAAATATCTCCATCTGTAATGCAGCGAGCAGAAATATATATTTCCTGTAGGTGTCACTAGAGCATCAAAATTAGAATAGGTAGAATATATTGTTTTCTGTGAGAGACTGTTTCCCAGCCCGCGTTGTGATGTGGGTATTTTCTTCATGTCTCCAGATGATTTGTAAGACATGCTCAAGCATAATGCTGACGAAAGAAGAGAAACTGCAGTTCATGGATTTATTGAAAAGGCCCAACCTGGCCTATCTCCAGAAGCGAGGGTTGAAGAAGAAGATCTCTGATAAGTGTCGCAAACGGACAATCTGCCTGAGTTGTTCAGCTTTCAATGGTGAAAAGAGAGATTTTTGATATTAACTTTTCAACACCAACTTTTTGTGCGTTCCATCTTGGTGTAATAAGTGGACAAACTTGAGTCATGCGTCTCTCTTTTTTCTCTCTTCAGGACCAGTAAAGAAGTGTGGCCTGCTGAAGATCATCCATGAGAAGTATAAAACGACCAAGAAGGTGGTGGATGCTTTTGTGTCAGAGTTTCTGCAGTCCTTTGATACTGCGATAGAGCACAACAAAGTGGTGGAACCTTTGCTGACCAGAGCACAGGTGAACTTTTTTACACTTTTTCACACTGACTGTGTGCAGTCGGTGTCGTTAAGTGTTGCCACGCTGTGGTACGGCAAGTGATGAGCATACTTAAGACAAAAAGGTACATCAGAAGTAGGGCAAGGTATAAAACATCAATATTATTTTGCGTATGAATGAAATGAGGGTTTTAAATTTACTTTGAATAGTTGGTCAGATTCTTAGTTTTATTCTATTCTATTATTGAGAAGTTTGGCATATTTTACCAAATGAAAAAAAAGGGTTTTATGGAAGATCATTATATATATATATATATATATATATATATATTCCTCAAACTAGGGCATAAGGAAATAAGTATTATTGAAGTATCTTATCTTCAAGCAAGACTTACAAACTCGTATTTTGCCTTAAATTCTTATTTCCTCACCAGGAAAACCTGAACCCTCTGGTGGTGCTGAACATGTTCAAGAGGATTACCCAAGAAGACATTCCCTTGCTGCTGATGAACCCCGAGGCAGGGAAACCCGCGGACCTCATTCTCACCCGCCTCCTGGTGCCTCCGCTCTGCATACGACCCTCTGTGGTCAGCGACCTGAAGTCGGGCACCAACGAGGATGACCTCACCATGAAGCTCACGGAGATAATCTTCCTCAACGATGTCATCAAAAAGGTTGGTATCCGTCACTGAGGGTGCCTACTTACCTTTTATCGTTGTCTTGAATGCAGCTAATTTTATTTGAATTTCATGGAGATGGCCCACATTAACAAACTATTTGTTTTTCTGTTTTTTTAATTTATTTTTTTATCATTTAGCATCGTATGACAGGGGCGAAGACACAGATGATCATGGAGGACTGGGACTTCCTCCAGCTGCAGTGTGCTCTTTACATCAACAGCGAGCTTTCTGGCATCCCCCTCAACATGGCACCTAAGAAATGGACCAGAGGCTTTGTGCAGAGACTCAAGGGGAAGCAAGGTATACTGCATAATACAACCTGTGACATCTGGACACATTGTACAACTGTGTTCAGTAAATGCCAATAGCGAGTACACGAAAGAGAAAATGAGCACGAAGTAAGTACCTGCCGAACTGACTTTCTTCTAAAGCCGGTTTCATACACATGTACAATAGGGAAAGTTGTTTTTATGTTGTCTCAAATATTAGTGTGAGTTCTGACATAAATCGATTTAACCCCCTAAGACACATTTTGAAGTAATTTGTCACTTGGCAGGTATTCATTTTGTACTCAACTTGTACAATTCAGTGAAGAGAACTGAAAAGAAGTACACATTTTGAATTACAGAATGACTGATTTAGTTACTGTAAAAATTCAGGTCGATTCAGAGGAAACCTCTCGGGAAAAAGAGTAGACTTCTCTGGCAGAACTGTGATTTCCCCCGACCCAAACCTGAGGATCGACGAGGTGGCCGTCCCCGTGCATGTTGCCAAAATCCTGACGTACCCAGAGAAGGTAAGCCTTACTATACTGAACTACCACGTTCATGAGATAAACTACAGCTATCTAAATGTGACACTGTGTTATAGGTGAACAAAGCCAATCTGGAGCTATTGAGGAAACTGGTCCGCAACGGTCCTGAGGTTCATCCCGGAGCCAACTTCATCCAGAATCGTCACACGCAGATGAAAAGGTCAGGCTCGCTGCTTCTTATGCAAAAATATAAAACCAGTAATTCCTTTCCGTGGTTCACCACCAAACGTGTATATCTTTTCATTCGGTCAGGTTTCTGAAATATGGAAACCGTGAGAAGATTGCTCAAGAGCTGAGGTTTGGTGATACGGTGGAAAGGCACCTGATAGACGGAGACATCGTCCTCTTCAATCGACAGCCCTCCCTGCACAAACTCAGCATCATGGCCCACATCGTAAGCTTAGTTTAAGACTACTTTTACTTACTAACTTACTGATCTTTATGTATTTGTGTTTCAACTTTTCATATTTTTTTTTTTTCATTTTTCAAGTAAAAAATTGTAAGTGAAGCATCAATCAGGGTGGTTAAGTTAGGTTGTTAAACTTCTCCCCTTCTGCCAAATCTAGCTTTTCTTTTGTTGGTTCACAGCTCTTAATGTACCCTTCACAGTTTGCCTTCAAAATAAATGTTCAGGCTCAGTGCAGTGCTCAAAAGCCGCTGATTCTACTTGTTGAATAGGAAAGATGTGAAGTGAGTTTTTTTTTACAGGCGCTGGAATAAACCGGAGGAATCAAAAGTAGAATCTGTATGCACTTATTATGCTCTTATAATAACTTTAAATATCTACTGAACACAACACTGTTGTACACCGATCAGGCATAGACGCTTGACAGATATTTGTGACAGATTGGAACAAAGTGGATCATTATTTATCTGCACCTTATAAACCAAACTAAATGAGTTAATGTTCCAAAGTCTGAATACACCGTTGTCAGCATAACAGTTCCCAAGTTTAACATAGTTTTGATTCAGTGATTGTTCTCACCATCATCAATCAGACACGGGTTTAAGTAGGTTTTCACATGATTTTAATTCATATTTTGGATTCCTTATTAATACAATAACCATAGTAAGAGAAATGCAAAAATCAAGTTCTGCAAAAGTGCAATGAAAATATGAAAAATGAAAAGAGCTGGACAGTGTTTAAAACGGTTCTATTGGTCCTCAAATTCACAGGCCAAAGTCAAACCTCACAGGACGTTTCGGTTCAACGAGTGTGTGTGCACCCCATACAATGCCGACTTTGACGGCGATGAAATGAACCTTCATCTACCTCAGACTGAAGAAGCCAAAGCTGAGGCCCTCGTCCTCATGGGGGTATACATCGTCACAACACACACACACACACACACTTTTCAGTGTGTGACGTTCAGCATTGAAAAGATTCTGTATCTCTGGTAACTGTGATGTTCGTAGGAAATTGATTGCACTTTGACACAAATTATCTTTTCTTCCAGACAAAGGCGAATTTTGTCACTCCAAGAAATGGCGAACCTCTGATTGCTGCCATTCAGGACTTTCTGACAGGTCAGTGCAGTGACGCGTGGCAGTCAGTCACAGTAGTCTGTTTTTATATGATGGGAGGCTTCTGGTGCTTTGACATACAGGCGGATATTCTAAAATATAGTGTTTTGTTCAGTAAGGAGAGTAATAGGACTCCATCACTAGTAGCATACTTTTTATGCAGAATTTATGCGTTTGCCAGTGAAAAAAAAAAAAATAATAATTTGGGGGGGGATTGCATCATTGTTACCTTTCCCCCCCTTTGATGTGTTTGCATGCCTGATGTAACTTTCTGGCTTATTTCTACCTCCTAGGGGCTTACCTCTTGACTCTGAAGGACACCTTCTTTGAAAGATCAAAAGCATGTCAGATAATCGCTTCAATCCTTGTGGACCAAGATGAAAAAATCAAGATCTCTCTCCCCCGCCCGGCTATCATGAAGGTACTGTGCACACTGGTGAGCTTTTTACATAACTCTCTGTTTGTGGTCTGGCACTAATATTTTGCTGTGTGTGTGTGTGTGTCCGTCCATCAGCCCATGACTCTGTGGACGGGCAAACAGATCTTCAGCCTCATTCTGAAGCCAAGCAAGGATTGTCTAGTCAAGGCGAACCTGCGGACCAGGGGCAAACAGTACTGTGGCAAGGGAGAGGATCTCTGTACCAACGACTCATGTGAGTTTCTTAAATACAAACGTCCACTAAACACACCAAATGAAAAGGTTTTATTTGGCAAGTTATGAAATGTATTATGTCCTTTTATTTAACCATTTAATGAGAGAGAGAGAGAGAGAGAGAGAGAGAGAGAGAGAGAGAGGGAGAACATAACAGCAAGTTGTGTTCTATCCTGTGACCCAATGATATAAATTCTCTCATTTTCCTGTCACGTTTCCAGTCGTGGTGATCCACAACAGTGAGCTGATGTGTGGTTCTTTGGACAAGGGTACCTTGGGGTCCGGCTCCAAGAACAACATCTTCTACATCCTGCTGAGAGACTGGGGACAGCTGGAGGCGGCTAACGCAATGTCTCGCCTGGCTAGACTCGCTCCGGTGTATCTATGTAGGGGGGGTCCTCAGGGACATTACATTTCTTACCATGTTCTGCAAACTGAGATATCCGTCAATCTTATCACCTGTCAATCACAAATAAATAATAATAACAGAATAGGTGACTCTTAAACAGATCTGCAAACTGGATAATCTATAGAGACGCTGATTGCAATTTCAGTTGATTTTTTTTTTAATTTAAATTTTTTCAACCCCCAACTTTTAGCCAACCGTGGCTTTTCTATTGGCATTGGTGACGTGACACCTGGCCATGGTCTGCTGACGGCCAAACAGCAACTACTGGATGACGGTTACCAGAAATGTGACGAATACATCAAAGCTCTACACACGGGCAAGTTGCAGCAGCAGCCGGGATGCACAGCAGAGGAGACTCTGGAGGTAGGCGTGCATGCATATTCATACATGGGGGGGGGACATTAACACCTATGTGGATTTACATAAGTCATCCGGATCCTCGCTGCTGCATGCTGTTTATTCAGCCATGTGCACGCCACGTACTATTTAAGGTCTTTCATCTAATACCTTTATTAGCAACTGACACCTTCCCTCCCCATGGCACTGACTGGATATTCACACCTAGGGTGACTCGTCAGTGGCGCGATTGGCTTCCTGTTGCAGAACAACCAGTAATTGATCTTGAAAGTGAATTAGAGACGCGTTGAAGTTTGTGATGTTGGTACAAGGCTTGATCTCAGAAGTATGTAGACTAATGTTATATTAATCTAATTCAATTATATAAACCACCATTGCTGTGGTATCACATCGCAAACAAACCTGCACGACAATGCTGCAGTATAGCTAAGAGATTTCACTTTTGCCTGGTACCTGTTGAAATAAAGGTTTGTTGATTTAAAAAAAAAGAAATAATGGTGAATAACATGTTTTTTTTGTCAGCCACCAAGGTTGTTTTATTCAGAATGTCTTTCTCAACAGGCTCTCATCTTGAAAGAGCTGTCTGTCATCAGAGATCGAGCCGGTAGTGCCTGCCTCAGGGAGCTCGATAAGAGCAACAGCCCTCTCATCATGGCTCTTTGCGGCTCCAAAGGTAAACTCGCTTGAAAGGAAACTTGAATAATAATTTTAGTTTGAGTTTGGCTATGTATATTTTTGATTCTAATATTTCTGTTTTTGTGAATGCTGAGGCAATGGATGAAACTGGAGCATCAAAGGATGTCATTTTTCGCTGATTATCATTTTATCCTGTAAAGACTTTGTTTACTCTGTGTCTGTGTGAGGGAGAGAGAGGGAGAGAGAGGGAGAGAGGGAGAGAGGGGGGGAGAGAGAGAGAGAGAGTCAGTCAGTCGTTCTACGGGAGTGTAACGGCTGTAGCCGCTGCTGTTGATATGGAGCTGAAGTTTCAGTAAAGTGAACGGTAACCTCCAAATACAAGCAGGAAGTAGATGACTACTTTTACTCGTTTATTCTTGTCACAAGATGACTGTGGACTCCATGCATGATACAAAGTACCGAGTTGCAATGAACTTGGAGGGAATCAAGCTGTCTGAAACTGAATGAATTGGAATCTATGCGTGTGTTCTGATTTCTGTATCTCATATTCTGTATCTCATATTTCCTCTCAATATACATACAGGGTCTTTCATCAATATCTCCCAGATGATTGCCTGTGTGGGCCAGCAGGCCATAAGTGGCTCTCGAGTACCGGATGGGTTTGAGAATCGCTCCCTGCCTCACTTTGAAAAGCATTCAAAAGTAAGATTCAATTCATGTATTTGTTATTGTGCTATCTTTTTCCTTTTCAAGGGATCATACTTGTCAGAATTTGTTTGTTGGGAGATACAATGATAGATTATAGTTATTTTGAGCTTTTGCAAATGGCTACGACACATTACGTCTTCAAATATGTCTTATTTTTCCTGACCTTAGCTCTGGTGTGTGATTGTAACCATGGTGTGCAGTGTCTCACAGTGACGTGGAATAATTATTCAATAGTTTCTCATTATTTTACACCAACCTCAGTGCATTGAATGTCTGTTATGTCTTTGTTTATCCAACGGCGGGGGGGCACACACACACACTACACACACACAACAGACTTGTGTGACTTACTCATAATAATTAATGTTGCTGCATAATGAATAATACATTTTTTTTCCCGTGTTGTTCCTTATTGTTATGTCATCTATTTTGTTTTTATTGTAATTACTTCTGTTTCTGTTTGTACCATGTGAAGTGTCTTTGAGTACCTTTTTTAAAGCGCCATACAAATAAAATGTATTATTAATGTGAGATATGTATGTATGTATGTATGTGTATGTATGTATATGTATGTATGTATATACACACACAAAAAAAAGATGCATTCAAATACTTGTTTACACGTTAAACACCATGTCAATGTTCAAAGCTTGGAAGCATTCGGCTGAGTCTTAGAAGGCACATTTTACGCGTTTCAAGAATCCGTCATGTTCTCTCTACAGCTGCCTGCTGCCAAAGGCTTTGTGGCCGACAGCTTCTACTCCGGCCTGACACCCACTGAGTTCTTCTTCCACACCATGGCTGGAAGGGAGGGTCTGGTGGACACTGCTGTGAAAACTGCAGAGACCGGATACATGCAGGTAATGCCTGAAGACCTTTCCCCAGGGTTCACTCCTGTTGCCATGCTGACATCACATCTCTGAATGAAAGTACAGTATGTGCCTGTCTGCAGTGTCCTTCATACTTGAAGTTTTACGAGTAGTAGTAACTATTCTGCTGCACAATCTTATAATACTGTGTATTAATGCAATTCATCACTTCTACCAACTTCTTATATTTCTTTGTTAGACAAAAAAACAAATCCTAAATTGATAAATGTTTGCATTTTTACTGAAATGACAAATAGATTATCAATAATGGATCATTTTTTGTCATACAGTTGCAGTAGATGTACGTCTCAAGTATGCACATTTATTACATAGAAGTCTGAACAATAGAGCACTTAATTAGGTTGCATCTCTGATGTATTTTCACATATATGCCTGAACCCAAAGTATACTTTCGGGTCCATGCAGATGCTTTTTTTTCATGCGTCTGTCACACATGTGTCACTGTGCTATTTTCTTGTGTTCCTGCTTGTGCTTGCTTGGACAGAGGCGTCTGGTTAAGTCCCTGGAAGATCTGTGCTCACAGTACGACTTGACGGTACGCAGCTCCACCGGCGACATCATCCAGTTTATTTATGGCGGAGATGGTCTGGATCCAGCTGCCATGGAGGGAAAGGACGAGCCGCTGGAGTTTAAGAGAGTCCTAGACAACATCCGGGTGAGAGGAGAGTTCTTGGACCTGCTGTGCTCGGTGTTTTCTTTCTTCTTGCCTTCTGTCTTTCTTAAACACATCCGCACAGATGCGTCCCTGCGCGCACACCTACGCATATACAAATGTGTACACACCAATAGCATAGTTAATTATGTCACATAACCCACCTTGTTAGTGCAGTCCCATTCCACTCTAATCATTCTTTTATTTTTGCTTCGTACGGTCCGTATCGCAACTTTCATGGACTATTTTAAGCTCTGGGAGGAAAATAAACCGCATTCTCTTTCTGCGAGAAGCCTACTGCCCGCTTTAGAAGCAGCTCATTAGCAGAGAAGCGGTGAAATTACAGCAAATAGATGTTCTCAGCAATCGTTTAGCATTTCCAGGCAACAGAGTTATTTGATCAATAGTTTATAATAGATGTTCTAGTCAACTGGAGATTTACCTCCAGGACTTGTCTCATGTTTACTCTCTATTGGGCATCGTTGACATCCTTATTTGCGTTGTTGCCTTTAACGGAGACGTAGCTAACGGTTGACAACAAAAGAAAGTTATTGATGTTTTCTGGGGCTGTTTAAGTTGTGTTTGTTTATACCGGTAATATTAACAGTTCAAAAAACACAGAAAGCTGTTTTTTTTTTTTTAATCAACAAAACCTCCTCCGATTGTACGTATTTGTCTTTTTTACAACTGTTATCGAGACTAGATGCTGTAGTTCCCAGGTGTTTCCGTGTGTTCTTGCTATTACGGTGTGATTAGAAGTCTGCAATCAGTCTAAAATGCCACCTGTGTTTACCGCAGTGACTGGTGATTGAGTGTTCGCTCACAAGACAAGATTGATCCCAGAGAATGTGAGCGCTGCAGGAAAACCATCTGCTGCATGTTGTTGTTTTATCGGAAAGCTATTTTTATTTACATGGTACATTTCAAACCGAGCGGCAATGCAAGGTGTTTTACAAATGACATATAAGACGATAAAAGAAAAAACAAAGTAAGAGAGGAACTCTTAATAATTATTATGCGTGTTTGCTTCGGTCTGTGTGCTTAATCGGTTTATAGTAAGCAGTTACATCCGTCTATCAAGAGCTTAGAGGACATGTGATGGTACAAGCTATTCTAGTGGTTTTATTTGTTTAAGGAAAAGCACAAGAGATCAGATAGGAATATAATGACATAACTATTTCTGTTCCAGTCAATAGGTGATTTTCTGTAAGTGTTAAGGTGAGTAGTTTCAGAAAGTGTTGGCTCCGCATTCCCTCCTTTTGATCCTCTCCGTTCCCACGCAGGCGATCTATGTGTGTACGGACGAGCCTGCGCTCAGTCAGAACGAGCTGGTCCTCACCGCTGATGTCATCACGAAGACAGCTGACTTCTTGTGCTGCAAAGGCGGCTTCTTGGAGGTATTCAATCAAAGTTATGTTTGTTTCTCGAATACGTTTGTTTTTATTATAAGTTCTCCACAACTACATGCCGTCTTGCAATGGAAATACAAGGGAGCAGAATGCAAAAGACTCTCTTAAGAGCTCAAAACGTCTGCTATCAAGTATCTATCAATGTTAAACAGTCCCTGAAATGTTTCTTTAAGGCATCACTTTAGGTAAGTTCACTAGTTGATGAGAGATGGATGTATCTTTGGTATCTTGCAAAGTTAAGACATCCAAACATCTATTTCTGGATTTGCACCAAAAAGTGCCTAAAAATAGTTTCCAGCTTTTTTTACCCGCTTTATTAAGGCCTTCTGAGTAAACTGCTGACAAATATATCGTTTTAAAAAAAGGCTCAGTAGTTTCATGTATTTCTCTCCTACTGACTGACACTCCTGTTTGAGTGAAGTTTGCTAAAAACGATCAAACTTTAGTCAAACAAGGAGTGCCAGTCTTTTTTCAGTGCACTACTGAGTATTTACACGGGGATTGAATCAAAATAAAGTACAGTGCCCTTGTTCACCATAATAAAAGAACACGTGACAGTACGAAGGTGTAGCTCACTGGTGTGTTTTTAATAGTTTTGGGGCAGAGAGGAATAAGTTGTAACAGGCTTTTTGACAATAATTAAACTTTTCCTGTTGATACAGTTTATTTTTTCATTAAAGCAAAAAAACACATGAAAAATCAAAGTTGTGGCAAAACACCCACATGTCCACTTGTATTACAGAATACATCTTAAATTCTTTTTGTACAAGGTTAGGAAACAACCAAAACTTGTGTTAAGGTTGTAAGGTGAACTCGTGAACACTATTTGAAAAGAATCTTTTCTTGACTGATGTTGCATTATTAGTCTGGGAAACGGTGCCAACAGAAAGTCCTTACACATCCTGTGGTTGTTATGCAACGCCTCCACACTATATAAGTACAAAAGAAAGCATTACTTTATATCCTTTGGCTTTTGACAGTATGCTGTAATAAGGCATAACATGGCAGAAAAATAGTCGTCTTGGATATAGTATATAATGGATTAAACAATGCAAGTAGATGGAGTCAAAAGCCTGCAATTACCTGCTGGCAATAATTCATGTGAACCTTTCCCCCCCCTTTTGTGAAGGAGTTAACTGCCACAGGCTCAGAGAAGTACCTGGAGGTACAGTGACCGAGCATGCTGGATTGCGGTTTAACTGATTCGAGAATGTTGTGACAAGGAGAGCTTGAACAGATTGATAATGTATTTAATAACCACATTGTTGCTAAGAGATTGCTCAATGTGATTTACTGAGAGTTTGCATTGGTCGTGCCTTTACTGTAATATCTAACAACTGCATGACGGTGTGTCGTGTCAAACAGCAAACAGTTCGGTCACACTTCATTATTTGTTCCCCGAAAGACGCTCGTGAGGCTTTTTGCTCGACCTGTGAAATTGTTGATTTATTTCCCCTCAACTGTAGGAGATAAAGAAATTTGTCAAGATTATCTCAGAAAGGATCAAGAAGACCAGAGACAAGTACGGAATCAACGACAACGGCACCAGCGAGGTAGGCGCCACACAGCGCGTGGATTAATGTGCTGTGCGCAGCAATATCCTTAAGCGCCGCTATTTCAGAAACTTAATTGCTCATCACTATTTTTGTTGTGTTGCAGCCAAAAGTTCTCTATCAGCTGGACCGCATAACCCCCACCCAGCTGGAGAAGTTCCTTGAAACCTGCAGAGACAAGTACATGAGGTACGAGACGCCTGGTTTTATTCTAAGGCTCACTGTCTGTGTTTGATACTCATTTACAGCAGTTTTTTTTTTTTTTTTTTTAAAGGAGCAGCTTGATTTTATGTCGCCACACATCCAAAGGTTTTGTTTTATGCTGCAAGAAGACACTGAACTGCAGATAACTATAAACAACATACTCTTGGGACAACAACATGTTGCCTCTGGTAACAGAAAGAAACAAATGAGCTGCTGAATATGTGCCCGAGTTCCTCTAAGTTAGTAGAAACCATCCTAAAGGTCGGGTTAGGCTGGAAAATGGCTAGTTCTAATGAAGTGTTGTCAAACCACATCAGAGGGCAACTATCAAATAGTGTGACAAGAAACAATAAGCTTTAAATATGAGGATAACGGCAGGCTTTTCCAGTCGCTTCCTTCTGGAAAGCATAAAGGTTAAGAGTTAAAACCCTGCTTGCTTTCTCACCTCTGCACACATAGCCAGCAGCTGCATGAAGTGGGCAAGAATGTCAGATTGTCAGTTTCGCAAAGTGACAATTGAGAAATGTCACTCAAATCCACAAATGTCAAATTCATGGTGGCAACAAAGTAAAAGACTGAATCCCTTAATTATCCGGGCTGTACCAAATTTCATGGCAATCCATCGAGTAGTTGTTGAGAGACTGACAGCCTGCCAATCCCCAGATTCAATTAAAATATTAAATAATAACTAATAAACTGTCTGCGTTGGTAATGCTTCCAGCAGAGGAGTAGTAGATTCATCTAGTGATTGGCTTTTATCCCCCACATGCACACTCCCCTGTGCAGTCATCTGAGGGCTGTTGAGATGATGATGACGTTCGTAGAATAATGGCCAACTTTCTCTTAGCTTTCATTAAACTGACAGTTCAGTTTACTTTACTCGCACAGAGCCCAGATGGAGCCCGGCTCAGCAGTAGGGGCCCTGTGTGCCCAGAGCATCGGAGAGCCCGGCACTCAGATGACCCTGAAAACCTTCCACTTCGCTGGTGTGGCGTCCATGAACATCACTCTGGGGGTGCCTCGCATCAAAGAGATCATCAATGCCTCCAAGAACATAAGGTTTGACATTTAATTAGGTTTCGTTATGGTTTTTACCATGTTTGACATTTAGAGAATTTTGTAGCTACTTTTAATGAAGCATTTAGACACTGAATTAAGGCATTTAGCAGAATGAGCTGGGCCACATACATTGTCTCTTTGTCACATCCCTGACTTGTTTTGAATAATCCATTGAGAGTCCTCTACTCACCACTCAGCACCCCTATAATCACGGCTCATTTGGACGTGGAAGAAGACGCCGACTTCGCCAGGCTGGTGAAGGGAAGGATCGAGAAAACTCTTCTCGGAGAGGTATTCCCACCGGCAGCATATTTTACACGCATCTTTCTCCCCTTTTGTCATTAGATTGAAGGTATTGACTTAAGGGACACCAGTAGTTCCAACAGAGTCAGTCAGAATATGAACCAGTGCAGTGATGAAGCCAACGTCTCTCTCGCTTCTCTACAGATCTCTGAGTACATAGAGGAGGTTTTTCTACCAGACGATTGCTTCATCCTGGTGAAGTTGTCACTGGAGAGAATACGGCTGCTGCGACTGGAGGTACCACGGTTTCTTATTGTTACTGTCACAATGTTGGAATATTTCAAATGCATCCCCACTTACTTTCATACATATACGTTGATTAAAGAGGAATTTGTGTCGTGTGTTGAGTAATAACTGTGGTAGCTGTGCCTCTGATTTTAGTTTTTCGCCTTTCAGGTAAACGCAGAAACGGTGCGTTACTCTATCTGCATGTCTAAACTCCGAGTGAAACCAGGCGACATCGCTGTGCACGGCGAGGCGGTGGTGTGCGTGTCTCCACGAGAGAACAACAAAAGCTCCATGTACTACGTGCTGCAGTCATTGAAACAGGAACTTCCGAAGGTGATGATTCGGTGGTCTGTGAATTGTTAGAGTAATTGCTGATTGCGGCCTGGAAAACTGTTTGATTCTAACGCCCTGATCAGTAAGAAGGAAGAGAATGAACCTGTTTAATTCATGTGGTACTTAAAAAGTAAATGTGTGCATTGTTTTCCTTCTTTTTAACTGTTCCAATTTCTCCCGTGGAAAGGTGGTGGTTCAAGGAATACCGGAGGTTTCCCGAGCCGTCATTCACATTGACGAACAGAGCACCAAGACCATGTACAAACTCCTGGTGGAGGGGGACAACCTGAGGTCTGTCATGGCAACTCACGGAGTGAACGGAAGCAGGACCACTTCAAACAACACATACGAGGTAATCTGTAAAGGGAGAGTCAAACCCAGTGGGTTGGATTAGAGCCCTGCGTGCGTCCTTTATCTGGTTCCTCGTCTGCCTCCTTCTTATCTGTCGCTGAGACTGAACCTGTAACCATGAACCAACCTGCTCTTTACAAACAATACATTGAGGTCAGCTCAATTTGAGTGAGGTTGAGGTGAAGCAGGAGCTTACTTTTTGTTGTTTAACACCTATCTCTACTGAGATATGATATGACACCGAGTGTGTATGTTAAGGTCCACGTGAATGCAGAAGAATGTTTGATAAAAACCTTATTTTCCTTATTTTAAATGCTACCACTCCAAGTATCCACATCTCTACTATAAATGATTCCAAAATCCATCTTTATAGAATAGAATATACTTCTTACCTGGGCTGAAAATTTTGATTTATATATTGACTGCAGGTAGCAGCTTGATGTTTTACAAGCTTGTGCCCTTTTCTAGGTTGAGAAGACTTTGGGTATCGAGGCGGCTAGATCCACCATCATCAATGAGATTCAGTACACCATGGTGAACCATGGAATGAGCATTGACCGGCGTCACGTCATGCTTCTAGCAGATCTCATGTCCTACAAGGTATGACCGGTCTAAACCTTGATATTTCTTCAGTGTGTGTGTGTGTGTGTGGGGGGGGTGTGTGTGGTTAGAGCTGATTTCACCTGTCTGCATACTTGTCTTCTGGCTACAAAGGGGGAGATACTGGGAATTACCAGGTTCGGCTTAGCCAAAATGAAGGAGAGTGTCCTCATGCTGGCCTCCTTCGAGAAAACAGCCGATCATCTCTTCGACGCCGCCTACTTTGGACAAAAGGACTCAGTCTGTGGTAAACTGATGCTTCATCTCTGCAGTGAAATTGAACGTAACCCTTTTGTCTTAACTGGGCCTTAACATTTCCTGTGTTCCTGTTCCAGGTGTGTCTGAGTGCATCATTATGGGGATTCCAATGAATATCGGAACGGGACTGTTTAAACTACTACACAAGGCCGAGAAGGATCCCTCTCCGGTCAGAAGACCTCTCCTCTTCGACAGTGCAGACTTCCATATACCTCTGATCACATAGCCGCAAGAAAAGAAGCGGAAGAAGTTCATTTTTTCTTCTTCCTGAGAGCCTGCTGTCTACAGACCTCTTGTGCCTGCCAAAGTGTCAAATGATTTCCCTTGTTGGGATCAAAAACAAAATATAGTTTTGAGAGGGCGGGATGTCGCTGCTGATGCCACAGACTGTGAGGACACTGCATTCATTTTACAAAGCAAGTCTGTTAGCATTGGGAAGTAGTGGAATTATTATTATTATTTCAGTTAACTGTGAGGCGATTACAGAAAACTTCAGATGCTTTGGTGTTCTTTTTTCGGGCTTTTTACTTGTTTGATGAACCGTGTGTTTCCTCTGTTATTAAGATGTTACAGAATCTTATACTCCCTCAATGTGATGGCACTGAACAAGTGTGCAGCGGACGTAAAGATTACCTCTTAATCATGAAGCAGGCTTGATCTCTTCTGGTTTGGCGCTTGGTTTTGCATTATACTAGAACTGCTTGTTTTTAGCTTTGCAGCTTCGAGACTTTTCATTCACACTGCAAAACCAACTTCAGGTTGTCTTTTCTAAAAAAAAAAACTGTTTTCATACAAGAATCGGATCAGCGGGGGTTCATTGGGTTAGACATTTGGCTTCCTGTTCAAAGCCTATTTATGTAATAATGTATATAATGTAATAAAATATATGACCCAGGAAAACATGGCAAAGTGTTTGTGTACATACTCTTTTTCGACATACATTACAATTACTTTTTCGACATATATTATGATTCTTTTGGACATACTATTACTTTTTTGGACATTTTACTATGACTTTTGTCAACATACTACACTGGGACATTTCTACTACTTTTTGGACGTACTATACCCGATTTTATTTCCATATCCTATACTGTGACATTTGTATGAACTGAAATACTCCCACTTGTCCCTCAAGTCATTAGCTCACCTGGTAGAGCAAGCGTTCAATGAACAGGTTGGTTTGAGCCTTCGATTGTGACTCAGCATATGCTCATTAAACACTTGCTCTACCAGGTGAGCTAATGACTTGAGTGACTAGAGGGAGTATTTCAAGTGCCTCTATACAGTGTTACTATTATGGTATGACTTTATTTGATATATGATGCTATGACTGTACTATGACTTAGTATAGCATGTCGAAAAAAGTCTTAATTGAAAAGTTAAGCATTAGGTTCAGCCCCATTCATATCATTTTCAAACAGTCCCTAAATTAGAATGCCCCTATTTGGATGCATGCTGAAAACAAAGAAACTATTTACAAAAAGTCATTTTACTCAATTTAAAATTTTATATACCAACAGGATTATGACCTCAATTTCTGCAAAATCCCATTCTTGCAAAGAGACAGAGCACAACAAATAATTGCGTGACACAAGCCAAGAATAGAGCCGACTGCCATTGTAATCCAGTGATCTGCATACAATAGTTAAAAACAAAGAAAAACAGTAATTTACACTGATGATTTCAATTTTAAAGCAAAATGTTTAAAAGTAACAATTTGTACAGAACTATGAATAAAAGCCAAGCTGCTGTTACAAATTACAGAAAGTCTTACTGACTTTAAAGATACACCAAAATGAAAACATTCACAAAAGTTGCGTCTAGATATTATTGTTACAAAAATATGCCACAGCACCATAAAGCACACACATTAAAACTAGTCTTGTCCTTTGTGTGTGTGTGTGTGTGTGTGTGTGTGTGTATAATGCCACAACTCCCATCAGTGGATCCAATTAATTAATCCTGTTAAAATCAGTGTCCTCTATGTTCTTTTCCGAACAGTTCTCAGTCTATCATAACACCACCGTGGTAACAGTTTCTGATTATTTGGGATGGAATTGAACATGGTTCCATGAACAAATCATAAAATGCTGACTGAGAGAGGCTTTATGTCCTGCAGATATCAGAGACATCTCAACAGAACTGATTTCTCTATTCAGGTAAAAATAAAAAGGTGTTTCACTGTCTGAACCCTGGTCCTGATTGCCCCAAGTGCAGCAAAACTGCCCCTTTTTGGTATTCCTTCATTTCCTTTCTACTGTTGTCCTGACCAGAATGAAGAATACGCTCTGGCCTCTGGCACTGCAGAGAGATATTTTGGGTCTTTGAACCACAACTGTGAGATTTAAAATCACATCTGATGCACCTGCAGCTGTTGACTGACAGCCAAAGGTCGGGGCGAGTTCAACGGCTAAACACCTCAACTTTGAGCCGGTTGTCATTTGACTTGAGAGGAGCTGTTTGTAGGGAGCTCTGTTTGTATGGTGGAGATTTTTTCTCCTATTATTCCTAACAAGCTCTCTCCGTGGAGCGAACTTGAAGGTCCTTTCTCTGCCGAGTGCTGGTTCAATCTGTTGCCTTCATCTGATCCCAGGAAGGCTTCTCTGCTTTGAGGTTTGATGTACTGCACGGTCAGTTTCGGCATCACCACGGCGCCGCCTTGCTGGTTAGGCTTATGTATGCAGTGGGAGAGGGTGGAGACGCAGCTCTTCTTGAAGTTCTCGTTCATGAAGGCGTACACAATTGGATTGTTGAAGCTGTTGAAGAACCCGATGGCCTGAACAACGGCGATGATCATGTTTAATGTGACTCCGTTATATTTCTTTTCCAGGTCATCTGGACAATACCACAAAGAGATTAAAAACTCAAACTGATGAGCTGGACAGATACTTTTAAATAAACAGCTATATGCTACATTACATTCAAATTCATATAGACTTCAGCTGTACTTACAGTACTCAAACAGCATGTGGACTGTGTGGAACGGTGCCCAGCAAATGGTGAAGAGCAGAACGATGGTGATCATCATTTTAGCAGCTCTTTTCTTTTTCCTGTAGAAATTCACAGCAGACAATTTTACTTGTTATAGATCCTTCACTGGCTTCCCATCACCAATTACAACCAATTTCGTTTTTTGAAATGCGAAACAAATCCATACTACCAGGAGACATGATGCCTAGAATAAATACGCCTGCAAAATGCAAAAATATGACCTGTGAGACACCTGTGCTGTCTAGTGTACCTTGAGATCTTACTGATCTCCCTGTGGTTCATGGTGTTGAGGACCGAGGAGTCGCCCACCCTCTTGCGGATCCACAACTCAATGGCGATGCGTGTGTACAGCAAAAGCATGGCTGCCAGGGGGATCAGGAAAAGAGCCACCATGATGAAGGTGGTGTACACCTGCCTGTGAGTGAGAGAGCGCCAACTCTCCTGACAACACACGTGGTAGTGATCATACAGGAAGTCGTACTTCACCTTTGAGAGGGAAGGAGAGAAGCTGTTAGTCCTGATTGACCAGCGCATACTACTAAGCTCGACCAGAAAAAGACATTGCGAAAAAAATACGACCCCAATTCACAAGATTCCGATTCGCACAGGACTAATAGTATCACATGACTTCTGTGTGAAATATCGTAGGTAATTTGTGTTTTGCATAGGATTAAGATCACAGACAACCTCCGCAATTATTACAAATTACTAGAGGTCCCCAGGTAATACTGATATGGTGCAAATAGGGCTTAAGAATTGTTATTGTTATTCATTCCGTAGAACATGCACACCAGCATCATGACGCCCAGCCTGGTGTTGCTGGCCTTTTGTTATTGGATTACCACAGAGCAACAACAGACCATGCAAGGCAATCATTCACACAGTATTCGGCCAAACCACAACAACCTCAGCATCACTTCAGTGCCTACAACACACACCACACGTCAGTATCAATGAATAAACAAGGTTTTACTCTGTAAAACTAGCAAAAGAATACCATCCTCACTGTCAACAATTTGACAGCAGTATGAACAAAATCAGCATTATTGCAGGCTTCTGCCTTACACTAACATTAGCAGAACAGTTTTACAGCCACAAATTCACCGAACTAAACTAGTTCCTTCATTCTTTGATGGTTTCTTCTTTCTCTGACAATCTTTTTTTTTAAAGTAGCACATCCCTTATAGACTGTAGCACAGTGGAATGCACTATCCATGAATTTAAAAAAAAGAAAGAAATCCAGCTGGTCAAAAAGTCAAAACTGGGCATAGATTCATTATGAAACCAAACATTTTGAAAAATCTTTTCACTCAATTTTTAAAAAACTGATTTAAAAAACTTAATTGCCAAGTCCAATCAAACAGCAAAGTAAAACAAAGGTTAATAAGGGGCCTCTTCAGGGGATACCAGACAGACAACACTGTAGTGACACCATAACGCCACCAGAATAGAGAGGCACAGGTGAACGGTCGATACATTGCCCACTGCTGTCACGGCCATGGCTGTGCCTCAGTCTGGTTCCTTTCTGTTTTCCTGTCTTTCCCTCTCCTGCCGTGTCGCATGTTGTCTCTTTGTTTTTGTGACAGACTTGCAGACCACTGACTTGGCTATGGTGGTAATTTGCCGTCCTAGGCCGCTTGAATCACGCATTCAACGTGACTGCATTTGGCATGATTATATTATTTAAATCTGGAGAGACTTCATTAGAATGAACAATAATCTATTACACATGCATAAGAGATGAATAGTGAAAAGGCTTCGGCGATTGGACTGTAATAAAGGGGTAGTGATGCTGACGTTAGATAAGGCATAGTGAAGGGAGGTGCTGCGATCCGATGATGAATGAGGAGCATGACTGTGATGCTGACTGGAGGTGAGTGGGGTGGAGGAGGGTCGTATCGGATTGTGCTGCAATGACAACTGACAGCAGCAGAGATGAAAGCAAAGATGTGATTGGCTTAAGGAAACCGTGGCAGATCTGGTTGTTTAACTTAAAAGTGAATGCCCACAATCAGCTGATAGGGCGGAAGTCACAGCCAGAGAGAGACAGAGATTTATGAATGAAAGGAGTGTAAAGAGAGTCTTCCTGACTGAAATTCCGCTAAGCTTCATATACCAAATAGCAAGCTGAAAAAGCCAACTAGCATTTCTCAGCCATTCAATTCAATGTGAACACTTACCTCTAGCTGTTGCACAAACAGCATTGGTGAACCCACGATCACTGAGGCAATCCATACCAGCCCTGCATGATACGACAAGTAAAACAATTACAAGCTGGTAAAATCTGCAGAAAACACGGTTTAAATACTACTCAGCTTGATACAGTAGCTGGCAATGATATTCATGGCGAAACCTGTGCAAACACCAGTCACAGCAGCTGCATCATTAAATACCTTTCACGTGAATAACAAGCTGTCAATCATGCCGAGAGCAAGGTTCCTCACATGTTGTATTCAATTCCAGTGTGAGAGTGCGTGGCATGCTACATGACAGACCTAATTGCAGTGCTTTAGTCATTATTTACCAGAAATATCAGCACTTACTATCGTTGCCACTTACTAAACATATATACATAAATCAAGGATTATTTCAGATGAGGAGACATTGAGTTAAGAGCTAATATTATCCATTCTGTTGTGGAGTTTCATAAGGACAGTTTGGGTTTCTTCTCACTGTTCAGCTTGACACATATGTGGGTTTTAAGACTGATATTGATATAAAAGCATTTTTTCAAAAAATGACTTAACATTAGTATATATAGATGCAATAACAGTTTACCATCCATCATATCATCAATATAGCAATATTAAATACATTTTGAAAATAAACCTGAATTCTACATAACATTCATCTCATCTAATATTTATGTGGTGTCATTGCTGATATACCATTGGGGCAGTACCTTAAAATATAACCTCGAGGAGACAGATCATTGCCAAATCATCCTGATGTAAACAACAACAATTTTCAATTTTGCATAAAATATGGGACAAATGTGTCGAGACTTGAAGAGGTTAATACATTTTCATGTTGAATTCTCAGAGGGCGAGAGCTGCAGCAGCACTTTAAACACTTTCAGTCATTTGTTTCCTGCTGCTTTCCTTCATACTGCCCTCGCTGTGCAAGGGATTAAGGCTGGAACATGCTTCTTTTTGTCCCGAGGCGTTTGCTCCTCTTACTTTGGGGTATAGTCTTAGTCTCTCTGTATCCATCCCGCTGACAGGAAGTTGGATCAACCAATCAGCTTTGGCCATATTGGGCTGGAGTGCAAACTGATTGCGTTAATCCAACTTTTTTTGAGAAGTTATTTCCAAACGGAGAAGAAAACAACATGTAATCACGGTATATTGAAAATCAGAAAACAAACCTCTCATGCGTGTCTGTCTGTATGCAGCCTGGAAACACCCACCCTTCTTCAAGTCTCTGACCTACTGTTACCCATAGCACCCTTGCCTGTGTAAGTCCTCAGAGATGTTTGCATATTTAATTTGACCTGCATATCTCAGAAGAAACGCAGGATATGTACAGGAGGCTAACAGAATGGTTATTTCCTTTTTATAAATCAGAGCAGCCTTCATCTTGCTCACAGAGCAGAGGATCCCTTTAACACACAAATATGTCCACTCTTAAGAGCACAATGAGGCACAGAGATATAGAATACCTAGCATATTGTACGCTCTTTTCGACGAGTACTGCCTCCTCATTTTCAGTGGGAAGACAATGCCCTGGTATCTCTCAATGGCAATGCAGGTCATTGTGAGGATGCCCGTCACTATGGCTGTAGTCTGCACAAAGGGAACTGTCTTGCAAACCAAAACCCCTGCAAGAAAAAAAGATACAGTTACCGAGAAACAGCGGACAGCATGCATTTCTATGAGAGTTCGCTGCACTCTTTTTGTTGACCAGAGACTGGAAACGGAGGCGAGCGCTCCCTCATCCTTTTCATCTTCCTGTGGGGTTTCATTGAAATGTCAAAACCATCTCTGATTACTGTTGAACATACATATGTCACAGCTAATGACGCACGGAGCTGAAACCCAGGAGAAAATTAGCACCGCAGTAAGACCCTCATGTTAAGTCTGCTTTGATTCAACCTGAACTAATTGTGACCGCATTTTAATAGGAGCACATGCTTTGAGCTGGCTTTCAATTGCTAAGATACATTGAATGTTGCTACATTTCAATAAGGTGTCTTTGTTGGTATCAGACATGGTCACAATATTGTGAACTGTTAAATAGGATGAAATCTGTAAAGCTGATGATGCTCAGTTCATGAGGACACAAAGGCAAACAGGTGTTTTGACTCAGCTCTCTGGTGCCGTTTAGAGGCTGTAGAAGAGTTGTATATTATCAGGTGTCCACCATGACATAGTAACAGAAAAGCCTGTAAATATTATGCAATGCAGTATTTTACAACAGAAACAATTCATTAGACTGTAGTGTGACTGCACCGGCATCAACACCTCTGACTAATTTCTTTGTTTTTATTACATAGCATTGCCTGTTCATTATTTTGTGTCCTCTACCCTCTGCAAAGTTTGACATGAGCGTCACAAATTAAATAAATACATAAGCCTGTTATATTCCAAGGCTAAATGTGACTATCATCAATGTATTTATTGATCTGTGTAGAAATATTTTAAAGAGATGATATATCTTATATTCCTAAAACTCCTCCCAGTTCGGGGACTAAAAAGTCACAGTTTTGTTTATTGATATTGAACCCCAGAGAACACATGAGGGCTCAATCTGTCATCTAGCTTGTGTATCAGCTTCTGTTGCAGCTAGCCTCATTCCTTGAAGGGATCAATGATTTTGTTTGTTTGAAGATTTTATGACACACTTATATACTATGACATTTTGATGTTATATCTATGGCATGCATTACTACGACTTTTTCATGGCATATTATATGCAAAGACGTTATTGTTATTTCTATGACTTTTTGTGACACACTATACTATGACATTGTCAATGACATGCTATGGCATACTATACTATACAGACTGACAGCACCCTGAATTGGAGCATCAGAAAGTTGAGTCAGCGCCTCTGAGTTACACGTAAAAGTTTGCTAATGCGAAAGACAGTGCATCCTGCAAAACAAAACTGTAATATTCCAATACTAAATAGTTGCATGTGGCACCCATCAATGCATTTATTGATCCGTGTAAAAAGCTCCTGCAGTAGCTGTCTTGAAGGGATCAATGTTTTGCCTTGATTGCTGGCCAACCTAATTCCCGGTTTGCTCTGCTTGTTTTGGGTTGACAACCAGTGTCAGAATCAGCACGAGTCTGTGTTTGGCATCCTTCAATGTTCAGACATTCAGTCAGTTACAAGATGTACTTATAGTGCTTTAAATTGTATTTTGAGTAAATGACGGACTTCTATCTGATTTTATTGTGAGGAGTAAACAAGAGAATAAAAAGGTTTCAATGCGCCTTAATTGCCTTATTTTCCCACATTAAAATCATTACTCCCATCAAGATAATGCCTCGTATTCGTGTCATTGCCTGAATAAGTAGCCAATGAAACATAAGAAAAAACAACTCACCTCCGAACCACTCGGACGTGATGTTTTGCAGCAGAGTGAAAGGTATGCAGAAGAAAGTGATGAGCAGGTCACTGACCGCCAGAGAGCAAATAAAAATATCGGTCGCCGTCTGTACCGCGCGTTTCTTCAAAACTATGTAGATGACCAAACTATTTCCAGCCAGAGCCAGGACGAAAATAAGCATGTACATGATCACGAAGGTGCACTTGGCGCTGTACGGTAACACGGGGATGTAGACGAGCGGCTGGATGTTGTAAGTGTTGATAAACTCTTGGCGGCTCAGGTTGTAGTGCTCGAGCATCTCCTGAAACGCTTCGGGAGTTATCTTGGTGGACCCTTGCCCTGAATCTGTCGAAGCTGCTGCCATCCTGAGAACAACCCGCTCTCTGGCAGGAAAAGAAAAAAACCGTGTCAGGGCTGAGAGAGCTTCTCTTTAACCCAGGAGTGCGTCCGGGTGGTGCGCTGTCTCCTTCATCCAACAGCTGTATAGCTGCTGCAACTGTTGCTCTTTATGCGTGTGCGTGCGTGCGTGCGTGCGTGTGGGACACGATTATTAAGTGTGATGTATGAATATTTCATACTTTATGGTCGGTAATTTACGTTTATACATTTAGCCTTGAATCTGCACACACAGACACTACATTATGCAAATCATTGCAATTGCATTTCACTTTGTGATATCTCTTACTAACACCTTTGTTGCAGATGAAAATCAAGAAATCAAATTGACTGTATTATGACATTTTTGTGACAAACTATAGTATGTTTTTTTATGTCACTATGACTTTTTATGGCATTTATATCAAATACTATGAACATTTTATGACATTATAAGGCCAACTATGCTATGCCTTACAACATGTTTTCTATGACATTTGTTTCTATGGCATATTATGCATTTGTATGAGTTTTTATGACACACTATACTTTGACATTTTTTATGACATTTTGATGTCGACACCTGTTTGACATACAGTACATTATGTTAGATTATGGTAAATGTTGGCATTCCATCCAATAGTGGTTGAGATATTTCAGCGTGGACCAAAGTGGTGGACCGACCGACCAACATATCCATCCACAGATCCATGTAACTAGCATGGCTAAAGACATGAATGCTGTAAGTACAGTCTTGTTTTTTACCATACAATTTTTCCATTATTACTATTACTATTAATAAGTGATTAATAGAAAAGTCTTAGAGCTGCATTTATGTTGGAGCTGGATGACCTTTAATAAACACAAAAGTACAGCAGAGCAGCCTTTCTACATTAACAATTAACTGAATAGAGATATTATTCCCCTATGTTGAATACATGAATACACAGACAAAGAAAGGCAGCAGCATTGTGCGTTGTCGGTTCAAAAGATATAGCAAGGCCTATATTGCGCTGTGTGAGAGCGTATTTAAACCAGACAGACGGGGGAGGATGCATTGATGCCAATAAGCTGTTTGGGGCTGATGCAAATCCATTGGGTAGCTGCAGCTAACGGTTTAACATTTGTGTTGTTTGAATTTGCTAAATTAATCTAATGTTAAAAGTTGTCACTGCCAGTTAATAAAAAAAAAAAAAAAAACTGTTGTTGAGCTTCACAAAATGATGAAAAAAAACAAGAAAAATAGAATAAAAGGTTGAAAACATGTTAAAAAGAAGGCAGAGTTAAAACGGGCAAAGAAAGGAATTGATTTACTGATCTTCCATCCTGAGATGTTCAGCCAGGGGGTGCCAAAATGGCTGTTTAGACTGAAAAGTTCTTTCAGCCTGTTGGGACCGACCTGCTTGAGGATTTCAGCCTGCACTGTGCACTGTGCACTGTGCGTGTTTATAAAATATGTGTCCTAGAGGCAGCATATACATTAACTAAATATGGCCTTAAATCTGAACCTTGGAGGACAACACAAGTTCAACAACCTCTTCTGAATCAAACAACAAAATATTGTTAATTAATACGTTCTAAAACGATTAAATAACTAACACTGCTACGGTTAACTTTGATGACCCGACCTCCTCCACATGCAGACTTTGTGGCTCTATAAATGAAGCGACGGTACTCACTTCTTTGTTCCGAGAAACGTAACTCCGACATGTTCATAAATGACTCTGCCTCGAATTTTGGGACTTCACCATGTGGGGGAACAAAGAGAGAGGCCTGCACGTAAAAATAAAAGCCTAAACGTTTTTCAGTGCTGACAAAGTTTTAAAAAAATAGATGAAAGAAATGTCATGGTTGGATTGTTATTCTTTAATCATTGATAGAAAGAAAACATTCTACCTTATTGTGTAGTTTTCATTTAGACTTTCAGTTAGTAACTGACTCTTGAAGTTTCTGTTAAAATGTTTCTTTCTGCTTTTCTTTGCTTTTGATATCTGTGATGAGGTTATATAGTCGTGTGCAACTCAAACATTGTGTTTAACAGCATCTCCTTTAAATTGAGCAATTGTGTCTAAAAATGTTCTTAAACATAGAGACTCAAATAAAGGTATGTCGGAGGGGTGGGTGAAGGAGTCGAAAAGAAAAAAGAGACATCTACCACGTTCTCCAAAGAGCTTGGTGTTAGATCAAATAAAGCAACAGATGTAGATTGTAACCTTTGGTGTGAGTCGGTCCACTGAAAATATTAAAATAACCAAGGACAAATGTGAGCACAAAGGGAGATAAAAAACAAACTTTAAGTGGTTTGGTGGTATCTAGATTAAAGCATGAAAACAGGGTTTTTATCATGAATCCTGAAAGTGATGAAATTACCAAGATATGAAAGTGATCTAAAGGTCTAAGCTGAAAAATATGCAATCTTACACAGCAAACATACTGCAGCCTTTGCCCATGAAAGCATTTAAATGCAAACATTACAAAGGCTCCAAAGGGACATAAGTATACTGGGCATAACCTTTTGCATGCCCTAAATAAGTTCCCAGTGAATTTTCTTTACCCAGAAAGAGCCAACTGGTCTAAATGCTGCTGCAATCAATACATCTATCATTTTCTTTTTACTTTAACAGGATGTTAAGGAGCTCAGAAGACATTCTTGAAGCTCGCCAGAAGGAGTAAAAAAGGCCCTTTCTCACACTGGGAGGCAATCAAAGGATAAGGGCTTCTTTCTGAAGCACGTGGGTGATGGCAGTATGAGGAAAAAGATAATAGCATAAATAGGGTAAAATCCTATGCCAACATTACTAAACGATTGGCTGCAGAAGTTTATGAATTTGGAGAAGAGCCATCGAACAAATTGGAAAAGAGAAGTCTGAAACCAAAAACAAACCAAGAGACGATGGAACAACTGCTCCAAAGATTTATGGACGACATTACGGAAAAATGGGAAAAACCTCAGGAAAGACTTGAGAACTGAAACGAAAGAAGCCTTAAACAAGCTTAAACAAGAGCACAACACCCGGGAATAGGTGGGCGGCGGAGGAGAGGTTATGCATGTTGGAAGAAAGAGATAATAAACCATCTGCTGAGAAATCGGAAAGACGTGGGCAATAAGATGGACTTCTTAGAGAGCAAATCATGACCAAACTCAATCAGCATATTCAACGTGAAAGAAGGAGCTGAGGACGATGACATACTGAAGTTGATTTTGTGAAAGGACTTCTACTGGACCAAACTGGAAAAAGGCCAAGACCAGCATGAGATAACCCAAGCTCACCTCTCCGCTCCTCTTATCATTATAAGCAGGATAAAGACACACAATTATTGCTTCTAATGCGTTCAGGACCACTCAAATTAAGACTCATCACTGTGTCAACTCACTGCTCTTTGATGGTGAGACGAGCTGAAAAGATGCTTGATTTAAATTTTGAAAAGCATAATGTCGAGGATTTTATGGAAGACACTGTTACAATTGCCAATAAAGTTGAGAGACATTTATTTTATCTTTGTTTAAACCTGGTCTAAGCCACAAAGCTCGCGACAGCAATTACAGCCGACAACAATTACACCCGACATTTTAATATGTTGGAATAAGAGATAATTTCAGGTTTCTAGATAACTAATTATTAATAAACATGTTTGATCTGATGACTCTACCGTACCCATAACTGGTTTTGCTTTCATCTAGAACTACATGTACTGCAGCACAGAATGATAAGAGGGTATCAGACACTGACATTGAAGACCCTAAACAGGCAAATAGTTTCAGTAGATGCTATGCAGAAAAGAGAAGAAAAGACACTAGATAAGTAAAGAAAAGAGCAGAGACTCAGTAGCATACAGGAAAGATGTAGAACAAGTAGAGAAAGGAACTGCAACAACCCACAATTGACTAACCGCAGATGTATAAGATATATTTTTTACTCGCATGTCTCACAAAAAAAGATACGCTCTCATTTGAATCTATGCAGATGGCTCTACCGGCTCTGTGCAGGCGCGTGTCGAGGGCATAACTGCGACTCGAAGTGTTAAGATATAAGCATACACTGTAAGTCTATTCTTTCGACAATACGCTTGTAAACGGGATTTTGATGCCCAATGAAAAGGCACAGAATAGCTGTGTCTCTGGCCTCAAAGAGCATAACACTGGCAATAAAAGGTCTTTTGAAAATCTGTGAGACACCGCAATCATGATTCTCCTGGCGGAGATAGTTAACAGAGAAACATTTAGCATTTGTTTGCTAAATTCCAGTTGACTAATAAAGGCTGAGACCTATAGCAATACATACATGGGAAAGACGGTTTTGAACATGCAAATGAGGCATCAGCCTTTGTATTTTCAGCGCATTATCCAGAGAATAAGAAGTTGCAGTTCTCTAAGTGCTCGCAGTGTTTGTCGCTGTGAACTCTACTGTTGGCCTGTGGAGATCTGCGAACAGGAACGCTCCATGACACACAATGCCACTTTTCCTCAACTGCAGTAATAAGCTTCACCTGGATGTAACAACCCTATTGCAAGACAGGGAATTCTGCGAAAGTGTTTCAACTTCTTATATGAAAGTAATTGCTGTAGGAATACTGGGCTGTGGCAGAATTCGCCCCAGTTCCACCGAATGCTTTGTAGGTGCCTACACCAACCAGTACAAGTTACTAATGCAGTGAAAAGAACATGAATGTAAATTATTTTATTATTACATTCCTAACTAACAGAGTCCAGCATGTAAAGATAAATAAAGCAATATCTGACCCTAAATCTTTTAGCACAGGTGCCCTCCAAGGGTGTGTTAGCTCCCCAGTTCTGTTCACATTAGTGAAGTGTGAGCAACACTCCCCCAAAATGACATTGTGAAATCCTCAAATGACACCACCATTCTTGGTTCACTACACCAAGATCAAGACACACCACTTTTTCACTCTGAAATCAAACACTTTGTGGACTGGTGTGATGCTCACCACCTTATTGTGAAGGTGAGGAAAACTGAGGAAATGATATATTCGACCTAAAGTCAATTGGTGACCACAATAAGCGTTCACACTGTACCCATGAATAAGGTTCTTTGTGACAAAAAGATGTTCATGCATGAGTGTATGTATGATCCATGTTCTATGCCTGCATGTGGATTGTGACGCTGGCAAGTTGATGCAGCGGCTTGAAGCCCAAGACAAATTTCACAATAAAGTACATCTTTTCATTACAACAGGATAATGTGTAGTTGTGAGAAGTAACTCAGGTGCCCTAGTAATAACAAATTTAGCAGGGAATAAAGCTTTTTGTACCCCACTACTGTACAGTCTACCTGTGGTCGGCTACAAAAAAGTGAGCTTGCGAGACTCACAGTGGCTCATAATGACGGCATAAAGCTGCTGTTGAAAGCTCCATCAAGATTGTGTTTGTCAATGTTGGTTTACACACCTGATTATATACAGTATATATATATATATATATATCTCAAGGCTGAGACAGTTTTCATACATAATGAGACAGTGTATTTTATTTGTAACTGTTTCTGACAAACAATTCTCAACTAATTGCTCGTTAACGTCGCTGTAAGACTCCAGAGATTCACTCCTCACAGCCGTCTTTACATTTCTATTTGTGCATGGATATAGCAAACAAAATGTTTTAGTTTTTTCTTCCTTTTTTCACTGCCGGCTCATGAATATCATTTTCATAAAATGAACCAGGGAATGAACAATAATGCAGAAGATTTCCCAGCAGATGTGGAGGAGCTCTGAACCCATGTCTACGTTTATCCAGTTTGATTCAAACATTGCTGCTGACTAACGTTAATAAAACGTCCTTTAGCTCAAGTGATCCATTGTTGTGAACTGTCCCTACCAATTCTTCTTTAACAGTCGGTCCAACATCTGGTTTGAACCTAATGTCACTAACTGCTTTCACACCTGGTTGACCCTGATCCCCCTCACTTTACAAATCCATTTTTCTCCGTCACTTCCTGAAAGGACTGCCTGCAGACACTATTCAGAGCTGAAAATCATGCTCCAACTGTTTTATGGTAAAACAACATCTCTATATATTTCTATTAACAGTTTATGTTCTGCTAAACCGACAATAGAATTGAACATCAGTCAAAGATAAGACAGTAAAACACAGAGCTCTTTGTAGTAAAGACACAAAAACAACAATAAAGTGAGTGTATAGACAAGATTAACCCCCACAACAATCATTATCATTCATTATTAAATAAATAGTGTGTACATATCAGGCACTATCTTGTTGTTCCTTGAAAAATGTTAAGAAACATCTGTAGAGGCAGCAGGATCCTTTTAATCCTAAGAGTCAGAGGGTCTTAACATTACTATTCACACTCACAGGCCACACTATTTGCTGCAGCAAACTGGGGAATTAATACATATTGTGGTTAAGTATAAATGTAACTGTTCATTTCGACGTCATTCAACTTAATTTTTTTATTTCTCAGCAATCAAAATAACTACTTCAGGCTTCAGTTCTATATAATTAAATATCATACCATTGTTTGTGTCTCTGCATGTGACATCCACACTGAATGAAGGTCACTCATTGTGCACACATGTCATTGTTTCTTGTTTGTAAGGGTTTCTTAGCAACAAAAGCCACACAGCACATTAAGTACTGACGGATTTGAGCTGGAGGAGGTTTTCGGAGGTAAAGTGGTTCTTCAACCTTATATTCCAATAGATTTCATATATTTCTTCTCGGTAGAACACAAAACAAACATTTCTTGGTCAAATTTGAAATGCTAAAATATTTTTGGAGTAAATCAAATTTGAGTGCTGCCTCTCTTGCTTCTTGTTAGGTTTTGGTTTTTGGCATGCGTCTTCACAAATTGGCAATCACAAGCGCCTGTCGATATTTCTATCACTTCACTTCATAACAGTACAGTACTTTGGAGTTTTTCTTTCACTCCTTCAGATTTTAAACAAAACTTTCAACTGCCATTCCAAGATATGTTGATGATGGCACAGAGTCCAGCCTCCCGTGGAAAAACAAGAGAGAGCAGTCAAACTAATCAGGTGCAATACAGCCCTGACTTCCCCAAGATGCTGACGAAAAGCAGTCCACGCTTTGGTGCCTTGAGTCATCAATCATTCTTCTCACGGCACAACCCTCATCCCAACCGGGTCAAACATATTCAAGGTGAGCATGCGGCAGAATAAATTCATGTGCTTTATGAACAGCAAATTGAATTTTAATCATGCCTCACCATACACTTCCCTAAATTAAATGTTTTCTCATTCATCTGTGGAGTACAGACGTCAGTAGACGTCAGAACCTGTATATATTTAATTGTATTTGGCTTCAGTAAATAATGACTGTGTAAGCTTTCTGTTTGGTATACTGTAACTTCACCATTGTTGGGAGCAATTCATATTCATGAAATTCCATCATCTATACATCTCATATAATACTGATCTACTTGCGGGTTGAAAGATTGCCTAATGTGGCATTTTTTCTGTCACCTATTAGTGATTCTTGCTTCCATTTAGAAGCTATTGTTATTAAAGCTGCACTAATCCGTGGAGTCACTCGTATTGACAGAATTTTCATCCAACTCTGCTGTTCCCTTTTAGCTCTCGTTTTATGATACAGCGGTTTCTTGATTGAATATTGATCGAGCCAATTGGCGCCATTGGGGGACTAAAAATTAGCCAATCAGCGTACCGCCATTGTCAGGCTGTTGTTTAGCCATTATCAAGCATGGCCAGCTGTGTGCCGAAACCGAAGAGTAATAATAACAACACTGATGCTGCCATCAGTCATAAGGCTCTAAAAATGTTGCTGAATGATGTGTCAATGTATTTTCAGCAAATATTGAAAACAATAGCATTGCAGTTTCATGTCGACGAAAAATGTATTGTTAACCTCTGTCATACTGCTATAGGATGTCGGGCTGCCACTTTGGAATAACTTCTTATTCTGTGGTGCCTTTTTCTGTCACTCTTCACTACTCTTCCCGAGCCTTCCTCATTTGTGTCCGTAACCGTAACTTTAAGCTCCGAATGCCACCTCTTTACAAAACATTGTGAATGAGCAGCTGTATGCCACACCTGGAATACTAATACGGTCCATGAAAGAGACGACTGCATTAGAGAAGTTGTTCTCTTCCCTGAGATTCTCATAAAGTCATCATCGTTGACTCTGTACAGGTTTTATTTCTTCAGGGCATTTCACTTTGATTGTCCCACACTGTTGAAGTGCTTCACCTTCTGTGTTTGTGTGAACCGTGAATATTGTGCCTCTCTTTCCCCACAGGACTAAATGGTCGGCCCGTCTGCATGGTGAGGGATGATTGGTTCGTCACCTCATCATTGTTTCCTCATCCACTTCTCAAGAGTCACGTCCTCCGGAAAGCAACTAATCCATCCTTAGAATTTCGTCTCCCTGAGAATATTTATGGAGTGAGTAGTAACAAAAATAAATCAGGTATGTTTAATGTTACACATGGCCCCTACAATGTCTTATTACTTCTTGGGAAAGCTCTGCCTTCAGAGAATGAAATTGACCATCAGAATAACGGAAGTCATTTATCCTCTTTCGTCAGCGGCACAATTTTCAGAAGCCTGGAGGGATGAACTTAAAGACCTCGCGGCAAAAGTCAGTTTATCTCCTCAAGCACAAAAGGACAGAAAAGATGTATGTATATTGCTGTATCCTGCAATCTAATGTATGTCTAGGGTTACTTAACGGCACCGTACATGTCATCCTTAGCAACTGTTTTACTACTTGAAACACATTTTTGGTTTAGAAATGTTTCAACTGCGAATATGTAGCGTCATTTGCTTCTCTTTGTGCCTACTCCCGTCTTTGTATTGACTTTTTATGTAATCGTGCTGTGGAAAAAGTTTACCTGCGTTTAGTGTGAACACAGCATAAGAAATATCAGCATTTATGCACACTACATGCATTCATCCTCTTCTGGATGGTTACTTCTGAATGATGCTTTTTTGACCCAGATTGAGTCTCAGAGGTTGCACTATTTCCCAGGTCCCACAACAACCTCCGCCAATCAAATGTTTCCGGTTTTGTCTAGCGTTGTTAATTGTGTGTTGTTAATGTTTCTGGTTCATACATTCCTAACTTATAAAAGGTTAAACTGAAACATATTTTCAAGTGAAGTTGCTGTACTTATTTTGTTCAATACAATTCCAGGTCCGACCGGAGGAAGAATTTGTCCGCCGAAAGACTCAATATTCAGCTGAAACAGGGAGAATCGTTCCTCCATCCACAAAGTCTTACCAACGCAGAGCCAATTCCCAACGCCTGATATATCCTCAGGCCTTTCATGATCAAGAACTCATGGTGAAATACTCCTCCACTGATGCTCAGCTCTTCCACACTTTGAAAATGTGTGGGGTTGAAGGAGTAGAAGGACTAGCGGCATTTGAAAAGAAAATAAACATTTCCAAGATTATAGATAATCATTTTCATAGCTTTTGCCGAAGGCTGTTGGAATATAGCCCTCAGCACAGTTCCTTGAATATAAATTGATGTGGTTTGCCAGATAATGTTGTGATAATCCCAGTTTTCTTTTCAGGTGTTTGAGCATCTTTGTCAGATCCTGCAGACAGATTCGCTGTCTACGGTCCAGCAGTGGCTTCTGCTTGCTGGACAAAGAGGTAAAATGCTTCATTTAACATAGATAATTAGTTCACTTTATGCACAGTGCAACAGATGTTGCTTTAACTCGTAAAACATTTCTAGAAATGATCAGTATCTCTCATTTCTATTTATCAGTAATTATTTGAATTACCCACTGACGGAAGGTATAATTGCTCTGCTGATGAGAAGAGCCACTAAGCTCTTTTACTAGTATTATACGATGTACCCTCAGAGAAAGACCTGGTCATGGGAATGATTAAGCAAGCTATGGATGGTGTGAACGTCTGGGGCAATTATCGGCCCGAGGCTTTTCATCCTGGTGCATCTCCGTCTCTGTATGGTCCATCGTTTGATCAGTGGAGAACACCACAGGGAACGAGGTCTGGAGGATTATACACATTGTTATCTGATTCTTGTGTTCGAAAATGTTTTAAGCTCAGCGTGTTTCGTGCTTATTTATTCCACAGCTCATACAAAGAGATGCGAGCCTTCAGCAACAACAAACCAGGTAACGAAATTGTGCCCTACTTTTCTCACTCTAAATGTGTTTTAGTTTGTTGTTGATTATTGTACGATAACTTTTATTCTTTTCTCTCCTGCCTGCTGGAGTCTTTGGCTGGTGTCCTCTCATAAACCTCCAGATTTCACTTAAGCTAAACCACCATCAGTGCATCCCAGGATTAAATAACAGCTCTTGCCCTTCTATGAAACGGTGTACATCAACCTATTGTATACTCTTTTTGTCTTTTTGAGCAGTCTTTTTGATAGCACAGCAAGAGGTTCTAGAAGTCATGAACGTATTCTTTTTCTCCTCCAGTGAATGTAGTTCAGCTCATCCTTCATGATTGGGCATCTTTGATAAGTTTTCTTTTTTCACAAAGGCTGTGGACTAATATGCTTTGTAAAGCAAATACTCTAGTTTAATTGCGGTGTCAATGTGAAATTCACATCGATCCACATTCTCTCCATATACAGTATTGTTCTGTATATGATTTTTTTTACCTCTCCTGTGAAAGGTAATTCGGTATGAAAGGGTTTATTTTCTTCAAATTGTATGCCAAAAAATATCCATTTTCAAAACAACTATAGAAGGAAACCAGAACATTCACAGTAAACAATTGTAAATACTTTCATTCATTTTTTTCTATAGAACACATGGACCTATGGTTAACGTCAAATCACTAGCTTTGTGTGACACTCAAGACTTGAGTATTCTTTTGCAGAGAGGATTGGAGATGCAGAGGTCCTTGAAATCCACGCAGGAGCTCAGAATGATCTTCAAGATCACCCACTTCAGAGTGTATAGAGTTCTCTAATTTCATAGTGATAGCTGAAAAGGATTTATTGGTTCCCATGTTTGTTGGTCCTTTGATACTGTAGCATTTTTGCCATGTAGTGGTTTCTTAGAAACGCAAGTCAATATAATGAGATATCGCCTGTGTGGAGGATCATGTGCAGCTGTGCTCAAGTGCAGCTTCACAATCTTGTTTTGACACATTAGACATAATAAATATACTAACCCTATATGCAAACCTCTCCTGCTAACTACATATAAATCACCAGCAGACCAGATTAGCTTCTTTGAGCTTGAATTCATCAATAATGCCTGCAGCATATTAGCATCATTCTGTATGATGGAAGTACCGTCTTCTCTCTCCATCCTTCCTGTTGTGGATACAAGTTTTAATGCATCATCATTAAATCTACAGTACAATCTGAGTCCAGGTTGGATGAATGAGTGAATTTGGTGAATGTTGGCATGTAGTGTAACTGCTTTGAGTGTTGGAGCTAATAGATACAACCTATAAAACCCATAGTTTTAAGACAAGAGCATCCTGCTTCCACAGTAGCACTTATCCTGAAGCGAACAACATCCCAAAGCACATGCACTTTAACTTGGCACTAATTATTCAATTCATGGCATGGTTACTATATTGTAATATGTTTTTGTGCGTGTGCTATGTGATTATATATTTTGTTGTTGAGTGCAATGTAACAAAATAGAAATGAATCAGAATCTTTAATCCAAAATTTTGGTTCTGCTTTTTTTCATGGAGATTTGTTGACAATAAGAAAAGTACAAACTATCACCGACATTATCCTTTAAGTTAGGTTTTTTTTGTGTGTGTAGGAAGTCTATCCTCGTACGGTTTGAGGGGGGTGACGACGCCTGAATAATTGTCTTAATGATCAATGGTCTGGCTGACATACAGTTGGATTTCTAGAATGTCAGATTTTAAGGTCAGCTGTCTTACAGTCGGTTTCAAGTTTCCCATCATGAGAGAATTTCATGCAAAAAGCGATGTTGGTTTACTTTCTTAATACACTAAATTATAAAGTGTGTAGTCCTGGCTGAAATGACCATTATTCAAATACTTGAATGGCAAAGACAGTTTCCCCAGTTATATTGTGCCAGAGAAAGTGCCTAAATCCAGACAGAGAGAGATGAGAGGAGAGGAGAGGAGGGGCTAACACGCGAGCAGGAACTTTTTTATTAAAGATTACAACAGAAGAATAGCAAAAAAATACATGGAATGAAAATACAAACCTATACTAAAACAAATAATACTGACACCAAATAGAATACTATAGCAATGAGAGTAAAGTAAATTAATAAAGTAAAAATTTCAAATAAAATAGGAAAAGTAAAATACAACAACAAAGTTGTCTCTGGAGAGACAAGGAAGAGACAAGGGCTGCGGTCGAAAAGTCCAAACATTACCTCCTGACGTCTATTCCTAACCACTTCTCCTTGACCTCTATGGAAAACGTCATGGGGTCAAGGAAAGATGTGAAGGAGAATTCACCACACTTTCACTAAGCTACGTAATTATGATGCGATGGCGGGAGTCACTGACGTAGGTATGCCATGGCAAAACTACAACGAAGGAGGAACTATAAAAAACTAAAATGTGGCCCCATGAACTCTGTTGCACAGTTGCATGCAGGCTATTTAAAGAGTTTCTTTTGTGAGACGTGTCACTGTCTATTCATATTCATCAACTGTATGAGTATAATTGTTAAACCTGTGTAAGATAAGCACAGCGTTTGTTTTCTTTGACGGCCGAATGGTGCGTCACTTTAAATGATGCCGCTGCAAGGAATTGTGGGGTGGCATCATTTTCTTTCTTTCCAGTGTTTCCTTTGCTAAAGGATCTAATAAAGGAAGCATCGACGCACCTTTCCAGAGTATTCAGAGAATTTGAAAAGCTCTTATCATAGAGGCCACTTCGATACTTCTGGGTCATTTCACTCAGTTAAGAAACTTTCAAAGCAAAAAGAACTTTTCGGTCATCATTACATTCCTCAAGGACTCAAAGACAAAGTACAGCACTCTATTGTGCATTTGAAAAGTACAGACAAATGAAGGAAATGTTAGTCTGGTAAATGATGAATTACCAAATTGTAGTGACCGCCCATGATGATGAATGAATAACATGTTTATGTTGAGCATCCCAGTGGCTATTCACAAACAAGTCCTTGCTACAGTATGCCTCTTCTCTGGTGGCGTGACCGCAGTTTGAGGTCAGCTGGCCTGGTCAGCAGGTGAAGATCAGCATTGGCGTCATGAATCCTTCTCACAAGGTCACCCGTTTGCTCGGCGTGATAAGAGGCAGCTGTTTCCTGGTGCTCTATCAGCAAAGCTTCTGCAAGGCAGCATTGAGAAGAGAGGGGCGGCACTGGGCCTTCTACCAAATATTTTACAGATGTGACGGTTACCCTTACACACACACACACACACACACTGATGAACCTCATATCATCTGAGCAGAGAGAGAGAGAGAGAGGTGGCGCTTCTCCAAAGTGAGAGGGTGGAGTTAAAAGTATACATAGGAGTCAGGTGGATGGAAGATTCTTAGTATACCCTGAAGGTTTTAGTTTAGAGATGTGTAAATGAATGAATCATTTGATTTGAATGAAAACATAAACCCGAGTGTCTGAAATCGTAATCCACAAAGACATGGTAACTAGCCGCTACCATAAAAACGTAATGAATAAATGAATGAACAAATAAAATCATAAACCATAATAGTGTCTCGAAATGAACTTCTCACAGACGTTGTTACTAATCAGCACTCTAAAAATAAGTCAGTTCAGAGATGATTGAGTGAATGAATCGATGAAGTAATGATTGACTGAGTGTGTGAATGAATTGAAGGAAATTAAACATCTGTACATTTCGTCTAGGATTCATAATTCATACTGGTGTAGCAACAAGCCACTACCCTCAACAGGAGTCAGTTTATATGAATGAATGAATGAACAATAATTGATTCTAGAGAATAAATAATCAGCTTTTGTGCGAGGCGTGATGCCTGCATGACATTTATGGTCTCATTCTACCATCTCTGACATTTAATTACCATTTAGCCTAATTGGTGTGCAGAGATGTCCTTTGCTCATCAGATACAGCAGGTTCTCTGTGTCATGGAAGCCCCGTAATTATCATTTAGAAGACTGCATGTGTTCGAAGGATGGTTATTATAGATTATTTAAATAACCACATGAATGCAAAGTATTCTTTTATTTAATCATAGTGCGGTGTATAATATTTTGATTTGTATAATTTACTCCACAATCTGTGATTCCATGTTTGATTAGACCATTGTACGCAATGCAAACGTTAGTTCTTTTGCATCTTTACAGATACGATTACATTTTTTTAACATAGCGTCAGCATATCAGACGTTATCTCCACTTTTCATATAAGGCTGGTCTTTTTCAACCTAAATACTTCAGACTTGTTTCATTGTGCTAAACAACAACATCTATGACAATAACAACATCAACAATAATTATAATAAAAGTACTAATAATGATAATATTAAACATGATCTGCTGCTGGTTAATCGGTGCGACAGTAGTCCCTAAAAGGCACTAATCGTTGCTATCTTTCAGGGTGACATTTCAGGGCTCTCGGACCAAACTTAATGAATTCAGATTCACTCTGGTCAGTTAAGACCGACAACGTCTCAAACATCATGTAGTGTAACTAAATATAACCTTCACATTTGCCCATAATGATTTCCTCTGCAAAGGAGGTTATAACATGAATTTGTGCTCTCAATTTAGCATCATTTATCACCATCATGCCATTAGTCTTGTCTCGCGTGGGTCCTTCATACTCTCAATATTTAAGCAATCCATTGCTTGTATTTTATAAGATTCTCTTTTCATCTTGGATTGAGATATGTGGATAAACTTCACAGGCTTTTTCACTGTAAACATTTTGATGATACTGCGGATGCCATCCAGTATGGAGTGCTTCATGAATACAAATGTTTACTCACTCCCTCACTGTCTATCATCAGATAAATGTATATCTACGATTATGATTGAATATATGAAAGCATTATCCTGCTTTTTATGTCTATGCTTATTTTCTTTGGCGTATAGAGGTATACTGAATATGCTATTCGCTAAATTAAGGTCCATGCTTGTGCACACATCTCAGATGTCCCTGATGATGTTAAGCTGCCGTTTCTCCATTCGTTATCTCCACTAAATCCTCGTTTCTCTGTAACCAGTACCTTGCCTGACCTCCTGCACCACTACTTGTATTACGTAATGACCACAATCTGTTTTCTTTCTAGACGATACTGAAAACAAAATTCAAAGGCAAACTGAGAACCTGGTGTGTAGTCTAATGTGTGTAATGCTGATGGTTTAATGCACAACAAGATATAATAGTTGTATTGACTTGTTGACTAGTTATATATCACTTAACTCATTTAATAATAGTGTTTTTCTTTGCATGCCTTTGGTGGCATTGTGAAATAGAGAAGTCATTTTCCATGATCACCCAATGAGCCACCACACTTAATCTTTGTTTTTCCTTTTTCTTCAAGGAAGCGGATGTTCTTGTGAGGGAAACCTTAGAGGCAGCAACATGGTGCATAACCCAAACATTCAAAGGCACCGTTTCCCTCCCTAGTATACTTGAGATAGACGGGGAAGACTGCATAACAGCCCTTAAGGAACTGTGGTTGGATGATGGCAGGGATGAAGAGGAAACTGGCTCAGCTGTCGCCATGTTGAGAGCCATCGAGAGGCAATAGAAATGCTCCTAATCCCCTATATTGCACCTTTAACCTGAGGGGACTCCAAAATGAATATTCCTTTTGCATCCAATTAATTCTGAAAACTTGAGTTATCAGCAAGAATTTATTTATTAAAAGTCATTGTGGCTCAGAAGGTTCAGGGGGTCGTCCATTCATAACAAGGTTTGTGTCTGTCTGCATGATAGAGTGTCCTTGAGCGAGACACTGAAACCCAATTTGCTGCTGATGGCCAGCAGAGTGTGTGTGTGTGTGTGTGTGTGTGTGTGTGTGTGTGTGTGTGTGTGTGTGTGTGTGTGTGAATTAGAGGCAAATTGTAAAGCACTTTCTCCGGCAAGGTAGAAAGATAGAAAGTCATGCTGGCTGCAGTTCCCACTCAGTGCTGTCCCTGTCATTATTATGTAAATACAAAGTAGGATTACTTTGATTTAAGCCTCTCGTGACTTTTGAAACTCTAGTCTTCCACATAGTGATTTAAAATGCACAACAAATGTCCTCTCTCTGCCTTGGGTCTAATGCTTTAGTTAATAAAGCTCTTGTCAAGTGTAGCCTTCAGAACAGAATTCCAAAGAGGTCCTATCTTCTCTGGCCCTTATCTTACCGAGGCGTCCTTCAGAGGCCATATAAAGACCAGAGACGCACTCTGTTGCTTTGCTGTCACTGTCGAAGTCAGACAACATGCTGCCTGCTGTTGTAAAGCTCTGCTGTGGAATCTCCTACCCACATCTGAGGAGTCTAACAGGTAAACACTCAATAATCCGAGGAAGGTCGTTTCTGGTTATTCCCGTGCACTCTGCGTAAAACTACTGAGCTTTTGTTTCTTTTTGCGTTTCATCATGCAGGACTTCAACGCACAGCTGTGGCAGTGATAGGCCAGGAGCTCACACACCTGCAGCGATGGGGACAGGTCCAACATCTCATTAGAACACGTTCTGGATTAAAGCGTAATGGTAAACAAATTATAATGATAATTGTTATGGTTTCAGAGTGCAGTTGTTGAAAGATTACTAAGAATAATCTTTTGCAGAGCCCAACCTTGAAGATATAAAGCCTGTGCCTTCGAAAGAAGATCAGCTGCTCTATGTACAACAAGGCCAAGAAGCAATGAGGAAGGCTCTCTGTATGTTAGAAGACACACAAGGATGGAAGGTTGAGATCACAGAGGTAACATCTGGTTGACTTTTTAGCATCTCTACTTGATTGATTGATTAAAGTGTCTTTTATCTCCTCTAAAGTACATTTTCCTCAACCAAAGTGACCATTGTGTTATGATTATAGACGTCTGCTTGTTCGTTACTCCTTTTCAGAGCAAGGGGGATGAGATCTGCAGCAAAGTGATACCAGGGGCCGGGAAGGTCTTCAGAATGGAGGCGGTCCTGGACGCCAGTGTGGACGAGCTCTACGACATCCTGTTTGTCAGAGTGGAGGAGATGCACCAGTGGAACCCGAGCATAAAGCATATCAAAGTGAGCGACTGACCTTTGATAAACAGACATTTTATCATCTGTGAAACTGTAACCTGTAAAAATACCAGAATAAAAGCTTGAGTTTAGAGGAGATTTACATTACTATATATTCAGTTACGGTTTAGTTGTCTCCATATTTTTGTTAAAAGCCACAATTAATATAAGTCATGCTACATATTTGCAGCAAGACATGTACTCTTACATTGCTAGACCGCTCATTGCATTGCAACCTAGTCCTGCAGTGCACGTAATGTTTTGCAAACTAAATTGTTCTATTGGTTTCTCTTGTAGGTTCTGAAGCATGTAGGAGCCGAAACGATCGTCACTCATGAGGTTTCAGCCGAGACAGCGGGAAATCTAATTGGCCAAAGGGACTTCCTGTGTGTCAGACACAGTTGCAAACAAAAGTCCAGAGTTTATCTTGGAGGAGCAGCGATTCAGCTGGAGTCCTTCCCACCTCAGGCAGGCTTTGTGAGGTAGGATCCCATGCAGACTGTTTGAACTAGCCATGAATCATCACATATTAAATACATGTTTAGCAGCTTCATTAAACTAACTCTCTCTCATAATAAACAGCATCCGAGTAGAGTTATCTCAGTCTTCAAGATGGTAAGATGTCAGAAAAAGCAGACTTCATACTAATAAATTCAGTGAAGGGTTTTTGACTTGCTCCAACATTTTGGAACGGTCGTTCTCAGTACTGGCTAAAATCAGTGGCCTTCAATGTCTTCTGTTATATCTCATGTTTGTGAGATAAAAATGTTTTTATAGCCTTTCAATTTAAAGTAATACTCCGCAGGGCAAATGTTGCAGTTATTCCAATAAACAAGACTACAAGTCTACAGACATGCTGCCAGCAAGGACGTATATGACATTAGGGCCGAGCAAATTTGAATTTATTTATATAACTTGATGAAAACAAGAGTGATGAGAACAGTTTGTGGATGTTTTAGGTTTGAAATAAAAATACACATAATGGCCAAGCTCATAATCCATTATAAACCCCGGTTCAATACTAATAAAGTTATTGACTTGGCATGTTTACAGAGCCGAGGATGGACCAACCTGCATCATCATTCAGGCTCTGGACGAGGATATGGGAAGAAGTCGCTTCACATGGCTTCTTAATATGGACGTTAAGGTAAATAAATTCATATGTACTGCATTTGCCAGTCCGTGAAGGATAATATCAAATGCATCTGCAGACTCAAATATGTGCCACATCCATTTATTTCAAGAAATGTGTTTGTGTAATAAAATAATATTTTACGGATGCACTGCCATTTGTGCAATAGGGATTTGAAGATGCTTTTCCCATTAGGCTCTACTTCCGCCAGGCCACTCAGTGAGCTACTTAGATTTGCAATTTTCTGCTTTATGCAACAGACAAACAACTCAACAACAAAATATCACAAAACACAACCCATCCATTTCAGGAAAGCAATAAGCTAAAACGATGTGCAATTTTCAGATGTAGCTGGTGCTTACTGGATTGCATGGCTTACTTATGTAAAAGTACCAGTACAAATACAGTGCAACATGTACTTGAAGTATTCAAAGTAAAAAAAAAAGGCCAATGTGACTGATATATTATTCTACATGACATTTCTAGATCGTTAATACCTTTGCATCAATGGTACCTACAGGTAGGTGGATCAGTCCAGCGGTTCCCAATTTATGAGAAGAGCCCCTCCAAAGGGTCACAAGATCAATCTGAGATGATTGATAGGCAGGAAGGCAGAAAAAGTTCTGCTACATCTTTTTGTAAAATATTGGATAAGCAGCTCAGCCAATCCTAACACATTAATTCACTGTCCAACTATGATGTAAACAGAGAGGAAATAGAGCTGAAACATGTGGTTTAATAACCACAGATAAAGTCCATGCACACTAATTTCTCTTTTTGGAAGATGAGAAAAGTATAATATTGTGGATTTTTCACTTCACCCTGAATGACCTGAATTTAAAGCTGCAGGGCAATTCAGGGAAATTAATTTTTCTAAAATGAATTCTGTTACGTAAGTTATTCTTTAATCCAGCCATTATTTTACTTGAAATGAGAACATTTATTTATGTATTTCTATGTATTATTTATAATCCATCCAGTTAAATTTGAAAACTGAGAATAATAATTGTTCAAATATAATTGATGTGTACTTTTTTTATTTGATTTGACAGTTGTTGACTACACAGAGTCGTTACTACTACTAGACTTCTTGAATATATAATATATATGGCACTAAATAGTGCAAGTTAGATATTATTGTAATGTTCCGGACCTTTGCACGAGGAGATTTTCTCAATCTGGACCTTTTGGAAATTTACTTGAATACCCCTGGTATAGGCCAGAAGAACACCAACAAAGTTTGTCTTCATGTGCTAATTGAGCATGGTGAAATGCAAGTACGACACCGACTACATGAGATATGGATATGGATAGCAAGGTTCTGGCACTAGAAAGCATGAAGCCGTCAAAAGTTATAGGAACAATTTCTCTGCACAAGAGAGCTCCCTACTACTACGACTGCAGAGGACATTTTCAGCTCAGGTTCAAACTGCACCATCTTTTCATTAAATACATTTGAGAAGATGAAAATTTGGGTCGCGGCTTGTCATTAAGGGGTGATGGTGGGTCCCGCAGCCAGACCAGTTGAGAACCACTGTTCTAATGGACTACATGCCAATCGAAGAACAATCCACTCAGCATGCAAATTAGTACTGCCATTTGGTAACTCTAAGACTTTAAGATGTATAACTGTTGTGTATTGTTGTGTATTGTAGGACTTTGCCAAAGACAGATTTCCATTTCATGCAACTCTAATGGACGATAAACTAATCCTTATCTGAAATACCATTTAAAATCAAATATTGTTGTGCTGCTGCAGAGATGTCCTGGCCTAAACACCATATTTTACAGACTTAAGAAAACATCTTTGTTTGGTGTAGATCCCTGCCAAAATCAATCAAATATGTTTTTCAACGAAAACAAGAATAATTATGTTTCTAATATCGCAGATCATGTCCCAAATGCATTGTCAGTCGAAATAATAACAATTAGGTTGTGTTGTTGTTGTAAATCATACAGCCCTACTTCTTGTAGAATATAATCAACATAATAAAACATCACAAAGCACATGGTGCAGTGTCAAGAATATAAACTCCACAGTCGCTGCAGCCACAAACACAACACAAACAGAGCTGCACAGCTTTTTGCACAAAGTGTAGTAGTGCAACGCACGCGGACACAACACTATAAGTTGCCTTGCAACATAGACATGGTCTGAAGAGAGAGTTGGCTACATCACGGCAAGTTTGTTGTTGTTCTCACCTGTGTGAAAGGACTATGTTTGAGTCTTGAATGAAGTGGACACGTGCCAAGGAGGTTCTGATTTGGGACACTATCAAGTTGCATTATGGGAAATGTAGGATCCAGCATTTTGGAACTTGCTGTCTGTTTTGGGCCCTCCAACTTATGGAGGTGTGGACTGCTGCTCCCATTATCCATGTGCATTTTGCTCTTACTGTCCAACAGTGAGTGATAATGAAGCACACATTTGCTGATGAAGGCCATTAGGTGTAGTTGAAAGCTTGTAAAAAATGTCAAATGGAGCTTCAGTGAATATTCTTTTGTGAGACAATGTTTTGCATTTCATTTTCATGCATTTCATTTCTGTTTCATTTGGAGCACTGTGTTACTATTATTTTTAAAAAGTGGATTATGGAACCAGAAATGGTGTAATTGATGAAAACAAACATATTACTATTACTCGCTTTCACCAACATACAATGTTCTAATTTTGTTCTCAGGGCTGGCTGCCAAAGTCTATTGTCAATCAGGCTTTACCCCGAGCACAGCTGGATTTCACCAGACACCTCCGCAGACGTCTCACAGCGAGCACCACCCTGGGCTAACTGAGTCAAGGAGACACCCACACTGCAGCACCACCCTGTCATCACTCAAAGGACAAGACTGGCTGATGGGGGCACGGTGACAGACTGGCTGCTCGGTACAAAGCAGCCCTTTCAATGAGAGCGGAAACGCTGCCTGGAGGTGACGCTCAGCTCCAGAGCTGGAAGACGGCAGCTGGTTTATAGGAATTAATGTCACAGTGTGCCACTCAAACCTCAAGATTTCCTGACTAGGAGTCATCACTTGTCTTTTGACACACGACTAACTGAAGGACAACTGTACAAAATGAATAAAGTCCTTGAATGTGCCTATTTTGCCTGTTTTGAATACCACAGCACGACATAACAGGTGGCTGCTCTCAACTCAAATACAGTACATCTACATGCCTAAAGTCAGTCAACCACAAAATGGAAGTCAAGCAAGAAAAAGCTGAATAAAACAAGAATAAAGAGGAAAGGGAAACAACAAGAATCTCGGTTCTTTCAAACTTGTTTTACTTTGTTCTCCATACCACTTAAAAATTCAATAAATATTAACATTTAAAGCTTTCATTACGTATATACAAGAACTATACAATAAACATAATGATGTTATGAACTGCAATGCAGGAATGATGTAACAGTATGACCAACCACAGTCTGTAGACTTACAGCATCGCCTGCATTTTTAACATTGCAACATACGTTCCTCTCAATTCCTGGTTGTTAATTTCTTTTCATAACTTCAAATTTACACTATATACATTATTTATCAGTTACAAAAACATAATTTTTTTTTTTCCTTAAATCTTTTTTGTTTTTAAAGCGTTAAGTGAGTGTCATCCACAAAGGCAGGCAGAGGGCATGCTACAGTGGGGTTGGCCTGTAGACAGTCATGATTTCTTACCAGTGACGATAATCACTGGTACGTTGGTCTGGGAACAAACAACAAAAAAGAGCACCGGGGACAGAGAAGCTATGAGGCTCTCTGCCAGGAGTGATGTCTACGGAGTCTGGAGTGTGCCACTGGAAGAATTATTGACTTAACGAGTGTCTTATTATAATCAATTAAATACATCTTAAAAGCCATTATCAATTCATTAAATTTGCATTTAAATGATGAGTCCAAAGGAAAAAAAAAAAAAAATCATCTATCAAGACCTGTAAAAATTGTATTTCTTAATAAAAAAGTTAAGAAAGTTGACAACCTCATAGTGCCGACAAGACTCCAGGAAGTCACTGCCCCAAGCTGCTAGCCAAGAGTTAGTGACACCAAAAACTGTTGTTTTTACATTTCTGTTCGCATGTAGATTAAACAACATGCTATAATTAGCGGGAGTCTTTTAGAACTTTGTGGAGAGTCAGGCTAATTGCTTCTCCTTACTTCTAGTCATAATGCTAAGCTAGCTCCATAGTTGATGCACAATTATGAGAGTGGTGTCGATCTTCCCAGCTGTTGATGTAATGCACTCTGCTGCCACCCTCTGCTGAGCCATGAGTTCCTGGTACTGCTCTGTGGGCTGGAAGTTATTTAGGTTTTAGTTGCCACAACGTTTACAAATCTTGAAATGTGAGAGCTGTCTTTAAATTAGAGCAATCATCAAATGGAAACTGGACAGTAAATTATGAGTGACAAATACAGAAAGTGCTACATAAAAGCTTTAAAAAATATATATTTTTGCAATTTTATTTAAAAATTCTACTAATTCTTGAAACAGAATTAGAAAGTAAAATTATCAATCTGTCAATTTACTTTGCGTTATTCAATTCGTCATTAAAACTAACTAATTAATAACTTAGCAATGTATTAATTAATTGTAACTTAACACTGGCAGGGTCTACAACTGTTCTGGCACACTCTAGTCTCCATATCTGACACGTGCACCTCCAAAACCATGGCCTTGGACCTCTCCTCGCATGTTCACAATACAAGTTCAATAGTAGTTCTAATGCACTTGAGAAAACAGGATTACACAACTGTACACAGATAAAAACATGAATGTAGCAATGCAGTCATCACATTTTGAACACGCCTTGAAGTCGTTTTAGTTTACAGCACCAACTTTTTTTTGTCTTCCGTTTCATATTTGAAGCACAGAGGGCAGAGCGACGCTGCGCACAGATCACTGGAGTTTTGATGAGGTAACCATCGCTGGTCTGGTCTAAATTCACTGGCATGGAAAAAAAACAATCTTTGCAAAAAAGAGAAAGACAATATCTGCAGCAAGACAGCGAGTCTATCAGATGCTGCGAAGAGAAAGCTGATGTATGAGACCGTCACACTGAGCAGCACGTTCACAACATTGCTCACTGTTCATTGCTGAGCTGACAGGGTTCTGTGATTCGAGTCCCTCTCGGATCCTAAATTGTCCCTTCTTGACCTGGCAGCGACTGGGCCTAAAGTGCTGTTTGGACTGTGCTCTTTAGAGGCACCTCCACTGGAGTCTGCTGAGGGCCGTGGAGGCCCTGGAGGTAGAAGAGGCCCTGGGTCTGAGTCACCTTTCCCAGCTGTGAGGAGGGAGTCGCTGGTCGGACCCTGGGGCAGAGCAGCACCTGTGGATGGCGAGGCTTCAGCAGCGGCGGCCGTGGTTGGCACCGGGGCGGTAGAGCGAAGCCGCCTGACGATAGCTTTAGTGGTTTGCGGCGTGCTCTGGGTCGTAGCGGGTAGTGGAGCCTTGGGTAATGCATGGTGAGAAGGAACAGAGGTGTCAGGTTCGACTGAGGCCACTTGGGTGTTTTGGAGGTCAGGAGGATGTGTGCCGAGGTTTTCTTTCTTGTTGCAAGACTCGCAGCAAAGCTTATTATATCCAGGGATGGAACAATATCGGGCAAGAACCTCCATTTGACAGAAAATGGATTTATCCCCAAGACATGGCTCATCTAGTAGATAAGAGGTGAGAGGACATCACCAAGGTGATTCAAATAAAAGATTTGTTCATTTTGATCAAACAGAATTACATGTTGACCTACTTGAAGAGATTTTGTGGACAGGGTTTTCAGGAGCCCTTTGGTGCACTGCTTCGTCTTTTATTGTAGAGTTTCCCATTATTCCAACAGTGAGAGGAGACCCTGCCTGTCCTGTGGAGGACAAAATGAGGCAAAGAAATATTCCTAAATGTGACATTAAACAGCAGCCACGAAACCCAAGAAAAGCTCTTGACAACCTCTTGCCACTTTAAGAAAACAGAGCCGTCTTTTTGGAAACCTGTAGTCAAGCTTGGTACGGCACAACCTCGACATCTTTGTGTTTTTGACAAAAAACACTCCATTTTCCACTGTGCCGGGACACAGAAACACATTGCTGGCTCTAACATCTTTTAACAGGAAGCAAAATGAAAAAAGCTGCAGAAGCTGACATTTATCTCGGTTTAGACAGTGTCTATGAGGTATTCAAAAGGTTCTTTATCCTTCGAGGACATTAAAGGCAGAAAGTGTAGTTAGAGCAGCTGGTGGGTTCATCATTCAAACTTGAAAAACGTAGTCAATCCCATAATGTTTATGTAGCTGGCATCCCAAGGCGAATATGACTTAATATGGTTGATGCAGTAGACGCCGACCACCCACAAGTTCTTCATAAGAAAATATGGATTTCTGCATCCATAGAAACAAGGAAATGACTTGATCAGGCCGAGGCAGTTTCTCCAACAGTAGTTGTAAGACAGGAATCAAACTGGTAAATTGATGAATATTGTTCCCTCATTACAAGTATATTGAATCTTACCTGGACAAGAAATTAGTTTGCAAATGAGGACTGTTTCCGGCTTCTCGCCCTCACATTCTCCGATGGTGTTGTCACTGGCCTTGCAAACCACCTGCCTTTGCTGAATCCCTTCGCCACAGGTCACTGAGCACTGTGACACCACCAACACACACACACACACACACACACACACACACATAGACACAAACAACTTAACGTGAGATGAGGGAATGCCTAAATTGCCACTTTAAAATCTTAGAAGTTTGAACTTAAAAAGAGAGAATGCAGCTTGCTAACTCACCTGAGACCACGCCCCTGTCCTCCACTGGGCGGGGCATGTGGTGTGGTTACAGGCCCTCCTCGTGTCCAGCCGATCCTCGGCGCAGTGTTTGCTGTGGATGGGCCTGTTGGTGCCGTTGTGGAGCGCCTGCATGCACTGCACCACCCTGGTCTGGTAGCCGAGCTTCCCGCAGGTCTTACTGCAGGGACTCCACTCTTCCACCACCCACCTGTCAGCACAGCAGGCTCTTTTGAAAAAAGGTTTCTTGCCACACAGCAATTACTCACATTCTATTTCAGGATGGACAGATGGAGCTGAAGCCATTATTACCACTTTTAATGCTACTCTAGCTATTGAAATAATAACATCTTTAGCTGGAAGGCACTTACGTGGGCTGGCTGCACTCTTGGACATTGCAGCGTTTGCGGATGGGTTTGGGCTTTTTGCTGGTTTCACAAAAGTTTCGATGTACCAAACGGCTGTCACTCTTCCTCCTGCAGCCATATTTAGTATACTGTATGCCTGAAAGATGGAAAGTGTACAGACTTAATCTTCCAGCAAGATTATACAGACATATATCAGAATCTGACATCTTAAATACCAATAATTATTATTATTATCAAACCTGTTGTCAATTAATTTTCTATGAATAACTCAGTGACTTTGTCCACTGTTGACCAATAATAACATGTTGAAAAAAACACCAGAATATATTCATTATTGCAGTTTTCTCGGCACACGCCAGGTAACAATGTGCAGCTTTAATTGCTTTGTTATACATATATGTACCGTGCACTCACTGACCTCCCCCGCAGGGTTTGGAGCACTGAGACCAGCTCTTCAGTGCCCACTCGTATGTGTCTAGTTCAGCCAGAAGGACATTGTTGTTGGTAATAAGCGGTAACAGGTCCTCGTGTATGATATACTTATATGTCAGGCTTATCTTTGTGTCTTCTTCCTGGGGAATGACCTGCAACAAAGGGAAGTTAATTAGAAAAACAATGAAACTCAGGAAAAGGGAAAAAGTAAAGAGTGGTGATCCTGTTCAAGTAACACTCACCAGCACGACAATGCCTTCATGCAGAGGACCAGTCGTTTTCAGGATCTCCTTTGCACCATCGAGAGAATACTCCCACTGTAAACCATTCTCGATGAAGGTCTTTGTTTCAGCGTCTTCACTTTTTGCATTCAGTATAAAGTTCCCAGTAACTTGATTCTTCACAGCTGTCAGTAATGAGCAAAAAACGATTATACGTGTGTGGTGGGAAAGAATGTGTGCACATCATGTAAGGTTTTAGCTAAAATCTAAAAAATGTAACAGAAATTCTTGATGACCCCCCCCCCCTGCCAAACAACATCGAAGATTTTCCTTTAAGCAGGGAACAGGCCATTATGTATTTTGAGATGTTTTGCGCTGTGGCTAGCCAACAGCAATTACTCCAAGTTGTGTGTCATCTCTTCTTCCCATGAGCTAATAAAATCCAGAGAGGAAATGAGTGGAGTAAAGAGGAGAGGAAGGGTTTGGGCTGGATGCCACCGTGATCCCGACTCACCATCGTCAGTCGTACAGAGAGCTATTCCAAGATGAACAACATGAGTCTGTCACTCCTTTTCATACGTGAAAACCTTTTAGAGATTCTGGCCTCATTACTTATGACATATTGCTTTCTGCAGCAAATTGCATTTAAAGATAACGCATTTGCAGAAACAGAAACTGTTTTTGTATGCTTCAGGGAAAGGGAATTGCAAAAGTGTCAAATTCAGATGTGAAAACACAGGTGGTGTCAATAGAAACTTACTCTTGCACCAATGTGGATAGAAGGGTGAGTGATTTTGACAACATTTTTAGCGTAAAACAGACAATTCTGTGGAACAAAAACACAAACACCACAGGGGGGCATCCCTTCTGGCTACACATATTGTATGTTAATTATGTATGGCCTTATATTCTGGCATTCGGTTTAATCTCTTAAAGGAATACTCAACTAAAAATCTATCTTTTGAGTGTCAAATATGCTCTTTATCATGATTGTAATCCATTGCGTTGGAGTGGTGACAGAAATCTCTTTTCCAAGGAAGCCCTGGTCAGATATCTTAAACAACAAGCTGTTTATATGTTTTTGTGATTTGGGTGAACTGAACCTTTTAATGTTCTTCTTTATTGAGCAGAGAAGTTGAACTTGGTGACCCTGTGCTCTGGTCTGTACCAGGCAATGAAGTTACACAGCTGTTCTTACGAGGTAACAGACGCAGCAATTACAATCATGTGATGTGGTCATAAACACAAAAACATGCTCACACACAAACAAGACATATGTAAAATTAGGAAAATACTGCTCTTATTCACAAACCAACTCCGTTACTGGGCACCAATAGCATCGTGTGTTTTTTCACGGTTGGAAAAAGATGTGTGGCACACTCACCAATTATATGAGGGGACGTCTCATTCTCCTCGATAACAATGTGGCGGGCTCCTATTGGGATGTCGAACATTTTCAGCATTCCTAACAAGACAAAGGGACACGGAACAGTTCAGCTGGGAGCAGGAGCTCATTCTGGGCTGTAATAGCAGCCAATTATTTATGAATCGAGACAGAAAGTTTTGATCCTTTGTTTTGGTTACCGGCTGTGTGGTCAAACATAGATGAAAGGGAAGATGGGTTGAAGGCCTCTGGATTAGTTATTTTCATCTTAATAGGTAACTGGAACTGACTAATAACTATAGACATTTCTGGAATTGGTCCAGTATTGAGCGAGAGCGCTCAATGATTACATTGCAGCAGCAATGTAATCTATTGGGGCAAGCTGGCACCACCATTTACGTCCACTAAAAAGTGCTTCTTTTTGCCATGACAGGCTAGGATTTATATAAATGTCTGACATTTGGGAAAGAGTCTAGCTCAAGGAGAAGGCAAGTTCTTAAATCTTGCAAGATGACACACAGCGTGAACGGCTGGGCAGAGTTTAATGTGTTGGAGTAAGAAAGCTTGGCTTAGCGTTATTTAAAAGATCTTCAATGTCATGGCTGAATATTTTAATTATTCTGACAATGCAGATGAGGTCTTAGAATTCGATGGCCGCTCGACCGGGTCAAGCAAAAGGTGAGAATACGTTTTATTTCTCTGTAGGGCCCTTTCCATAACGCTGTCAGATATTTATAATAACAAGCTTTTGGTGAACACAACGTGACATCAACACTGCTCACTTTCCCTCGCAGCTTGTTTTGCAGCGCTGTCCCTCAATACTGGACAACTTCTAAAATTGTTGCCACCATTAGTTCCTTAGACACATGAACATGGAATGAATAAACATGGGAAAATAGCATCCAGGTTGGAAAAATACCGAAGTTACCCTTTATATTATGTCAGCTCATATAATAAGTGGAATTGCTGATTTCAGCACTGGCCTGCCCACGTAGCTGATAATTACCATTCTTTTTGGGCGTCTTGGTGAGTGTCAGCTTCACGGTGCGACAGTGGGAGTTGTCGCCCTCACACACTCCACATTTGTCCTCTTGTTTGTAAGAGCCGACCTCCTTGTCGCAGCCTACGTGCTGTGAGGGGGAATAGCCAAGACAGTCAATCAAATCAGGGCAATGCTGCGCCTGACTTTAATGCAGGCTGAGGTTAAAATGATGCCATGGGAAAACGCTGCGCGCATCTGGTTCAGAGGTTTAACATGATGCATATTGGAAACAAATCCAGACATAACAGGAATGTAGCCAAAACAAGGAGCGGTCGGTCTGCAACAATAAAAGTCTCAACTTTATGTCCAAGGTGAATACGGAGAGAAAATAATGTCTGTGTGTGTTTGTGTTAGAAAGAGTTAAGCAGATATTGAAACTACAAACGGCATGTAGTTTTAGTTTAGACGTACCAGACACTCTCCTCGGGCGCACACGCTGAGGGGCTCTGAGTAGCTGCAGCGGGTCCCATCGTGCATCACCTGGTTCATGAACACCACCTCTCCAGTTTCCTTTGACTTGCAGCTCATCTCACATTTCCGGGCCTCTGAAAACCCAAATACACACACACACACACACCTTGGTTCATGCAAATATCTTCAGCAGGACACAGAGGAGAGATAACACCCACCTGAATCTAAATATGCGTGGGAGCAGTTGCTCCTGCAAATCTGTCCTCTTGTTGTGTTTCCAGAAAAATTCAAAGAAAAACCTCTCAACGAGAGAGCCAGCTTTGCTTCGCTCTGTACAGACTTACCATCTGGGTGCTCGTACGGTAGCCAGGTGTGCTTGATGTTTTTGTGGTATTTGTTGCTCCTCTGGATGCACTGCTGAGCACGGAAGTCCTCATAAGGACCAGCACACTCCTCCGTGTTGCACATCTGGTAGTCAAATGCAGAGCCGGGACAATCTCGTCCTCCATAGGCAGGCCTGATAAATGACAAGAAGCATGATATTACCAAAGATCCAAAGATTGTCCTTCTTGGTAGGAGGTTTTGAAGGAAAGCTGGATTTAAAAGTATCTGAACGCAATGAGATGGAACAAAGTAAATTACACTGCAATTACCTTTTTGATCCATTATCTACTCTCTTAATCTACTTATATGCCATATATTGTATAATGATTGATGCTTCTCCTTCCATATCCTTATGAGACACCTGCCTTTTTAGGAGGAGGTCAGGAGGGGCTGTGTTAGTTAATGAATTTGGTTCTTTTGAATTTTATAGGAAGCTGGAGACTGGATAAGAAAAACTGACATTTAAAAAAATGAAACAGTATTTTAATCGTACTAGAATGATAAGATGATTGAACATTGTGTTCTTACAGTCCATCATCGATCAGAATAGGGGAAAATGCATCATAATAAGTAAGTAAAACTAAAAAATGTGCTATGAATGAAGTAAAAATGTCATCACGTAATACTTAATATAAACACTAACATATTGGCAGAGGTATACATTCAGTAGCTCACGCTCTTGAACACTTTTAAGTCCCGTTTTTGTTTAAGCAAACTTAATCAAAGCCAGTGCTGGATTAAAAAACGGTCCCTTCTCTCCAGCTCTGCTTTCACACTTTAAACGGCATGTCATCGTCTGTTGGATGAACACACTGAGAGCACATTTAAACTGTTTAGCCATTGAAAGAGCAGATGATTTTGTTTCAGTGTGTTCTCTTTTCCTCGCCTGCCACAGCACTTACGGAGGGTTGTTGCACTGTCTGCTGCGGGAGCGAACTCCACCTCCACATGTTCTGGAGCAAGAGCTGAACTTTGACCAGGAGCCCCAACTCCCATCGTGGCCCTGAGGCTCCTGGCTGGATCTCCAAATGCAATGACCCTTGAAGCACCACTAAAAATATGACAAAGAAAGAAGTAAAGACAGAAAAAAAGGAGGTAGAAAGATCCAGACGAATGACATTTGGAACCATTTCAGGCTGTTGGGTTTTCTCTCTACTTCTTTACTCCAGAGGGCTCAACGGTACAAAAACAAAATTACAACAATTCAAAGCTGATTCAGAGAGATTTCCCACCTTTCCTGGTGCACACTCTGTTCCATCCACCGGAGGACCTTTTTTGGTTTTACAAAAGTACTGGTTGTCGGGATGACTGCACCACAGTTGCTTGCAAGGGTCGTATGTTCGAAACTAAATGAGAAAACAGCAATTTTGAGCTTCAGTTATTGTTTCTATAAATGCCAACAGACTAATTCATTGAACTGTTTCATGCTGCATGTGGAAACTCCAACCTTACTGTAATTGTTATCACACTGGAATAAATCTAATTTGTGTTGTGAATTCCTGTGAGATGCACATTCTTGTGTCTCAATGTATTCTTTTCTTGTGTAAACACACAACCAGTTGTCTTTATCTGTTTATAAATACGGATTACTGCTTACTCAAGGAGAGAGTTAAAATCAATTAATTAATATGTTGTAGATTACACACGTGTGAAGGACTTACAGCGGTGCACATTTTATAGCCAACACCAAAATCAAAGCGGCACTGCTCGTCCATAGAATAATTTATCCCAGGGAGCTCAGGAAGCTTGGGCCACTTGTGTTCAAAGGGATCATCCAGCAGGCAGTCATAGGAGCTGAAGAAAAGATTAGAACAATAGAGTTATATACTGCATGTGGGATATTTGGAGAATAGACCACATAAGGAGATAGTTGTACAGCAACAACAAAAAAATCAATAACATTTCGAGCTGCTACACACAAAAGATCTGCAGCCTACAACCAATATGTGTAGAAAATGATGATGTGTAAAAAAGTGATGGGGCGGGATAAACAGAACGTACTGGATGTATCGATTGAGCTCCTGCTTGCTGCAACGTGACCAGTGATAGCGGTGGAAAGCTGCTTGGACAAGTGGTGCCATGATGCTGCCCATACTGGTCTCATCAGCACAACGATTCCCCTGGCCGTCGTGCTCCATGCCAAGCCTGATGTGAGAAAAATAGTTTATTGAGCAGGAGGAGAGTGAGAAATATGGGAGAAATAAAGGCCAAGAGACAAACTCAAATACTTATTGAGTACCGATCAAAATGTGTGAATGCAGTATTGTCTGTAAAGTATTGAAAGTTGGCTTCACTCTAAAAACAATGACATTGTAATAATTTAAATATTTTCTCTTTGATAAAAACAGAGATATTCAGTGATGGTTCAGAAATGTATCACTAGGGAGCAACATGCTAGTTGCCAACTAGACAAGTCAATGCATTGGCAGAAATGATTACTATAATAACATGTTACATTTTGTCTTCTTTTTCTTTATTAACATTTCTTCTTATTTTATTTTCTTGTTTTGTCTTGTTGGGGTTCTTTGACTTACTATATATGAACCTTTGAAGTGCCGTAAACAAACTGAAGCTACATTTCGAGGAGAAAGCAAAAACATTTAAGCAGAGTAGATGCCCTATTTGTCAAATACAAAGTGTCTGAAGCTGCCTGCTTTTTTTTTCGCTACAGTATTTGAAAGGATGTGAATCTTGGCTTAAATGTCTCTCAAATCTATTGATGGCTGGTTTGAAAGCTTGTGGGCCTCCACACCAAACCTGAGCTGTTTATTAGAGGCAGTATTTCAATCAGTATAGGCTTTAGTAAGAGAAAAACAGGTCACGTTCTTATGCAAGATGAAGATTGGCTGGGTAAAATGTATTAATACATGATGAAATGTGCTAAAAAGGTAGGTGCATATACCTATAGAGGTCATGTACTAATGTAAAATGAAGCTGTGGCCCATTATAAGGCCGTGGCTTTAACCCATTATGACTGCTGTAAAGAGACACTTGTAAAAAACCACGGAAACGCTGTACAATGTTCTGTTAACTGTATAACTAAATTTATTTACTGATTGTTTTTAAGCTATTTTATAAGCTATAAAATGTCCAGTATCTCTTAATTATCTTCAGTCTTTTTTGATATACTTGTACTACAGTGTTGCCGTCGTCCAGTTTGAAAGTGATGCATTCAATCAGTGAGTTAGTCCAAAGATGAAGGGGTTAGTGACCTTTTTCTCTGTTCTTTTGTGCGATGTGGCAGTCTATTAAGTCTGGCCACTTGTTCGATGTTCGTGCCGCAGCGGGTGGCGCAGTTCACAGACATTACTTCATTGCTCTTTAGAGCCCCACTAGAGGAGAGAGGAAGTCTGTGTGAAACGGACCGGTAGTTAAAGGAGGATGTCGTATGTGTACAGGTTGTAAAGCCCTCTAAGGACAATTTGTGATTTTGGGCTGTACAAAATACATTTTATTGAAATTAATTAAACATGATAACTCTGGCTTATGGACACAGGCAGAGGCTGCTAATGAGTTCAACTTAAGCTTCACAAGTTCATAGAGTGGATGCAGCCTGTCACTACACTAAGCTTAAATAATAAGGAGCCACAGAGTTGGACAGAGGTGGAAAGTAAGTAAATACTCTAAGTAATGTGCTTATCTTAAGTAAATAGCTTGATATTTTGGGAAATCAGCTTAAATCAGGTTAAATCAGGGTGTTTCCTATTTTTTGTCCTTTCTATTTACATAGATGAGTGGGTAAAATCATTAGAAAGACCAGTCAATACAATGCAGTCCAGTACAACACCACCAACTTACCTGAATGTCAAAACATATAATTGAAGTAACACCTCTATTACAGTGACAAAAAAGCATTAAAGGGCCTCACAAAAGCAGAATTTATGGTCCAACAGGTGTGTTGGACTGCATTAGAATATACAGGTGTACCTTATAAAGTATACAAGACATTGACACATTTATTTCGTGCTTTGTTTTTCTAATAGCAAGGCTGAAGAAGCTTATCTTGCTTGGCTGAGTACCTGCATGCACGCGCAGAGGCAAACATAATTGTTAAGACAGCAAAGCCCCATTAAAGGTTACCAACTACAGTTAGCATGCAAAGCTATCAGCTTGATTGGATGCAGTAAGATCCTGTGAGACCCTGCTGGTCCTTTCATCATCACGCTATTACTCACACGTGGCCGGTTTCATGAGCGACCACAAATGCGGAGGAGAAGCCGTCCTCGTGGTTCAGGGTGCAGCTCCTCAGTGGGTGGCACATCCCTGTAACTGGAGCGTAACCTGAGCGACAGAAAAGACCACACAGCCCTAATAATCAAGCACCAGGATGAAGGTTGTGACATTGTCATGCAAGGCTGAAGATCATGGTAGAAAATTAGAGCTATATAAGATGTGATTGCAGTCCTTGTGATGGTCTCTCACTCTGGAGCTAAGTACATAAGTACATGTTAGAAAACAGGCTGTGACGATTACTTTGAACGTCTCTTTCAATGATAAACCTATGTGTCTGTATGTGTGCACCGCTATTGATTGTTATTAGGCAGTAACATTCTCAAAATAGTAAAAACAAATCCTTTAATTTGAACTAAATGGAGTCACTAAAGGGAAATACCTGTACAATGCAGGGTAACAGTGTCAGTAATGTTTTCAGTAAGTCTGCATTCAGAGCCAGATGCCATTCATTGATACTAAAGTATATCTTTCGCCAAATTCAAATACTGAAGCCTTGACGGCAATACAAAAAAAAAACACTTTAATAGCAACTTGCTGCTAATGGACAGCATATATTACAGAGAGTTTAAGCAGGTTGTGGGGATGTGAAGGCTTGGATATTGAGCATCTCCTCACTTTACAAAAGGAAAGTCCCGAAGTAAACATGAAGGTCAGAAATCGTTACCCAGTTTACATCTGCTCCGGCATCACAACATTTCACACAGTGTTTACCAGACCTTGAAGCAAAGCACAAACATTAAACATAACTCGATCAAGAGGTGTGCAGTGAATAGCGCGTTTTTGGGTTGGTTCAGTAGCACGCTCGTCTGCTTTTGGCGGCTTTCAGATAATTTCCATGCTTTCTGACCATCAGAAGACCTTTTTTTTTGGCATGCAGGTAAAAAGCAGAGAATGCAGCAGACAGACAAGCCGGTGATGAAGAGTCTTAAAAAGCATCAAAAAGGTTATTTTGGTGGTGTTGGAAAACGTCTGCAGCAAGTCAGTTATAGCAGAGTTCTTTTCTTTTTCTTTTTGCTGCAGTGTGAACATGATGATGTCCATTATGGCCAGTTTTTGATCCAGATGATGGTTATTTTCATAAATGTCAAAAACAAAATGTAAAATAAATTAGCGAAACATGAAAGCAGTTGTGGAGCGTGACCTTTTATCTGAAAGGTAGATAAGAGGAATTCGTGAGAATGCAGATTACATTCCCATGAAGGGAGGCTTTGCACATTGAAGCGAAAAGGTGCAGCAGCGGGAGCAGCTAGGGGTCAAAAATGTGTTTCTCACTGCTGATGTCATGAGTGAGGAGAGAGGTGGTCTCTGTCATCTGCTTGATAAACTCAAACACTGAACACACTGCCTAGAAAATTAAATCCACAGGCCAGGAGAGCGGATCAAAAACACTTGAAATCATTCACAAGATTTGATTGCAGTGTATTTGTAAATGCGGCAAACAAACAATCCTTCAGTTCATTCGCTTCTCAGCTGCTCCACAAACTGAATGGATTTTTTTTGTTCTTCTATTTATCCCACAGCCACAGTATCTGTATTTGGATATACTGTAGAATCTACCATCTCACAGTTAAGCTTTGACAAGAGTGTGTGATGTCGGCTTGTGACCCTGAGGCACGGCACCGGGTCCAGCCCAACACAGTGCAGGGCGCCAGAGAAACTGGACTTGTTATGAACACAACACAACGGCAGCTATAGCAACATCCAGAGGTGCGACAAGCAAACCAGGTAGCCTCGGGTTGTCCTCTAAACATGACACGTGTGCTTCAGAAAGTTAAAAATATCCACAGGTCAATGCAAGATATTGAACTTCAGCACAGAGGATGTTTGTTCATTCTGGACTAAGTTTCTCTGAAAGTTAGGAGGCTCGCTTCAACGTTTGTTTTGAAGGGCTGAAAAGAAAAAATACAGCATGAGACATATGCTGAACTGACAGAACATGTATGGAATAAAACTCCTCCAAATCATTGCATACATGTGTTATTAGGATTGAGTGGACGGGTTAGAAACAACAGCTAGTTTAAATAAATAACTAACAAACATTTCTGTTTTTTCTCTACATGCCAAAAACCTTCCTGAACAATATCAATCTAAATTTTCATATCCAGGGTGGCAAAAATGTCGCTAATCATTATTTTTTTTCCCCGTGAGGTCAAATTGGGTTCGTAACCTCAGCGGCAGCCTCCGCTTTTAAGTTTTCATTGACCTTACCTGGGCAAGACTCGAAGCCAAACCCATTTGTGAATGGAAGCAGATATCAGCACTCAGTCTGCACAGTCCTCGATCGAGAAAAATACAGTACCTTGCATACCTGCGGGACCAAAATCTTGCCTTGTGAGGAAGATGGCATGATCGTGGTACTCGGCGTGGTCGGGGTCGCGGCGCTGCTGCGTGTTGGCCCATCGACACACCTGCTCCAGGCTGCGGGATGGGTTGCCGCGCTCGATCAGGCTTATGGACTGTTAAAGAAAACAAAAAACAGCATAAACGTTTTATCACTCAAACTGTGAACTGAAATGGTAATAGCTCAGCTCATCGATTCAGTAAAGCAGTGTTTCCCAAACTCGTTTCTGGGGTCCCACTTTTTAAAAATGGCAAATCATCACAACACAATTCACAATAGGCCTTTATCTATGAAGAAGAGCCTGACCTGACGTTCCAGATTTACTTCCATTTCCGCATCACATTATACTATCTTGAATAAGTAAGACAACAATACCCTTTGATAAAGGCATTGTGTTATTGAAAACATGTACACATGTTTAACTGCATGAATGCATTTAGGCTGAGATAACATATCTCTCATCGGTAAAACAAACAGAATGTACTCTAGCCTTTCATGTTAGATACAATGTTTTAAGAAGGCCACAATTATCAGAACAATACGAACACTCAGGCTCCTTCATGCAGCTCAAAGGTGCACTGCAGATTTAAATGTTGAATAAAAAGACATTTGAAGTACTTTATTTGGCAGCCCTATTAAAATGTCCTGCCAGGTCGGGATATTTGCGTGAATAGTATTTCTGTGGGCCCCGGACCAGTCTTTTGGAATGACTGCTCTGAAGGACCTCTGCTCTTAATTAAATTCCTAACGGACATAGAGAGCAGATCTTGCTTCTTCCTCTGCTCAATGTGTCTCGCACGCCAGATTTGCAACATAAAAAAAACACCAGTTTTTGTTTTTTTCCCCCCCTCAAACTGGCATTGAACTCCAACTGCAGAGGACTCAGTCGAGGATGAAATAGTGTGGTGACTGACTACAACACAGCTCACACCAGAGGATACATACAGATGGACAGGCATTTGTCTTTCTTCTCGCAGTGTGTGCTGGTGACACATTCAACACGTTCAAGCTCATCTAATTGGTGCTGTGTAAACAGCAAATCTCTGCTTTGGCAACCAGACAAAAGAAGTAACATGCAAATTGCCCAGCCTCCAGGCAGCATCAGCCGCTTATGAAGATTAAAAGGCTGTCTGTCACCATGACATCATTTATAGCATAACTATACCTCCTTACTACATCATTTGCAGCCTGCTAACATCAAAATACATGAAAGATGACATAGGTGACAGGCTAACTGTTTCACCCTGTTTTTAGTCTTCACACTAAGCTAATTGCCCGCTGGCTCCAGCTACAAATTTACTGTTCAGACGTGAGAGTGGTATCAATCTTCTCATGTACCTCTCGGCAAGAGAAAGCAAATACAAACTATTTCTTATCTTGCATACTTTCCACTGAGAGGTAGTGGAGTGTTTGGCAAAATGAAGCTACCATTCAATTATTTTTCTTTCTTGTTTTGATACCATTACCTCCTGAAGGCAGTAACAGCAATGTAATACAATAACTTGTGTTAGCAATCAACAGGGCTACAAACAACAATCTTTATATTTTAAAATATGTCTCGAAACAAAGGCACAGATGCACGAGATGTCTTGCCTCGGAAAGCTGTTTGAAAATATATTTGCATACATAGAAGATAAAAGCAATGTGTGACATAGCTCACCTGTCGGTACCCGACCATTATCATGCGGACGAGGACAACATTGATGTTGGTTCCCAAAGATTCGTCATGGTAGATTTCATCAACCTGAAAGGAAAGGAAACATTATCTGTCACTGATCTAAGGGATGAAAGAAACACAACTATGAGGGAAGGTGACTCAGAGGTTGATGTGATTAGTCAATACTACTCGGACTACAAATGAAAACTAGATCATTCTTCAAATGCTGGAATAACGCTGCATCTACAGAGTTTATTTCTGAGGTACAGCTTTGCGGCAGCAGGCCGTCTAACCGTGAGTTGTTGTTTTTTTGCGTCTTTTACAAAAAAGCTTAGTGTAATTACGAAATACGTTTAGACATTGGCAACCATCCAATAAAACCACTGTTCTTATGCAATGGCAAACAAGCCTGACCCAGAAGTGTGTCGGCTGCTATTTGGCTTTATAATAATGCTGTGGTATGTAGATGCTTAACCCTGGGCCAAGCTAGGATGCCATTCAAATCCCAAGTCCAATTTCCCAGTGTTATTTTCACCAAATGGTCGCTACATGTCCGCACGCCTCAGGGGCCCCATGAAGTCAATCAACTGCTTCGCTTTGCGGTTGATGAATAATAGTTCAGAGGGAAAATGAGGGGTGAATATGTCTTTTTCTATAAATCAGAAAGTCATTTAGTTGGGAAATGTTGGTTATGGATTCTAAATAACTCTCGATTGGTAAACATGGAGTCATTTAGCTCCATAAAACACCCTCACATATCACCACTGAACTTGTTACTGGGAGGAAATGTATGTTTACAACTGGCATTTAAAGGCACGTGATTCAACACTGCGTGTGACATAAATTTAACATTATAATTCACGTTACAAGCATGGGAAATTATTTTTGCAACAAAATTTTGCACAATCTTTATCATATTTTTTTTCTTCATATATTAAGTTTTAATTGATAACAAACACTCATAGCAGCTAGTCTGAAACTTTTTTTTTCATGGAGTTAGATCGACTGAACTGTAATATTATTTTGGTGGAGGAAACTTTTTCCTATTGATGTATAAAGTTAGTTGGTGCTAAAAAGCACAATGTAAGATGTATTTGTAATACAATCAACAAACTAATCCATCCCCCTCTGCAGCTCAAGTTTTAGATAAAAAAGCCCCCAATCCCTGTTTCCCTAAACGACTTGTGTCCAATCTGTCCGCCTCTAATCTCAACTTTCTACCATGACAACTCTTTAAAAGGTTTTCTGAGCCATTTCCTATGGGCCTCCTGACAATGTTAAGGTGTTTCTCTTTTGGTTTGGTCCATGACAGGCATGTATCCAGCCTTCTTTTGAGAAAGACTTTCCCTTGACTCGCACCCGATTTCCAAAATACCATTTGTGTCAAAAAATGTCAAAAAGGCAGTTGCCAAGCAACTGTTAGAAACAGTTAAAGGGAGGAATATCCATCCGATTTTTTGTCACACTTTTGTAATATAAAGCCTGCGATACCCTGATGATGCCACTTTAATAGAGAGACTCAGGCACTGAGTGGGCATAAATGGAACTACTTTGACTTGTTTGACTTGTTTTTGAGGTATTTTCCATTACTTTAACAATTACTTTTATGGTTCGCCTTGGTACTTTCAACCCAATACATGCATATGTTTTAGTTGCCTCAGTTTACTACTTTTTATTACATATTATTCTGTTATTTTTGAAGAGTTTAAAACAGCTCTTAAAAAAAAGTATTTTCAATGTTTTGCAATGCTGGTGAAAGATGAAACCGATCCCGGTTTTGTCAGTATCACTTTTAGGTAAATCACACCTCAGCCTGTCAATAACACTGATCTATGAAAGGTCTACAATTAGTGGGTGTTGCTCGACACTTTGAAATTCACAAGAGCCCTGAGGTGAAGTTTGATGTTTTCATTAATGCTTCAGCAGAGGCACTGAAAAGCTGGGATGTTATTTATATCCATGAGCTTTAATCTCTCCAGCTGCATATGCAAAGAAGTCCTGCAAGTATCAATTTGCTTCATGAAAATTACAATCCTGACACAAGAGACAGCATATGCACATATCTGCAGAATTACAGAGAAAGCCACCCATCTGTAAAGCCAAAATTATGTATAAACCAAGGGTAGGCAACTTTAGGCACGTGTGCCACAATTTGCACACGGCAGCTTGACCAATGGCACACTAACAATAAGTGTGCACGTGTTGAATTGCCCTCAACAGTGACCCCAAATTCTCGCAGATTTGTTACAAGCTCAAATTCCTAGACTGGTCTATACTGACCTATATACGTGTGTTTATGTTGGACCCGAAACAGAGAAGCTGTCGAAAAAATAGGAAAACATCCAAAAAATATCATCATAAAAGTTCTATGACGACTTTCATAAATACTGAATTTGCATATTTTTCTTTACTTGGGACTAATTCAGCTCACTCGCATTCAGCCTTTAAAATAAATGTTTTGGTGGGTCCTCCAAACCAACGTATACTGGGATAATTACAAAACCAGGAGGAGCACACAGAGGGCTGGAATTGGACTGTTGTGGCTGAAAATGAGAATAGCAGCTGTGGGCTACAGGCGCTAGGTGTCCCTGGCTTGTGTACAGCATCACACCGACGTGGACGAAACCTGGTCCACGCTCAAACAACACAGCCATTGTGCAGCAGGCACCTCAGCAGTCACCTTGGCTTTGCGCAGACAGGATGTTCAGTAATCAATCCCTCAGGGAGAGTTTCTCCAGGTGGTACTACACATTCTGCAGCCACGGAGCAGGGATTCAGAGGGATTTGAGTGGGCAGAGCTCTTTCAGACACAGCAAGCCTGTGGCTTACGAGTGGAACTAAAGAGTTTTGACCCTTGTTTGTTTGAACTGCACCTTTCGCTCTGGAAGTTGCACATTATCAACTTTTACTCAGAATGAAAGAAACTATATATATATTGCTTTTTAAGAACTTGATTTTCACTTTATAGCTCAGTCAATTTTAGAAATAAGGACTTCCAAAAATGATCTTATCCTGCGAGTGATGTGAAATAAATACTCATCAGAGAGCATTAGATAGCGATGTCTGCTAGTTACAGTATGCTCTTGCAGCCACTTCACAGTATAAACAGCCATGGTCATTAAAATCAGATATTTCTCCATGCCGAAGACATTTGAGGATGAAATGTTTATGTAATGTCTTAATAATAAACACATCATTCCATGTCAGAACCACCCCGCACAACTCCCAGTCAACTTTCTAATTGGTCTAGTGCAGCTAATCAGACCACCATGCAGGAGTCCAAATGGTAACTGTTACAGAGTGAAACCAGCACCCTGTGAAAATCTGACTTGAGGGATTTGGGCCCATTAAGTAGATTATGGTGGTAGGAGCTGGTGGAACCCGTAATGAATGAGCTGAGAAATATTTTTTTTCACCTCTCTATCGATAATCCATGAACAGCTAGAGAAAGTGGGGGTCTGGGGAAAGTGTGGCAAGGTCTGATGTCAGAGAGGACAAGGAGGGAAAAATGCCTCAACAGGTAGAAGATCACAAAACACAGCAGCATTTCATGTCAAGAAGGGATATTTATAGAGCTTAGTCTATTAGTGGAGAAAGTGTTTTAAAAAGCGATTCGTCGTTCAAGAAACGGCATAGATATGTCATTTTGTGAATATTCATAAAAGAGGAGCAGTTAGTGTGAACCTGATGAACTAGAATGGACTTACTATGTTCATGAGCGTGAGAACATAATTCTGCACATGCTCCTTGCCGTGGAAGCGCACCACCGAGTCGTCCACAGCCAGCAGCACCTCGATGTTGTAGTCGTTTTTCTTCGCGTGCCTCCTTTTGCGCTCGGACTCAGACAGTTTGTGTTCGACAAGATCCAGAGCCGCAGGAAGGTCTGCGATCCCGAAGTCTGCCACTGCAAGACATGAGCAGCACATAAACAAGTCAATTAACAGACTGTGGGAATTTGATGCATGTATGATATCTCTTCTATTCAGCTTCAGGAGTGATTTATGTCTGTGTTAACCCGACATAAAACAAAGTTCCGTCTTTGAGTCTCAGGATGCGCAGGAGGAATCCTTTGGGATTATCGTCAGGCCGGTGGACTTTATGTTTTCAAAGCCACTTGATCTCTAGTCAAAATACTCCCCTTAGACTCATAAATTGTTGGCCTACAGAGTGAGAAGTGTATTTCCTCTCAGTCCACATTTAGCCCAACTATAATATGGGCATTCATGGCCCAAATCCCAGCTGAGTCGCACCAAATCCAAATGACATTCATCCATTTCATAAAGCACAACAGCTGTTTAATGTCGCTGTGATATTCATGCACTGAGTTGAAACGCTTGAACTTGTCTGGCAGAAAATGTCTCATGTATCTTAAAAGCTTGGCATGCTGCTTAAAGCTATGAATTATAATAATCTTTTGAGAGACGGTAGTGATTCAAGCCAGCCAGGTACTAATGGAGACATTACACAGTATCTTCTGCATTCTGTTGCAGGAAACCAGTTGGACAAAGTATTTTCTGAAGTACAATGCAGAAAAATCTAAATCAAGGATAAACGCAGTGTTCTGCAAAAAAACATTCAGACAACTGGCTCCTTGCAAAACTCTCGAGATATAAATAACGGACAAACTCATAGATGCACAACAGGCGCAAACGTATTCGCACCAGTGGCGGCAGAATACATTATGGTAAATATGTTCAACAACTGCAAAAACTGGATTATTTTAATAATGGATTCATTGACCAAGTTGATGACTGAAGATGTTTTGCGTAGGTACAGAAACAGTGATGGAAAAGGCTAAATTGGCAACAATATTAAATTGAAAATCCAGCTGCATCACTTTATAGAAGAATGTAGCCTGTAAAGATAAAAAATGAACACAGTGTTTTTCATGAGGGCAGTAAAAAAAATAAATGAAAAAAGGCTTAGAAAATGTGAATGAGTGACTTGATTGAAAGGGCTGTGAAATGAAATGAAGAGATGCTTGGAAATGGGGTGAATCTGTAAGTATGGTAAGAGTCTTTCTCCAGATGCTCAAGCTATTGTTGTAGCAATCAAGGAAGGAATAGAAAAATAATTCACAATGGAGCTGGGTCGTTTGACTGCAAAGGAAGGGTAACCCCCACCACTCTCTCCCCTCACTGGCTCCCCCATCCTCCCTTGTCCCCAGAACTACCACTGGAGCCCAGAATTCCTCACATTACCAGCTGCTTTTGGAGCGCTGCATCTGCTGTTAGGCCTAATAAATATAGAGCGGTGATAGGAGTTATAGTATATGTATAGTTAAGTTCAGTTTTAGACACTGGTTTCCTTTAATTTCAGCAGGTCAATCAATCAGCAGGCTTTAAGCATTTCATTCTTGGCAATTTTACATTATTGTTGTGCTGAAATAAGGACAACTGTAACAATCAGAATGTGTCTGTAATTCAATATTCACTCATCTTTTAGCTCTGTTTTGGTCTCCACTGACTCCTGAGGGCAATAGCTGGTTCTTTAGCTGCTAAATGCTTCACTACATTACACACAGTGCTTTTTGTTTCCACTGATGTCAGGCTCCTTCTCCCCGCCTACCTTCATTGTGGAGGTCCTCCCTCCGCTGGCCCGTCTCCCGCTTGATGGCCGACCTGCGGTAGACCACGTGGACACGACCCTTCATTTCCACGTCCTGTTGGCCCTTCTCGAGGGGCTCGATGAAAAACTCCCCATTATCAGTCCGGATCAAACCTGCCTGGAAAAAGAGGGCTTCAAATTAGTGCACCCCTCCTCCTTCAAAGGACGGTAATTCCACTGCAGCCAGTAATTATAGTGTGCCAGATCAACTGGACGATTTTATGATGGGGAATGGTGCAGGTAGACACACATTTGAGGCCCCTCACTAACAACTCCTCCATCGAGATGTATTGAGTGTCACCATGATTTCACACTGAACAAGATGATAAGTAGCAATGTCTCTATTCAGCTACGTTTCAATCTTTCATGTTTTTCAGTGAATTCAAAGCTCTGTGACGTTCAAAGAATTCAATTCAATGTGTTGAAGTTTAACAATTAAATTTTCTAAGTATTCATTTCCTCCCAACCTTCCTGATGTGCTCTACTTCAATTAGTAATTTCAAACAAATACCCTTTCAACTACCTGCTACCCAATGACCCAAGGACCCAAGGAGCACGTCAATGGACCATTGTCTGCGCTCTCCGAGTGGCAAGTGCCAAAACCTTAGTTTTCTTACAAATTAGTCTAAGCTGGCTAGCTTGCTAATTCCACCATGCTTTCATGCTACAACTACAGAACATAAAAGGCACCACATAAACTGCTGGGCTTGGTCTACTTTACTTTAACAATAACTGTTCATAATAGCCGTTACCCTTTCAATTAGCTTATGCCAATTGCTACAATGCTGACGAATATTATGATTATGCTTTGTTGGTGATGAAAGCTGCCTCCGTATACGCAACCTAGCTCAAGAGCAGCCAGGTGCAAAATTGAATTGCAATAAACTGGTTTTAACCGATAGAGGGCGCTCAAGATGCATATTTATAACATCCTACTTAGTCTTTAAAGACTTTGCACTAGAATGTCAAGATTTGGACCTGAATCCATCGACAACCCAACTAAAACTGGTACATCAACTCTTTCCCTGCATTCTCATTTTCAGCATCCGAGCTGAAGTTACAATGCAGCGTCCTGATTGGCATTGCATTACATATGTGAGCGCAAACATTTGCACACATTGATTTCCATAAAGTAAACATCCTCTGCTTCAGGCGACTCTGTTGTATACCTAATGTGACTGAAGGTAAATATTTAGATGGACTGCATGGGGAAGCCAACATCGACCTCTGGTTCACTCTTACAGTTTCTACTGTGTGAAAGCTGTAATATTTATTACTTGGTCTCAATTTGGTGTAAAACTAATTTCTACATTTACCACACAATGTCAATCTGCATTGATTCAGTGCAGGCATTTCCTTAATATGAACACTTAAGAGTGCAAACCCAGTGTGTTTGAAGTCCTTCAATGATTCTTAGAGAAATGCTGAATACTGAATATCAGTCCGGCTCTGAGTACTGGACACATTTAATTATGTAAATTATGTAAATTGCCATACACACAGGTTTCGCCATTTATTCACTACCTTTGCCCACTCAAGTATCTTACGTTATATTTCACATACTTTTCACTTGAGCATTTAAGACTCATTTTCAGGGTTCTTACAATTGTCCATGTAACGTTGGAGTCATTAGGTAATTAAATAAAGTGATGACAAAATGTGTTGGCTACGTATTGGTAGATTACTTCATCAGCTAGTTTGATTGTAAACCCGTTGAGTGATGTTGTACTGTGAATAATTTATTGTGTCCCAAGGTTACACTGCTACCCACCAGAAAAAAAAAAATGAAATGGCCATAATCAATATTCTTCTATTAAGAGAATTATCACCTGAATCTGCAGCTCCCCTCGACTTTACGGAGCTTTATAGTGACTTTCTGTCTGGCAACTTCACTGTTTTAGTTCACTCTCACCGCTCGCATCGGGTTGTTTTTTAGCTGCATGCAGGCAGCTGTTTTCAGCTCTAAAAACCCACCTTGATCAACCTTATCAGCAGACAGACACATTTAGCAAATAGCTGGTTAACAGAGTGGCGCATTTAGCTGTTTAAGAGCTGGATATTTCCCACAGGAGTTGGTAGAAAAACAGCTTTTCCCTTCAAGCTACATAATCGCTTCATAAGTGAGAATGCTGGAAGGTAATTTACTACTCAATCTATTGTCCACTGAACATGTTTTGTCTGCTGTGTCGATGGAAATTCACACACGTCAGTAAACGTAATGTTATGTTGTAAAGTAATGTTGACCATTCACCTTGGCTCACTGTTACAGCCTGTCTGTCCATTACATTATCAGCATGAGTACAGAGCTTCTACCGCCATCCATTATCACCATTTGTCCTCTGCTGGGTCATGGGAGGACAGAGACTCGTCGGACAGGTCACCAGTCTGGTGGACAAATGGTATGACGCTGGAACAATATTTGTCCACATCCATCCAGAGAATATTGTTCCCTCATGTGTCCTGACACGCTCTCTACCATGAGCTGTGTCCAATAAAGGCAAAATGTACAAAAAAAAAAGAAAAGACAAAGCAATAGAAATTTCCAGTCATCAGGCGTAGATCCAGAGGTGGTTTTAATTGGATTTTAAGTTACAACTTGTGCTTGTTAATTAAGCAAAACCACACGACCAAATGTGACGTAAATTAAGGACAGAGGATGTTACATCCTCTACTTATATAACTGTAGTTGAAATATTTCTTCTTTGTGTTGCCATGTTGTTTCTATTAAGCATAAGCACAAACTGTGCTTTCTGAATACACTGCACCAGTGCAGTTCATTTTATTTCTCATATTCCTTACAAAGAAAAAAAAAAGAAATCTATCCAGCCTATCATCACACATGAAGAAGGCACACCAACAGGACTTTGGCAAGAATGTGTGTATTTACAGCTGCACAAAGAAATCTAAATACAATGCAGTAAAGAGAACATTTTGCTTAAAAAAAACTCCTCAAAATCCTCGCCATGCTGTCGTTCAGGACTAACAACACAAACGCCGTGAAATTAAGTGTGGACATATGACAGTAAGGGCAAAGAGGAGTGAAAGAATCTGTCCAGCCCCTGACCAGGAAATGCCAAGTAAGACATGCTCGAATACTTCCTCTGTGGTCTCTTATTTCAGCAGTGGGTGGAAAGAGAAGCCGGGTCTGTGAGGGGAGAGAGCAGCAGCATCTGGAAGGGCCTACAGAGGAGCCAAATGTAAACATGTGTACACTGCATGGTAAAGTCTAAGCTGGGGAAAGGTCTACGTTTGCTGTCAGAAGTGAGAAGGGGACACAGAGCTTTTGGATTTTCAGCTAATCTCAGTATTATTAATGGCTTCACCCTGCTGGAAATTTAATTGAGCTGAATTAATAAAGACCTGAAAATGATTCCAGTCTCTCAAATTTGACGATTAGTTGTTTTTCTCTGCACAGTGGTGTATTTTTTGCCCAAAGTAGTGTCTGCATATTATCCTGTCAGGCTATATACTGTACATCCCTAACAAACTCCACCAATCAAACAGTTGGGGCAACCCGTATCAACCCAGGGCCGAAAAAAGTCACATGACATGACATCAGTCGGTCCATCACAGTGATCCAGGTTCAGACATTGTTCCCCTCAGAATGAATTGTATACATTTTGGGGATCCACTGACTGTTTCAACACCATCATCGGGTCATTAACAATTCAATTTGTCTTTGTCAGATAAAACAGTGTTACTTCCTCCCCAGAGGAAAATTACACCCTTGAGTCATAATTAGCAAAAGTTGTCTCATTACACTAAATTGAGTCGAAGTGTTGCTAATTCGCATGCAAACAGTGAAAATAACACCTCATCATCACCCATCATGGGCCAATTTAAAATGAGCTGTGAACGTTTTAGATTTTTTTTTTTTTCAGATTTCACACTGTTTCTGTTCAAATTGAGCTGTGATGCAGAGATAATCAGGTTACTCCATATGATGCAAGTGTTCGTACAAGTGGGATTATTTTGAGATATGCTCAGTGGAGGATACGATTTTCTGAAAAACACTGAGGCAGTGAGGCTTCCAGCGGTGTCACGGCACCGCACAAAGAAAGGGCAAATATAGCTAACTCTTAAACTCACCAGTACACTAAATTCCACACATCCGTAAGAGCAACTTTGAAGGTGGACATATACTGTATGTAATTTCAAGAGAGACTTCTGCCTGCTGTGCAAACTAGCAAGTAGAGTCTGTCACCTGCAGCAGCGAAGCGAGGAACAAATTAGACAAAGCTGGTGAAATCACTTCGCTGCTGAAAATAGATATATTTCAAAGACGACAGACGAGGGCGTGGCTTTTGGTTCAGATGAGGGGACGCAACAACTAAAAAAATAATTCATTGATCAACTAACAAATCCCTATAATTGGTTATTGTATTTTCCATAGCGACTTGAGTAAGTAAGAAAATCAACGTGAAACTATAAAAGTGAGGCAGATCACTGGCCAAGATCTATTTCTTTACATCAATGTAGAAAGACACTGTCCCAACAAACTGCTAGCATTAAATCGTTGAAATCTAACAGAGATGCCTATTGAGGTACATTAATAACAAACACAATATAGAAATGGAACAAGTGCCGCAGGCCATGCATGAGCTGCATTGTGCAAGGAAATTAAAGTCCAGCGCGTCCTTCCAGGGGCTCAACCTGTAATTTGTAGCACATTGTTTAGAGACATGTAATTTCGGCTCCAGGCATGCTCTCTGTTGATCCACAAGCGAGACACAGAGAGGGAGAGAGTAAAAAGGCAATCCACTCTTAGCCGCTGAGATCAAGGTATGCTCACACATCTTCCCGAGGTCACACAATATGTTGGATCAATGGAGGATCAATGAGCCGGCGAGTAAATCATGGCTGAGTGGTGCTTGACTCAGCAGAGTCGCAGGTTTGAGATAATCGTATGAGACAGCTTGTGGGAGAAGGGATTACTACTTGATTCCTTTTTATCAGCTTTCACATTTCACTGTGCAGGGCCACGAAGTGCAAGCATAGCTGGTGATCACGACCAGGGTAATAAGGAGAAAATCCGGCTTATAATTACCAGCACCCATCTGCATGAGACTCATATCAAAGAAGAGGAAAATAACAATACTACAAGTAATTAAGGTAATTAGGCTGCTGTGAGCAGCTAATTGGATTTGAAACAAAAGATAGTCAGTTTAAAAGGATAAACACTCCTTTTAATATCATTATTGGTGTTGTTATTATTAATATTTGGAGGAGTAAAAGGATATGTAGCAGCTGTAGGAGTAGTTGAAGTAGAAGTAGTTGTCGTAGCAATAGCAGTAGAAGTAATGGTTGTAGTTTGGTTGTAGACAAAGTGCTAGTAAACTAGATAATGCTCCCATTGACATATACAGTATCTAATAACCACCAAGTGACATTTACAACATAAAGCTTTTATTCAGACTTTAGACTTAAAGCTTGAAACGGCACTTGGTGGGGATTAAATAGATGTTTATGGGAGCATTATATATAGTGCGCGCACTCTATTTCTTTCCTCTTCTCAATGTTCTTCTGTCCAGCACCTAGTATTCATCGTCTGGCTGTGTGTGCTTTTAAAATGTATTTACCAGTAAAAGCAAGACAGTATTACCCTTAGTAGTAGAAGAAGTAGTAGAAGAAGTAGTAGTAGTAATAATGTCTAGGAGTAGTGGTCATAGGAGATGTAGAGATACTAGTAACAAGTAGCAGGAGTATTAGTAGTAGTATATAGCAATGTATTATTATGCAATATTGAATTGATATGTGTGTGCAGTCAGTTTCAAAACTCCGCTAATTAATTTGCTATTTGTTGTTGATGTGATGTCGTTATTGTGACATTCCCTGGTGTCTGTGATTTGTGTGCTTACAGTTATGCGTGTCCTGTATTACAGTGTGCACTTGAATGAGCACACACACACACGCACACACTAACACACGTTTAGTCAGACATACTGTAACTTTAACTCGACTGAGAGGAAATAAGTCACATTGTTGGCTGAGATGTCGGGCTTCCACTGATGGAGCTCTTAATTTAGTGCCTTTATCATCGGTGCCAGCAGAGTACTGGAACACCGGAGAATTCTGGAATACTGGACTGGGACCAGGCCTGTGCAGAATTCCTGCAAACAAGCATGAATAGAACAATTTATGCAAGCATTTTCCAACTCCAATGGATGGAAAACTGCCCCACCAAACCCCCAAAAAACGAAGCCTGCTGACTGTTGCTAGGTGGCTCTCTCTCTCTTTTTAACTGATGGACACAGAAATAGCGCTCCCCCTGAATGCGGCTATCCGGCACTCGTGTTTCCATCACACATGTAATTCAATCAGCCCGTCATCTGCGCTAATACCCAACACATGAGCAGCAACAGTATAATCATAGCCATCACTCATCGCTCCACAACAATAGCTCATGCTCGTCTGGAGCGCACAGCTGTTGCTATCTAGCAGGAGTTCCAGTCAGAGGGGAAGATATAGCAGACATGTTGGTTAATTAAACATAATCCGCATTAGAATTAAACTGAAAGTGAAGGTGTTTCAGAGTCATTTCACATTCACTTTATTTGCAACCTTGGCGGACAGTCTGGGAATGCTGTGAGGCCAAATATATCCAGAAGATATCAGATTTATTTGCAGCTTTAATGTATGAATGTGTTATTTGTCCTGAGCTTGGAATGCCATAACTCTAGCTCCTCTGGGCACATGGCAGGAGACCAAGTTAACGTAATCTGTAACTGGTGATGTCATGCCTTACAGTTAGGGAGTCCTCTCCATGTGAGCGACTGATAGCAAAGCTTCAGTGTGTCATTCGCGTTGAAGTAATGAAACAATTGAAAAAACGCAAGGTTAGGAGTTGTGATGTTGGCTGATGTGTTCTTCAAATCTGAGCTCTATCTACCCAACTGTGATATACGTCTGCTCCAGTAAAGTATGCGTGTGTTCTCCATAAGGGAAAAACATCAAACATACTTTTGAAGGTTTGAGTGCCGGTGGTACGTAAAGAAATACAGCACAGTGCATCTAAGAGATTTGGCCCGCATGCGGCGACCTCAGCCCGTGATTCACGTATAGTCTTCCTTCTAAACTCGCTCCTTTCATCAGACATCTCCTGCATGTCGTTCCACATCAAGCAGATACTTGAGACTAAATAATTTGCCTGTGAACTGTCTGTCCGCCTCCCGAACACCCCTGCATGCACAGACAGGTCTGCCTCTGTGTTGGCTTTGATGCGAGGAAACACATGGACGATATTCCTAAGAGCCTGACTACAGCCAAATCAAAAACAAAAAAACATAAATCTAGCCAAGCAGATCGTTTTGCTGGCCGAGTATGAGATACTTCTGATGCCACCAGAGGGGTGAATGGACATGTTGTGATGCTCAAAGCTTTGAAATTGGACATTTAAAAAGACACCAACTGCATAATACACATACCTCAATGGCAGCAATATTACGTGGATACTATTTTGTACTGAAGGTAAAAAGTAATGAAAACTGACAGAAAAATTGCTCTTTGTTGTGATTAGGAACAGATCTTTCAAGAAAATGAATACCACACAACTGTGGAGGAAGACACACACACTGAGCACCATAAGCAAATCTCCATGTCAGACTAGTCTTGTCATCCGTACAAATGTATTTAGACATGTCGACATTATTAAATTTACTGTCAATTTTGAGGTTTCTTCTGGGATTTACCTTCTTTCAGATGTTGTGATGGGAAAACTCACACGACCCACTCTGCAAACATACAACAATCTCCGATGGCATGAATGTTTGCAAGTCATAAGCATGAGTATGTTTTCTTTATCTACCATCCATCCCATGACCCGCATAAAGACCCAAAGTCTCCTCCTCTTTGATCTGTGTCTCTAAAAGAGCTAGATTTTGACACTGGCATTTATGTCCATATCAATGCTAATATGTGAGAGCTAGTAACATTTAAAGATGTCTTCATTTTAATAAAGAAGAAAGAACAAATGTATTGCGTTAGCTTTCAACAACATCACACCATGCTGCTCACAACCAGATGGGGGTGGGACGACCAAAAAACAATTCTAAGTTGGCTAACACCCGTACAATCTTGTCGACTAAAAATAAGTTAATGTTAATTGACAAATCTGTCAATCTGAGTTTCTCCACAAAGAATCACACAAAAGCACCACTTTAAATCGTGTGTTTACCAGAGAGGTTCTCATAAGTTTTGTGTGAATAAGTAATTCAGCGACTTGGATGTTGACATGAGAACGCTGTTTACATGTCAGAAGCCTGTGGTCATGTGAACCGGCCTTCTGTTTCTGTCTTTCATGTCTGTAGAGAAGAAGAACAGAAGTCAACACAAGACTGTTGCTGAACTCCTCGTCGTCTCTTGAGCTCATAATTATTAAACCATCTTGGCATTCTGTCTTAGGCCTTGAAACAAATTAAAGAGCACTGTGATAAAGATTGCTCTCTTTTGTAACACACAATCCATAAAAACCTTTCATATTGTACTCATGTGAATACAGCATTGTGTCGCTTTTTGCCTCAATTTCACCTTTCAGGGCATTACTTCACATGGCATTGTCCAATGAAAGATTCTTAATGAATACATTTTTCCTAGTATTCTCAGCTGCAGTGCGGTTTCTTTGTGTTGATACAGAGGAACTACGAGAGCGAGAAAATACAGCGATGACGACATTGAACTGGTAAGACCATTGTTTCTTTGTGTCGTGCTGATGCCACATCGAAAGCTCAATTGTCCTGAAAAACGCACCATGAAGCAGAGAGATGAAATTGTGGACTTTGTGAAAATTAAAGCTGCCAACGACAGACCTTTTCTCACATGAGGTGTTCAGCAGACACACAGCGCTCCAGAAGAAGAAGTGTGCAGGGATTGTGGCGTGTCCTTTTGAACTGTTTTGACCTCGGCTTTACGGAGCCCTGAAGCATCTTACAGCCCAATGTTTTGGTTTTTACGGGCTGCAACTTTATGGTTGTAACTCTCTTGCTGCTCTCACCAACGCCGATGTCAGATGTAGCTGCAACAGTTTTCACGCAAAAAGCTCCAACCAAACAGCGACCAGCTGTTGAACAAAATAGAGCATTTAGCAGCTAAAGAGATATTTTTCTCAGGAGTTGGTGAAAACAGAGCTATGAAGAAAGGGAAGATTGCGCGCACATTTGCCAGGTGGCCAGAAACTCCAAAATGATGGCTAACATTGCTTTTTTTTTTTTTTTTTTTAACTGCCCCCAAGTGGGCAAAACATTAATTGATGCAGGTTTAAGTGACAAAATGAAAATGTTCTATGGACTGCATCAGCCGATATCTATACTCTTGCTCACCAGTTTCAATAATGGGTTTGTGTTCAGTATGCTCCTGTCTATTCTCATGCACAATGTTTGAGACGTCTCCAAGCAAAGGACCCAGGCGTGAATGTCTAATGCTTAAAGGATGCGGTAGATTTCAGATGGAATATTGCTTTTATGTATGTCTGATGCACGAGCAAGCTTAGATCAGATGTTAAGGACTTCCTGAAGAAGAATAAACACATGCAAACCCATAACACTTTGCATTCTGTCTGACACTGTGCCAAAGAAGAGAAAGCATCTTCTCTCCCTGGTACATCCCTCGTCATCACATTTATATTTCAAGTATGCTCTGACTTACCAGTCCGTCACAGTTGCTGATAGCCACAGAGGCCTCCGGCATGTCGCTCACGTCTCCAGTGAAAACACAGTCCCCGTAGATACGTTGCTTGGCCTTTTCCACGAAGTCCTCCTGCCATTCCACGAAAGCCCCCGGGGCCACCAGCCTCTTGTTGGCCCTCAGGCGGAGGTGCAGTTCTTTCCCAAACACGGTGACATTGAAAAACAAGTGCTGCGCCGAGGCAGGGGTGACCGGGGGCATCTCGGGGGCACTGCGGGCCACCCTTCTACTGCTGCCAGAGGCCGAGGCGGCATCACCATCAGCGGCTGCAGCACCTTTACTTCCGCTTCCAGCAGAGACCACGTGAGAAATGTACCTGCCACGGGAGTCTGTGCTGAATGGCACGATAAGACCATATTCACTTAACTTTCCAGAGAGTTTTTCTGATGGGACAGATAGTGTCAAGTGAGAATCACATTCACAGACCTATGGCAAGTTCTTATGGAAAAAGACTATAAAGCAAAGTAAGCTGAATGATTATTAATAGAGAGAACCTTATTTTATACTTATTATTATACAAAACATATAAAGGTAGCTCAGAATGAATGTTGGTATTATGAATAAAAATCCTGTAGACATAAAGTAAACTCCAGCAGTTCAACACTTTGACTACATCCAGAACAGTAAGGCTGTCAGACTGACTGGTCCTATCAATAAATAGGCCATCATTGTGTATTCTGATTCCTCAACAGTTGGACTTTAGGGTGCATTTTATTTTACACAGTGCAAACAAAAGAAAGTAAGTGGAGAACTCACCATGTGTTTCTGCAGCGAAAATTGGATCCAAAAGTGAGAAGCACATCAATAAATACATACAATCCATAGCGAGGGCTATAGTGTGAGAGCTGCCACTTCAGCGCTGACTTTTCCTTTCTGTTGTAAACTTTGAGCAGAGAGCTTCCTCCTGAAAAAAAAAAAAAAAGCACGAATGCAGGAGAAAAGTCCTCAGAGTTGAGCTCCAGCGAAGCAGCCCGGCATTTCTGAGCGTTTCCCTCTAGACGCCAAACTGACGGATATTCACAAGTTGTTTCCAATCTTTTGGTCTGTGCTGAACTGCATAGCCCACCAAGTCTGCACCATCCATTTAGGGAGCTAAGGGGGGATATCTGGGGTGCTGATGACGACAACTCTCCGGTATAAAAACCGGGACGGTTTGAAGAGGTAGTCCAATTTTTTTTTTTCTCTCTTCTTCGTCCCTTTCTTTCCTCAGATTACTTTTTTTTTAAAGGGCAGGAGAGCAAGTTAACGCACGCCTACGTTGAGGAAAAAAGTCGGAAGAGTTCAGATAAAGTGTGCAAAGACAGAGTGTCCCGGTGGTGAAACATCTGCCGTCCAGTCGTGCACCATTACGCACCAATGGTTCGGCTGCGGGACTCTCGACTGCTCAACTTGAAGCCACTACCAGCCAACAGTGGGAGCGCCTCTCTCCACTAGACAACCACATATTTAGCCAAGCGAACTTTTTTTTTTTCAACTAACAAAAATAAACTGGAGACGTTATATCATCATGTCCACCTCCACAGCTAATATTCAGACTTCTTCCTTCTTAAAGAGGGCAAAAATATCAAGGATTCAAGGTAATAACTCATATATGTTTACATGAGGCCACAAACACAGTCAGTGATAACATGGCAATGAATCAGGGACGACAGAGGTCAACACTTTCCAGTGCACGTGGTTGAATAAGACTTGTTTGGAGAGAAATCAACTTAATTATTATCTTGAACATATTGTAGGTCACAGAAATGCACCCATGACAACAATTAACAACAATCAAAAAACGTCAAATTAATATAAATTACAAAAACTTACTAATATTAAGAACATAAAAACATGTTACAAAATATGGAAAAGAAAAAGAAGAGACACTTCTACCACCCGGGATGACAGTAAGAGATTTAAGGATACATTCACATTTTTCTCCAATTTATGCTCATATGGCCATATAAACAGTTTTTGGTGTGTTGATATTGTGCAAATGTACAGTATCAAAATTCAACCATAATATGAGGCTTCAGCATTTGGAAGTAGATAATACATATTTCACAGTAGTCACTGTATTTTCTAGAACAAACTACCCTCTTTCTGTCACTTATTGTGCGATCTACAGCAGCTCAGCGAGGAAACTGTGTGTGGAAACATAAAGAGAACATTTCACACTAAAAATAATCGAACTTTACCATTTCTTACACTGAAATTGTGTTTTCTATCTCTGGAGGAACACTTACAGTGCCCAAACATTGTTTCAATACTGTTTTAAGAAAGACTTAAAAAGCCTGTGCACCCATCTACTCAGAGCCAAATAAAATGCATTTCAAAGTAGTGCCGTATCATTAAAAAATCAGACACTACTCATTTTCCATGTCTATTGAATACATTAGTATCAACAAAGCATGCATTGCATGCTCCGATTGAATGACCTCATGCAGTTTGTACCTCAAGTTTTCATAATCTGGGCTAATCCTGCAGATGTCACTGTGAGCAAATGTTCTATTTGCCGAAAGGGAACGCATCCAACACCATCATTAGAGGCTTAGAAGGTGTGAAAACTCCACAGTAGATTTCATGAGTGGAATGACAGCCTGTTAAAACCTTGGATGACTGCTCAAGCAACCAGGACTTCTTTTTCTTTTGTTTATGGTCCTGGCTCACCATACTGGAGTCCAGACTTTGTCAGACATGACCACGCAGAGACTGAACCAACAACTCTGGAATCCTTTTCAGAGGAAGAGGAGGGGGTTGGGTTGAAATTAGTTTTGACTTTCAGGTACTTTTTTTTAGGGAAAAAGGTGTCTACACTGGACATTCTTTTCTGTGTGGAGTCTGGTCTCTGTTGGGTCTGCCCAACCTCAGCCCGTGCAGCGCCTATACGCTGACTCTGTGGCTAATTACATCCATGCTCTCAGGATAGTCAATGTAGAGCAGGTGTGGGTGTTTTATGCAGTCATCCCCCCAGGGCGGCAATGAGAGGATTGGATGGTGATCCAAAATTGTGCATTAATAAGCAATGGAAACTAACCACAGCATTAAGAGATGGAAACCATTAACTGCCTTGTAAGAAGTTTTATGCTGTTTTTCCATCCATACTGTTGGAGTTTTTTTTTGTTGTTTTTTGTTTCGTTCGTGTCTAAAAGCCAGGATGACATTCCACAATATAGCATAGTGTTCAATTAGATGGCGCAGTCTGTGGTTAAGTCCACACACTAAACCAATTTCCTACTACAGTGCTCTCATTAGAACGCTCTGTCCCTCACAACGGAAGTGTAAGAGCAAAATGTCAATGTGCTCTTGTCTCAAATACTGTTGAGAATTATTACAATACACAACAGATATTTATGTGAGCCAGCCAGGTTTATTGATAAACCGTCATTCTTTTCCCTCTCATACTTCACAGAGGCTTCAAACTCTAAACTTCTGCATGGATGACCTTTATAGTCTGAATCAAACTAACATTGTAATCCATTGAACCGTAAGTTTGTCCAGTTTTTGAGGGCGGAGCTGCAAAGAATCAAGCTTCTTCCACTGTGTTTCCATTCATGGGGAGAAGTTACAGTACAGCGTGTGGAGCTGTGGATGCCTCAGTGTGTGCTGTAATGTGGTCTAGCCATGCCAGCGTGCTGAGAAAATATGTGACTTTTCATCTCTTGAGATGCAGGGAGATGCAAAGCAGCTGCTAGTCTGCCCGGCAGCTTGAGGGACGACAGGGGCGTCTGCGTTTGCCAAGTTACAAACCAGCAACTTGAAGAAGTTGTTATTATTGTTCTCTGCCCCGTGTGGATGGAGTCTTTTTCGTACTCCAATACGTGTCACTATGTTTGTGTCAAAGGTTTTACTTGCATTTAATCCACCAAAGAGGTTTATATTTTATGTCTGGTCTGTTTTTTCATATATCTCAAAAACTACTCAACAGTTTTCTGTACAATTTGGTGGAAAGTTAAAGGGATAGTTTGACAATTTGGGAAAATACACATTCACTTTCTTACTGAGAGTTAATTGTAGGCTAAGCCTTGTCCAACAAGTCCCCCAAATTAAATAACAAAATACAGTATTTGTCCTCGAGAACGACACATAAGCATTTTTGTTATCCGACACACCTACCTTTACACCATCATTGTTCTGTGCTTTCCAAAACTGTAACAAGTCACTGTTAAAAAATGAATACACGTGTTGTGACAACGCTATGGTGAAGGTTTGGTTAGGGTTAAGGGAACGATTATGGTATGAGTTAGAGTATGCAACGGTTGCAATAATAAACACTTGGCTAAGGTTAGGGAACGATTGTGGTCATGCTTTTTTTAAACATGTTTTTCTGGCATACCGTAGCTTTGCTCTGGTCCGCATCAGGAAGTACAGAAACGAGCTACCGCTAACTGTTGCTTTTCTCTTGTGTTAATTTCTCCTTGAGTCCACAAAGAACACATGTTTAAACTTCGTTACTTACCTTATAAACTTACCTTAAAGCTCTGATGTTTTTCTGCAACATGAAACGAACAAACGTTACGACGTTTGCGTCATGCTAATTGCTAACACTAATCGCTAATGTCTGCTCAAGTTAAATGCTTAACAGTTGACATATATCATGAAGTTATCACCAACTTGTGTGTTTGTATAAAAAAAGAGTCACAGAAAGGGTTCAATGAGTTTCACAGTGAGTTTTGGTAAATTGATTTATTTACTGAAAATGTGCTAAAGAATTGGCAACACTTAAAGATAAATACAAGAAAACCTAAGGCCAATCACAAATTGCTACCTTGTGGCTCTGTCTTGTAGGTAGTTTTGAGATTCTGGACTTTGGAAACAGCAGTCACTGTTCATTTAGCAGCTGTTGTGGAGATTTTAAATCATATGGTACAATCTTTCAGCAGATATCGTACATAACCGTCACTAGCTATTTATTTGGGGCTTCATACTAAATGACTTGACTGTTTAATTGGCTACCAAGTTGTTGTAGGTGTGATCTCTTTAACATAATCTGCCATACCTCCATTACTCATAACTTCATTTAGAATTTGAAGACATCTCAACAACTTTTGATGGCTAAAACAAGATTGTGATGCATGACTAGCTTAAATAGATATAGCTCAAGTCTCAATTATATCAGAGCAAGTTAAGTCTTTACGAACTGTTCGCATCCTTGAGGTCTGAATCCTGACCATTAAAACATGGCATTTGCACCCAGTCATTAACAAATGTTGTTCTCATAGTTGAGACCTAGGGCCTTAGATTAGTCGAACGCAAGTTAGACTCTGTCACAAAAATAAACACAGACTTATTTTAAGCCTAAAAGGTCAACCTCCTGACCCTCAAGCTAATTTAGAACTAAGTGCAATGGTTCCATGGTAACAATCAGTGACACCTGCTGACAAGTGTCACCACATGACCTGACTCATATCTTATGGAGTGCTAACAATGTTATGGAGCGAGCAATATGAAGGGAAAGAGGTTGTAGAGACCGGAGTGATATCCAATATCCAGTTGTGAAGACATGGTTGGAAACTATCCAGAGCCTGACTGATGAGTTACCATGACCACTAAACCCTGCTACATCTCAGGTCTGATACACATCGGAACTGAGAACATATGTCACTGCAGGTGTTTTGATTGTTATCCTGTAAAATGTCATTGAAAGTGTTGAATTATTCCAAAAGGCAAACATTTTCTGCAGAGCTGAGTGTCAGCCATGTTTTTAGTGTGAAACAATCTTATTTTAACAAGAATTAACTGCAAATTAGTTTTAGTTAAGATGGTCAAGAATTAGACAAGTTTGTTCCGACCAATTCTGACTTGGTTTGATCTAAGCTACTGTCAAAGTCTTATCTCTCTGAAAACGACCCCAAGTCCTTTCCATGCCAGTTCAATAACATGGAACTGGCATGTTCACGTTATGTAATCATGCACACCGGCCCGTCACTGTGTTTTCCGGGATTTAACTAATCTCAAAGTCTCAAGTCAACTACTTTTATGACACCGTCATCCGCTTCACATCAGGACTTTACAGAATACACTTCAAACCAGAGCCTATATAGCAGAACTCAATGGTATATTATTTTGAATGGAGGGAAAATAGCATTTAAGAGCCCTCTATCAATTCAATCAGGTTTTTTTTTATATCCTGCCGGCTGAGACTTTTCATTACCTTGCTCAGTGGGGTGTGTAATACCTAGCTTATCAGGGATTGGGCATTATTGCTCGCGGCAAATGAAGGCCTGAAGGTGTATTTGCCAAAGCAGATTGAAGAACATCCCTTCAAAGATTTTTGCCCTCTTGCTATTATTGATCAAATCCTGAAGAGCACACTTGAGTCTCGGAGGTGTTTGATTGCTCATGTGGATAAAGGCAGTGTTACAAAGAGGACGGTGGTATAAACATGCACCCCTCGCACCGGCACCATGCAGCTCTCTGATCTGCAGAGGGAAGCTTTTCACATGAAGTTCATTACATCCCCTCTCTGCTCACCTCTCAATGCCGCTCTTTGTCCGCTGTAATCTCGGGATCCTTCAGAACCGCGAGCTTGGGTTTCACATTGGGGAGTATCTCAATGAGTCTGGAAAGGATTTCAAAGGCGAGGGGCCGCTATATCATCCAAGCATGGTCCTCGTGTCCTGGGCTTATCGTGACCCGGAGTCAAGTTGGCCACATGCCGCAACTGAATAGCCCCTCTCCATATCCGAGTGTTGTTTTAACCAATTTGTCTGTGTTGCTAGAGAGAGAAACAGACACTGTATATAAAAGCGTGCTTGTGTTGCTGTGCATTTATCGAATATATCTCCCGCACACTGCCAGACCTCTAACAAAGAGGGATAAAGAAGCCCATAAACTGAGCCAGTGTGGAAAGGAAACAAGTGTAACAAACTATAAAAGAAGTGCTTCAATCCAAACCGCTTGGTTTCCATTTACAATAATCCAGGATAGGCTGTGGTGTGATAAAATCCTAACAACTTCCGTACTCCCAAAGATAAGCCCGCTATGCACTTACAAGACGGGAAGTGATCTGGGGTATCAGTCTTTCAAAGCAGGCCAGCAAAGCCAAGTGAGCCTCACTGATGTGCCGGTCGGTGGCTTTTAATCCCCACACAGCCATCCATTCTTGTGAGGGTGACTGTATATTTTTTTTAATTAAGACCTTACCTGTCCACATCAAAAGGCAACTCAGATTAGTCTTTTGGTCTGCCTAAGCTCTTTATTACTGTATATGGAATATGTTAAGATTTCAGCCCAACAATGAATCATCTGTTTTGCGTAAACGTGTGCCGCTGGATGCTCATAAGCTGCTCTGCTCTCCGAGGTTGGCACTGACATAAGACGAAGAGGCCGTCCGGATATACGAAGCGCCTTCTTAGCGGTGCGTATCTAGAGCAAAAGATGATGCCCCGAGATAAGGAAGAAAAAGACAGGAAGGCCAGGAGAGAAGAGACAACTATTTGTCTCCGCTGCTGAATCAGAAACTTCAATGAAATGACGCATAGCAGACAGTTGTGTGCAAACTAGCCATGGTCAGCAAATCATCCCACCCTTCCCTTTTTCTCCTGAGCAAAGCCAACAATAAAATGATACAATGCAGACCCAGGCTGTTGAATCTATTTCAATTATGTATTTTACCCCCCCCCCTTCCCCAAAGAAAATAAATAGCACAGACGGTGAATAAAAGCGAATGCATTTTATCCATAAAAAACCATTAAGTTAAAAGCAGAGCTAAGTGGTTATAGGCTGTTATTACAATAAGCACATGTACTTTCTCGTGTTAGTCCCATGAAGGTGGGTTTGTCATATTCTCTCAAACACACAAAAGTTATTTCAATTTCCATGTCATTATCAATCAGTTTCAATTTGTCCGAATCACTTATATACAGTGCAAATGTTTCGATACTTTGACAGAAAACGAAAAATACTAATGAGACACATCTGGAGGAAGGATCTTTAATTTCTTTTCCGGCTTATCTCTCTGGTTTTAAGGCAGGATTCGAGGTTTTTTAAAGCACACTTTGAACTACAAGTTACTTTACAATTAAAAACATATTAGCAAATGAAAGAGTAACAAAAAAAGAGTTTGGACCGTTCAAAAAATACTGTACAGTTTACGGCATGCTGAACAAGAATTGGCATGTGGTGAACAAAATCACTGGTGTAATTGTTGCCCTGAATGGCTGACAAATCAATTCTAACTTGTTGTGCTGTGCTCATTACACCGATGCCACCAGTGTGAGCTGCGTTTGTTAAATGGTTTATTTATCACCTGCAATACTACGAATTCCGAGGTGTCGGCGGTCAAGTTGCATTGTGGATAATGTAGGCACCGGGTTTTGACATGGAAGAATAATGCAAGAAAAAAGAAATCTCTGGTTCTTATGGAAGTGATGTTAGCATTTCATGGCACGATCATAAAAAAGGGTAAGTTTGCAGTTTTAAATCAACATTGCTCCGATGTTTACAAACACAAATACAAAGACACATTTACAGCTTTAAAGTAAAATCCAACAAAAAATTCCTGACATGCTGTACTGTTAGTACCTTCATCATGACACATGTAGATGCATGTAAAAAGAAACAGATGGACACATTATTGGTGTTATACTGTTGCTAAAGAAATTCTGACTGACAGCATCTTGTGATAAATGCCTCTCAACAACATCCCCTCTAATTGGCTTTAGAAAACTCAAAAGAGGCATTTAAATAACAACAGCTTTTATATGTACACAGGGGGCAAAAATGGAAAACATCAAGTCGAACACTGATGACAGCTGTGCTACGAGGAAAAGGACAACCAAAATGGTTGTCTAACAACACAGTGGAATTTGCTTCTCTCCTCAATAACAGCATTTAACTCAACTTGTTCCAACAGATGTTTTAAAAGGCTGTCTCATCTTCAAATGTGAGAATTCAGAAAGAAAAGAGTAACATAATTATTAGTACATTGAAATTCTATGGTCTACCATTCATAAAAAAAAGGCAAAGGCACAAATATCAACTTCTAATATAGGAGCAACATTCTGCTAATACTCAACATTAAAAGACCTACAACATGTTAGACAATAGATGAAGTGAAGATATGCATAATACAGGGGTAAATATAGAAGGCATAATATTGTTAATGTAAATCTCTTTTATTCTGAAAAGCACAGTACTTTTTTGGTGAGTTCACAGTGATCCTCTCTCAGATGAACTCCCCGCGGAAAGGAAGTGACTGAATGTTTTGCTGTTGCCAGCGGCAGCGCAGCCGGGCCAGCCGCGTGTCCCTCGGGTTTTCGAACTCGGAGAAGCCCAGCTGGTTGAGGATGTCATAAACTCCGGCTCTGGCAGCCACCTACCACAGAAACACACAAAAAGTTGATGAACAGGCAACACAGCCAGCCGTGCTTTTGTATTTTTATTTGTCCGTCACGACCACATAAATGCTTTGAGTATCAGCTGTGACATTGAAACTTGTGTATTGATTTTCACGTCGCAATCCACTTAAAGGAACCACCAGCTATTCGCACGTTTGTAAGAGGTTGAGGGTATGAGTCAGTGGAGGTAACGTGGCCTCAAGCGCTTTGCCAATTTAACCTCTCCCTCTTTGCCCCGGCCAGTCAAGAAGTCTGCTAATTTTAAGGGGAGTGGAATGTGCAAGAGGCGAGATGTTTAAACAAGGGCATCATTTGTGGATGCACACTTTTTTAACTACATACAATAGAAGAATAGTGAAGTACTTTCAAAAGGTTGGATGCTGAGGAGGACATAATGGAACAATGAACAGGAATAATAATATCAAGATATCCCTTTCACCAACAATGATTATAGCTTAGCTGGCCAGCTTTGTGCAGAAATAAACACCAGGCACCGCAGAGTGTGGTCTAGATTACCTACTTGCTGACCATGCAAAATCAAATCTTACAATAGATATCATGCAACGCTAAAACTTTTGCTTTGTAGAGTTGACACTGGTTCAAACCCTCCCTCAGTTTTGTGAGCCGTCTCACTACGAACACATAATAATGCAGCTTCTATTGTCCCGTCTTAATTCATCTTTTCATAGCAAATGCTTGCACCGATGCATCTTTTAGCACATCCAAGCTTGTGTTTCGTGTGTTCCCGGAAGGCTGCCAGCCTGACGGCTGTATGACGTCTTTGGTGGGAACAAATGAGTTGGTGCAGCTGAATCATTAGTCAGTGGATGGGTCTCCCAGGAGGACTTCTGGATTTGTGGTATTAACCAGGGTTCTTAACCTGACTCATCTACTCCACAGCCCAGCTGTCTAAATAGGACATGAGAGACAAATCTGCAACAGTGAAAAGCGGATGTTGGGAATGTTGAGAGGATGAACAGTGACTGCATGCAATCTCTGTGGGTCAGAGCTGAGGGCGTTCACATTTTGTCATCTTCCTTCTTCTTCTTTTTTTAAGGGAATACTCAACCAAAAATGTCTTTGGTGTACTAAATACTGAATCCCTCTTGAAAGTGACTCCTTCACAGAGGACGCCAGATTTCTCACACTGCACTCCAGCAACACAATCCATCTATATGTCCCGTAGAGTTTGAAGTTAGATTCTCTACCACAGAGGTAACTACACCGCTTCCATGGCATGCTCATGCCACGTCGTAACATAGATGCTCCGTCGAAAGTAGTGACTTTAAACAAGACTAAGAAAATTCAGCCATGGCAGCTCCTGTGAGGATGTATTTAGAACCAGTGGTGCTTTGAGCTAAATGTTAGCATCAACATGCTAATATGCTCACAATGACAATGCTAACATGCTGATGTTTAACGGATATAGATTGTTGAAAACAAAGTACCAGGGTCATGTCAAGTATCCTCACTTGCACATTTTTTGCAAAGCAGAGGGATTTTAATGTATACATGTATGTATATGTATACTAGTTACATAAAAGGAAAAATAACATGTAAAGACATGAAATATGGGAAAGCAGCAAATCTACGCATCTGCACACAAATCAAAACAGATCTGATCTCTGATGGTAAATCGCAGCGGGCCTTGAAGTTGTTGGTATGCGGCGACAAACTTTCTGTGTGACAGTAAGCAGTTCTGTCAGAGAAATGCCTTTCATGCCGCATTGAGGAGATCACCAACGCCAATGCTCATTAGGTGGCTGGGGAGGAGCGGCGCAACGAGGAGGCGCTGGTCTTTCCCACAGTCAGCTATCTCAAAGGCTGCACATACCGGGGCTATGCAGGGGGACAGGGAGGCCTCTGTGCCACACATCAAAAACAGCTGGAGTGACTGATAGGGTACCTCTCCTGCAGGTATCCATGGTATGCACTGTACACAAGTCCTGCCATTGTGTAAAGGGCCACGTTTTGGATTAGCAAACATGGATTTCAATTCCAATAACTCCTCTGATGTTTCTGCTCTGATGTTACTACATGCCCGCGAGGCAGCGGGCTAATGACGCCGGGGACAATATTTGTCCAATGTGCACACAATGTGGCAGTAAGCAATTACTTCAAATATCTACTGCTCCATCGTTTTGAGCGTGCAGTGATCAAACACAAAAAAACATGCTCCTGTGTTCAAACAATCGAACTGAACAGAAACAACAAGACCAAATAGGTCAGAGGCTCCATATCAGCTGGCACAGGCTGCTGCCCAGCATGACTGGAAACACTGTGCTCCTGCTTTTAGCCGCTGTGGAGATCGAATTAGTCCATGTACTCACACACATACATACACCCAGGATAGGATGCGGGACAGACTGTACCGCTCAGATCTGGCAGGTTGTGTAACCGTGGATTCAAATGCATGGCGCTGACCCCTTGACCTCCGCCTCTGGCATCGCAGTTTGTCATTAATGATCCTGCCACGGTCACTGGTGATAGGCTAATGATTGTGCCTTCGGGTCTGTTGGGTCAGAACACTCGGGTTGCTGCCAGATTCTGCTGCGACTGGGCCAATAAACACCTCACAATACCGATGGTGCTGTGTGCAAAATGTAGCACATGTGTCACAAGCCTTGTTTGACTATTACTTTTAGAAATGACTCCTTTTAATTTACATGTGCTTTAAACTGGTCCTGAGAGGAGTATTTGAAAGTTTGGATGGTTTAAACGTTTATCTAGGTGACGTCATGCCGTGTTGCATGCTTTGGAGAATGATTATTTTTGGAGGAACATTGTGTGAGCTGACCTGATTTAACTTCTCTTGTGATGTACTGTAATTTACATTTTGAGAACGGTGTGGGAAGGATTTGAGATTCTCACCTCGACATTATCCAGGGAAGACAGACAGAGACAACACACCACAGAATCCATGTGGACAGAGTGAACAGCAAAATGTGCAACACAAAACAAGACATTTAGATGTGCGAGCGTCTGCGTTTGTTCCATGACAGCTGCGAAAGTAACTGTCTCCCCTCACAGAATCTGACTGGTTCAAATCGATTTTGACTTTATTATTATGTTTTTTGGCAAAGTGTAACTGAGAGTCATTTTGCAGGAAGTCATTAAATTCATTTTTATGGTATGTTTGTCAACATCTTTTGTGCTCGACAGTTCTGAGTTTGTGCACTTTCCTTCCCAGAGAGCTCCTGTCAATCGAACAGTGTCTACGGTCTAGTGCTATGAACAGGTCGCGGACATTTCTTTGTAGTCAGTCCAGACGAACCCCCCGCTGCGGCTGATGATGAATATAAATCTAAAGAGCAGAGAAAACGCACAGGAGAATAATTATGCAGTTGACATTTCAGCAGTGTGCTCTTCAACTATATTCAGACACAGCGCTGGTATGATGATGATGATGCTGTTGGATGTGCAGCCATTAAGGCAATCAAAAGAGAGCTCAGACCATAAGTAGGATAGTGATGTGATTTTGATGAGTTCTCCACAGGGGACGGCCTGTGGAGAACTCTGGGCCTGTGGGGGTGCTCTGCAGTGGCCGAGCACCCCCAGCAGGTCTCCAGCACATTAACACTTGCCTGCAGTATGTGACCTGGCCGTGAAGAAGTCTGTCAGCAGGCTAGTTAGCTGGTAAACGAACTTCAGTGCGATCAGTGGAGAAAGTTACTTTATAATGTGACGCGAGTCTCCAGCACCACGCTCAAAAAGTACAACTAAAGTGTGACACGTGGTTAACTCCCGGTCACAGGAAAACTTTTTTCTGATGTTTACCGTATATTCTCTAATAGCAGCTTTAATTTACCTCAGAATCAAAGGGAACCAGGCCTTTATCTGTAATTCCCCTGTTAATGTTGACTTACAAATTCCTCTTTGTTTATGCGTTGTCTTGATAAATTCAGTACTAAAGTCATTCAGGGCGTTCCAATTTGTGCTGTGTTATTCGACATTTGACTATATTTACTATGTAAATTGTTCATGTAGGTTACAAGCAATTCCACCAATGTGGGGTTTTTTTCTGCCTGGACTTTATCAGCTACTGGCTCTTATACGGTAATTTACTGGAAGGAACACAGTGCTTTGATGCAGGTGTAGTCTAATGCTCTAGAAAAAAACGGAAATAGCATGAAAATCCCTTGAACTCACTCCACTGGAAAAAATGGCCCATTTGATATATTGCGGTGTCATCAGAATCATGCTCTCTGTGCAGCTGATGGATGGCTTTGATATACCGGCCTGGTTATGCATTTCCCACCAGACCTTCCCGGTAACCAGAGAGGTGAGAAAAGATTGCACCGGCACATCTAAAGGAGATTTTTGTGATCCGACTGAGACATGGCCCCAGGTGTTCGAGGAGTCTGCCAGAAGATGTGACTCAAAAGTGAATCATAATACACCTGTTAGGCGCCACAAGGCCTGCTGTGTCGATGACGCTGCTTTCACCGCTGAGGTTTGGAGGTGCATAACAGACGGATCATTGAGATTATTATTTATACTAAGCTGCCATTTAAACAGATCTGCCTATAATGATATATATCCATTTATAATATAAGGCTATCGAGGCCATCTAACCCTCGAAATATTTAATAATAAATTGTATAATTTGCTATTAAAATGAGGTCTTTAACAACAGCCTCTTAGGGAACTGAGAATAAAACTAAGCGGATTGACTATACCACTGCTTGTATAAAAGAACATGTACATAGTAGCAGCAAGAATAACAAGGCTAAAAAAACAACTGTCACTGTGAAAGCGCAACTCTATCAAAGGAGAAGCTCAGAGGCGAGGGTTCAGACTCTAAAGGGCAGAACAAGCACAATTTAGCACTTGAAATACTTTCCGCACATCCCAACTAAAATTACAATCAAGCTGCTTTCAAGTGTTGGCCTCGACTTTCACTTCCACGTGAATTGCCCCTTCCTTCATGGTGTTTTGCTCATTTAAAAGCAATATGTTGAAGACAGGCACTTTGGAATCACTCTTCCCTGCTTTGATCTGCTCAATCCTCCGGCTCACCGGTTCTGGATAAAATCAATACTTTTTAAAATAACTATGCAGCAAATGACAATGTGAAAGGTGTCACTTGCAGCGATTAACCAACAGAGAACTACCACCTGAATCTGCATCACAGTGACTCTCATCCCATTGTTTAGCTGTACGGCCGCAACTATTTCGGTTCACTCTCACTGCTCTCATAGAGACGTTTACGACAGCAGCAGGCATCTGTTTTCCGCAAAAAAGCTCTACAATGTACACTACCTGCTCATGCAACGAACAGCAGACAGACACAGTTGGTAACAAGCTAGTGAACATGGGAGAATTTAGCAGCTTAAGAGTGAAATATAAAAATCTTACTCAATATTATGTTGTGACAACGAGTGTTTTCCGTTGCCTGCTTTACAGTAGAGTATTCCTGTTCCCTGTGGGCACGCTTGTATTTTCTCATGGCATTACTGGGCCATTACAGTCACTCTGATGCACCACATATATTTGCTATTCATAACAGGAAGAATATGCCCCGATTAACCGTGCATATTTCTGTGACAATTGTTTTCACAGCTATTGTTCCAGTCTATTTTGGAATTCCATGTTTTTTTTCCCTTTGAAAATCATTGAATTAAAAGCTCGTCCTTCCTTTGTCCTTATTGAGGTGGAATGAACTCAAACATTTGAGGCTTTTGGCCGTGTTTCTCAAAGCCGTCTGCTCACAATTGGGAAAAGCAATTCGCTGCAAAATTGTTTCCTTTAAGCATAAGTGTTGGACACTCCAATCTGACAATCTGACACAAACATAATAATTTCATCATTCAGCCTACAGAAGAAACACATTGCAAAGTTGCTGCAGTGGTGGAAATATTCGACTGTTATTATTTTATGTTTTTATTGGATTTAAGAGGTTTTGCTGAGACTCAGTGCTAAAGCCGGGATGAAAACAAGACAGCTAACACATTTTAATTAAAACTAAATGCATAGAATTGTAACTGCACCATACTGTGTAGATTTATTATTAATTCACAGTTAACTGATCACACTGAATGTGTTTTCTCAACCTGCCAAACTGCTTATTTTTTTCACCACCACGTGAGTTTTAACATATTGCAACATACATTTTAATTGCAGTGTGTGTGTGTGTGTGTGTGTGTGTGTGTGTGTGTGTGTGTGTGTGTGTGTTGGGTACCGGCAGTTACGGACTACTCATTTGCTTGGAATGCACGTAAATTCTCCACTGAACTGTAGGGCCACAGCTGGCCAAACGATTAATGTACCAAACAAATACACAGAGCCGAGACATTACTAAGTTCAGTGTGTGAAGAACTAGGCCACAACCTGGCCACATATGTATATAACTATCAAAGTGAGATAGAATAGAGTAGTGGGGCAGAGATCCTGTACCTGTTCCATCCAGAGAGTGAAGGAGCGCTGCCAGGAGTCTTTCTTCTCTAGATGCAGGTATGTGTTGAAGAGGATGAGGTAAATGTATCGCTCAAGGTACTGCAGGCTCCTCAGCAGCAGCTGCTGAGACTCCTTCTCCGTCTTACCACTTTTGATCTGAGAAAAGAGGCAACCAAAGCTTTATCAGTATATCAAGTTGGCACAACAAAGCACTTTTCTTCGTCTCCATACAGAGACAACAGTCATCAGTAGCTGAAGTGTTTTTACATTTCTGCATTTGTACTGTGTAATTGCTGGCTGTCCCTCTCGTTCTGCAGCTTTCAGGGTATTTAATTGCCTCCTGCGTGTAGGCCGTGTTTGCGTGATGAAGGTCTCTCTTGATATTTAACTTGCTGTGATGGTGTCTAAATGTTTGTGTTTATTAAATTGCCACTCGATTAAAGCTTAATTCTATCTAATTCTAACTGGAATATTAAAACATGTTTAGAAAATGTTTTCAGCATTAAAAAAAAGATGACAATTTGGAACCAAGAGGGACATGTGCCCAACCTGTTCCATTCAATTTAAGGGCAGTAATTCACAGGGAAAATAGGATCCCTTTTTAAACAAAAGGAAATAATCTCCACCACACTTCACTGAGCATTGTTGATACTGCTTATGAACAAAAAAAACATCCTGGGAGGAACATAACAAAAAGGTACACATACACATAGTATTCTGTAATTCAGCAAGAAACAGATAAAGCACAAGCACAACATTCACACGTCATTTTGTGGAACAGAATGACTCACTCTGATATTTCCTGTCATTCTTAGGTTGTGTGGTGAACTACACGACCAATCAGACTTTTATAAGTTGTCAGTTCATATAACACCCTCATTCCTGCTGTTCGATCCCCGGCTCCTCCAGTCCCGCATGTGTCCTTGTGTAAGATACTGAATCCCAAATTTGCTCCCGAAGGCTGTGCCATCGCTGTGTGAATGTGCATTAGTTTAGATCCTGATGGGCAGGCTGGCAACTTGCATGGCAGCCTCGGCCATCAGTGTATGAATGTGTGTGTGTGTGTGTGTGTGTGTGAGAATGGGTGAATGTTGACATGTAGTGTCAGAAGACTAGAAAGTCAGAATAAATGCAAACGATAATAGGACTCTTACAGGACTATTTAACCGTCTAGGGAGAGGAAAAAGCTTTTGCAAGCCAATATTGGACAAAAGGCCACAACAAAATCATATGAAATGTCACAGAAAAATGTAATGCAATAATAGAAGTGTTGTTTGAGTAACCTATCAAAGCTTGAATGTTGTGGTTGCTCTGCAGCAGCCCTATTATGTGCCACTTCTCACAAAGTAAGGCTGGTAATTGGGATTGCTCTTCAGTTACAGCACTGAATGCAGACGGCATTCATCAGCGTGGCGACTCGGTGTGAAGATGTTTTCCCTTTTTATATTTTTCCTTCTATTTTTCTGATTGCTTGGAGCCTTGAGCAATTGACGGCATCTAGCGAAAAAGGCCTGCCATCCAGCTTTGAGGTGGAGTGTGAGGTGTGTGCGCACGATTGGATAACACGTCAATTGGAGTTAAGAGAATGTAACAAGTCGGGACGAGGTGCAGTGCGGCTCAATGAACTGCCAGCAGCTCTTTAGATGCTTTCTCCGGAGCAGATTGTAATGGGCATTTTGTCCGCCTGACTAACTTTGTTTGTGATGGATAAAACAGGTTATCTGCACACAGTTTGCAGCATATCAGGGAGGTATGTTAAATGCATTGTGGGGGCTGCATAGAGAATAATGAAAGTTGACCAAGTAGGTGGGCTAGCACTCAGGGTAATTTGAAAATGTGCACAGTGCACCATAATACGATCATTCCAGAGCTGAATGACGCAACAGGGAGAGAGGGGGAATGAGTGGGGTTTCCTGTTCATTCCCAAACAGCCGTGGTTGGATCCCAGTTTTCCAAGCATCTGCAGCAGAGCGGAGGAGAAACTGCCCCTATGCAAACAATGGATGTGCTGTGTGTTGTCCATCAACTCTCTCAGGACACAGAGGAAGTAAAAAAAGCACACACGCGCCTCACTTCATCTAATCTTTCTCAGTTAACATCGACTACAGAGGCAGAGCAGGTGAACGCTGGTGAACCTGATCACCCTGTGCGCCCTGCTAACCCGGAGGGCTTTCAGCTATTCATCTCTTAAAATGTGCCGGGCCAAAGCCTGGCAGCTATCTGTGCACATACCGAGCTCATAACACAAACACACACACACACACACACACACACACATACCCTAAGATCAGTTTGAAAAGATTACATAATTCACACCTCTACAATCTGCAGAACCTCCTTTCTATGGCTGCCATCTGTCTGAGGCATATATGTGGTAGAGCGGCTTTTCGTGTAGTATCAGGAATTCCTTCAGAAAGCAATGTTGGGGAAGATGTGGTGAAGTCAATTTCTCTCGCTTTGAAAGCTTTGGATTTGCGTGGATTACATTTTTTTAAAACCTGTTCTATGCTGATAATCATCCACAGTTTATTACTCGCCCTCTCCAGGTGGAACAATTTTATAATCTTGTAACTTTCTACTGAGTTGGCGAAACAGAACAGAGGAGAAACTACAGAATCCTCTCATCTCGCGTGGCCTTTCAAAATAAAGGAGAGGTCACTCCTCCTAGTTTGCTATCAAAGGTGAAGGCCGTGATTCAGGCGGCTGCCGAGGTGTGGTGATGAACGTCCTCTGTCTTGAGTGAGATGGGAGGCAGGCCAAACACACAGAGCACATACCATTGTTGAGAGAGTCCTGGAATGCCGAGCAGGGCTCCAAGCGAGGACAATGTGAGAGAGGTGGTTCAGAAGAAGTGGGTGTTATCACTGCGCTGACACAGAGGACGGTAGTGACAGCTTTCTGTTAAATGAGTAACTGGAAAAATCTCATATCTAACGAAATGTATTTTATTTGCATTATCCAAAGAGAAATGTACTTTGCAGAAACAAAGTAAATGCACCCAATATCTGTTTGTGAAGCAATATCACCCCAGAATGCAAACACGTCAGACCGAGTTCAGACAAAAGTGCACAATAATCCCCGGATAAGCGTCACGGCCTGCAGACCGCAGGTCAAGGTGTATTAAAGATAAACAGCACGCACTTATGAGACATACTGCCTGACCCGTGCCCATGTCTTGTGTAAACAGGGAGATAGAGTATCGTACGGTTTGGTTTAAAAGGGTTCCACATGCTGGGAAATTACAAATCCCTGATGTCAACGGGCGAATAGCTCAATCTGTTGCCATCCTTTTCCCCCCTTATATTTGTCTGGAAGAGATCAGCTGTTTTATCATGCAGTGAGTGCCCACTCTTCTGTAGGACTGTTGTTGGGTTGGCTCATTGCCCGTAGTTTTCATGGTGTGTCGGGCACCGTCTGCACTAATCGTCTCTTGCCATCAAGCCAGCTGAGCATGTTGAGTCAGCAGTGGAGGCAGTCAATAAAAGAGAGCTCTCTGATTGGTTGTTAATTTAAGTGAATTAGCACATGGATGAAGAAAAAGAAGACTATCATATCATTTCAATCAATTTTAGTCAATTTGTTGTCTTTCCTCAAATCTGGGACTTCTTCTCCTGGATTACAAATACGGACTACTGCCACCTCAAGAAACTAAATTTAAACTAAATGAGGACACAAAGTGTAGATGAAAATAATTCTAATAGTAAAAGAGAAAATGTTGAGCCTTACAGATTTTGCACCAACTGTAATATAAAATATTAATTTTAGTAATCTCTTACAAATTATCCAATTTTTGTTCCATTAATTTAAATGTAGCATCCTGATGATTCTCAAAAAGGACTTAAGTCTGATTCATCTATAAAGAAAAGTAATGTCTGTCCTTTGGAGGGAGCTCCACAGTGTTGAGGGTCGACCTCTCTGTGGGCTCATGTGGGTGAGGAGTGAATTGAGAAGTGCACATTATAGAGAGGTCCGTCTGCTTGACATATGGTGCCAATTACTAGCTGATGGGGTTGCCGAGGTAAAAAGGCCAATCCATATTGGCCCTTCCCACCCAGGTTTGCACAAGCAGCCATTCATCAGATTCTACAAGAGCACCTCCCACCCAAATCCTAAACCAAACCCCGACCTGTCTAGAGCGGACAGGCAGCCTACACATGGCTCCTCGACTCAATGTACAGACAACTCAAAGTCAAGTATACATGCTGATTTTCAGGTAAATTCATTACAAAACAGGCACCAACTGCAATTTTCTGGAACTACTTTCCATCCAATATGACTATATTATATAGTATATAATATATTATTATATATATAGTGTATATAGTCATATATATATATGTATATTAGACATTCTTTGGTACCAAAACTCACAATGTGTAGCCTTGATGCCAAACAAACAGTTTCTTTCTCAATAAAACTTCTGCAAAGTCAACATTAAAAATCTGGTATTGTCTACATCCATGTTTACTAGCTTGCATCCTTCTTCTCCCTTGCTATGTTTCTTGGTACATTGCAGCCAACTGTAGATCAGTGGAATAGTGTGAAACCATTGGCAGGGCTGCGTATTGTGTCACTCGTGTGTGTGAGCCAAACAGGAACCCGCGCATAAACAAAACTGCTCTATAGCGCTACTACAGGTCAAAAACTAGAATTTGGCATGTGACATTTAGCATGTTATGAAGTTAATATGCCGTTCGCATGTTAGCTTGTCTGAATGCAACATAACCATGTTTGGATGGTGAATATGTTAGACAAAGGAAATAGAAATCATAACTACACTCAAAAAGTAAACTTGTTTGTCCTTTTACATGCACTTCATTTTTTAAGACCATCCACCCCTCCCCCCCCCCCCCCAACCCGCCGCCTGCCAGGTTGTCAGTAGAAAAGCAATCTAAGTTAAATATCATCTGGCTTCAAGCTGCAGAACTGATCTTTATGGATCAAGATGGTGCTCGAAACTGCTTTTTTTTTTTTTTTTTTTATAAAGGGAGCAGAGAAGCCATGTAGCAGCCAGTGAGAGGAGGGGACGGAGGTGCCTTTATGTTAATGGTTTCTACAGATTCCAATCCTCTGTCTGTCCTTTTTCCAGTCGCTCAGCCACACTACGCTGATTAAATCATGAGGTCGAGGTTGAGGTGGATTGTAGGGGCAAGCTG